AACACAAGATGCTCTACCTCCATAATGAACTAAATGTCAACAGACATCTCACACAGTTTAATGAAGCACTGGAAATAAAAAGAAGAGGTGCAAATGTTTTTTATTCAGACTCAAAAATCACCACCTACAGTGAACTTAAAACCCCAAAGAGCACAAAAAAAAAAAATAAAAAAAAAAAGAAAAATTACTCAAAAACCACAATCTAAGAGCAGGCATTATGCCACACAAAAAACATTTCTCATCCCCAAACAGAGCTCCATTGCTTCATAAAGTCCCTCAAAATGCTCTCAGTATTGAGTGAAAATTCACACAGTCTATACTGCTCAGAGACAAAATCACAAGTCCCACACCAGATCAGAACAATCACTGCAACTGCAGTCACTGTCTGGAGTCATATATCATTAAAGACAACAGTTCTGCTGTCAGAGTCTTCTGATACAGCACAACTTCTCTTATGAAAAGGGTCAACATCATTCTCATTAATGGTGCTTTCATCATCATCATCATTATTATCATTATTGCTATTGGTGTCTGAGATGGTAAAGGAGGTGGAGATGAAGACAACAGACAGAAAATAATCATTATCAGAGTCACCAACAGTCTCATCAGATTAAGTAGTCTGCAGCACACAGCATCTAGCAATATCAGTAAGAGCAGCTACCCAAGCTCTCTGAGATTGCATCAGAGCTGCAGACCAATTAAGTTCAGCAACAAGCTGTTGGAGCTTGTTGCAGTCAGACTGGATAATACAATCCAATCTTCTGTTAAAGAAGATCAGATCATGAAGATTAATAATCCACTGAAGAATCTCACTGTCCTCTGTCTATCAACATACACTCATCAGCACTATATTTATCAACAGAACTCATCAGTAGCATATATAGAAACACAGAGATAATGTGTCTTGCAGCATTCTTCACACTTCTTTCTCTCTGAAAGAACAGCACAGGAAAAGTCAGGATCTTCATAGCAGAAGAGGCAGCAGACACACAGAATATGTCTATTAATAAACAGTATGTTAGCAAACAGCTGATATTCATGTCAAACAAACACATCAACAACAGCATCATAAGCAAAAAATTCACACAAACAGCAACAAGTTCTCATTAAAAAACACAAAGACAGTAACAAAATAACAAAAGAAAAGCATTCACAGCAACAAAAAGTTCATGAAACATCAAGACAACAGAAATAGTCATGAAGACTGAGTATCATAACAAAGCCAACTACTGCACCAGAGCAGTAACTTGCATGTGACAAGTAGCAAAGTAACAACAAACAACTCACCCACAACATAGAATGTCTATCATTCTACATCCAACACATTAATGAGACTTACAAAAGAGAGAACTTGATCATGGCAGCAGAGAGGCAGGCAAGCAACAGCAGGCAGATGAATCAGATAAAAACACTTTTTTGAAGTAATGATGTCACAGAGAGAAGAAGAGAAGAGAAAGAAGTATGACAGATCACAAATGTTCTTTATTGTTTATTCTGATATAGCACTAATCTCAATTGGGAAAAGACACTTTCAGCTCAACAGAAGTATTTATTCTGACACACTACATGTGACTCATTCAACTTACATCAGTGTTCCACTTACATCACCACTGCTTATCTCACCACTCTGCTTATCTCACCACACCAGCATCACTGCACCACACCCATGCCCACACCCACACCCACACCACAGCTACACAACACTGCTCAAGCCATCCACATCTAACATCCAACAACACTGCAAGCAGCTGAACAATTAGATACCAACATCTAACACTACACTGATAGCAACACCTATAGACTACAATGGTCATCAGGGACAGCTCCCAACAAATGGGGGGGCAATTGTCATGCCAGACCCCAACACTAGACCCTTTAGGTCTTAGTAGCACACACCTCACTTGTATATAATCCCTCAACACTACCCCATCCTTACACAGGTCAGTGATGAGCTCTATCTACTCATAGCATATACTATATACTTGCTTTCACCACACATTTCCTTATATTCTCTATGCTAGTAGCTCATTCCTGTTCTGATTATATGTTCATTAGACCTAGCTCCTCACACAATTCATCTGCAAGGTAAAATAACAGAACAGGAATAATAAAATCATATATGAGACAAAGTTTCATATCAGGTGTAAGATGTAAAGAGACCTCTTGCACTGTCATGAATGAAAGAACATTCACAAAATCACACACACACAGTAAGAGTTCTTGTGACATCTCACACAAATATTGAACTGGAATCTGCTGGCAGTCATAAATTTATTGTCAGATTGCATACATCTGCAACAGAAACATGATGTTAACTCTTAATTCTTCACTTGAATATCTGCAAGCTTCATATCCTCATCTGCATCTGCATTTCTAAAAATGTCAAATAATTGAGTTCTATTCCCACCCCCTCATTGTCTGCACACTGCATACATTGTGTGACTTCAATCATCAGACATGAATCTGTTAATAAGACATGTAATCCTGCAACAACTGCAGCATCTTGTGTGATTCAGTGACATATTGAATACAGTGACTGCAGAATTCAGATGAGATTATAAGATGTGTGAAGTTCATCAAGCACAGCATTTTCAGTAGTTCTTCTGCTTCTTCTGACAGCAGATCATACAAGATGTAAGTATGCTCTCACTCTTCTTAAATTTGAAAAGAGATAGTGTCTGATGACATTTGCAGCAAGTCTTCTCAGTAGAATTCAAGATGTTGGATTGTGCAATGTTTGTATGAGAAGCTGCAACATACTGTAGAGATGACTATAGAGATGTCATAACATGAACTGAGCCATAACTGTAGTGGAAGCATAAGAGAATGAAGCTGACAGATTCAATGAATAGATTCAATCTTCAGAGATGAAATCAAAACAACTACAGAGAGGCTATGAAAGAAAGTCAGACCAAAGAAAGTATATTTTACAGAAAACATGATCTGTAATCAGATGACTGCATCAAAGTGGAGATTATAGTCTTTTCATTAATAGAGTGAAGAGCCAATAGAGCTTCATACTAAAATACTAAGAAATTGATTGATTAGCAATCTCATTAAAAACAATCTCCAAAGACCTATGCAACATGTTGCCAACATGAAATTTAGAATTCTACACTTGATTCCCAAGCAAGAACCTCTCTACATGAATTCCCATGTGAAATATGAGATATACAGCCTACCATGCCAGCCAAAAGGAGATCTCTAGGTCAAGTACTAGGAGAGTGAGATTACTAGCCTATCTCTATTGATCTGACAAGCCCATACATGTTGTTCAGTCTTTTTATATCATCTGAGAATATCAACTACATCAGAAATTCCACAAATCTCTAGGCAGAATCTAGACAAAGGATGGGGTATTCTGTTCTTCATAGACAACACTACCAGTCAACAACATGAATTTGATAGATTAACTAATCACTTACAAATTTCTAGCTTGTACAAATTTTAACCAATCAGCTTCTATGATCATTGCATTGCGGTATTGCTCTAGTAAACTACACTAAAAGGCACTCACCTCCAGTTGAGAGGATAGTTACAACTATGTGCAAACCTCTTATACCCTAGAGATATTTAGATTTGCCGTAGAGTATTGAGGTCTGCGAATCAAGACTCATTCTCGGTGGCGAACGAGCAGCGCGGCCCTGGACAACTATCAACAGAAGTCGAGTATTAACACTTTCTTCTCCAACCCGCTGGTCAAGCCAACGAACTTGATGAAAAAAAGATGGTTCGCGTCGATCGGTGGTAGTGTAAGACCGATGACACAGTGCAGGAAAACATGCGCAAGCACAGAGGTCTTCCCACGGATTCCAAAAATGAGATTAATCAATGTTGTATTCCTTAGAATACTTTCAGAGATTAAACTGAAAAGAACAGATACTACACTTGATCTAAGCCATAATGGCAAAGAGAGCTGGAGAAAAAAAGAAGAGAAAAAGAATCAAAGAAATGGCGGGCAGGCCGAAATATTTATATGTTGGCCATTTGGCGCTAGTGATTAGCGAGTGGCGAATAGGCTGCTTCTATTGGCCGGACCTCGGTCTGGAAATCCTGTTATTCAGCACGGCTGAATATGTCGCGTGGGCATATTGTAGAATCAGAAACTGATACATACTTGGAAAATGTACGCTACTTATAAATACACAAAAATATGGTATTACGTAGAGGTTCTTTTTAGGAAGTTTCGATTCCGCTGACGCGATTGTCCCCAGATCTCGCTATTAAGGAACCAGAAATGCGCAACAGTGGCCCTGAAGACCCTGATCTCTAGTTATAGTCAAGGAAATATACAAGGAAGAATTCTTGTTCACGACCTTTAATAGGGATTTGTGCATGGAGGGTCTCGTGGAACTTGATATTGAAATCCGCACGGAGTAGAAACGGGGTCATTGACATGGACTGCTCTTGGCCGACATGCTGGAAGTTCAACGGCTTCGAAGCTTGAGGAATGGGTAGATGCAAGTGGTGGTAACAAGCTTCCTTGAAGGTATATGGACAGGTGAGTGGACAACCTTGCAGTTAAGAGCCTAATCTAGCCTTCATCTTCCCATCATCGAGAAGCGAGATAGGCATATGTGATCTATCTGAGAATCTTAAACTTCGAAAGGCGATCGAATGAGATATGTCAATCAAAATGAGAGCGGAAATGGATTCAATAACCCAAAAGTTGAATACAGTATTTACTGCATGCACTATATAGGATATTAACATTCTCTCATAGCATTACTTCCACGTCTCTCTGGGGCCAATGTTAATGAACATGTCGTTTGGGCCCACAACGGCAATAGAATAATCTTTTATTACCTTCCAGACTGTCTAGAGTCATGTACAGCACAAGTAGTTGCAGCAGGAGCAGAAAAAGCATGTTCAGTAAACGACACAAGGATGCTTTACCACCCAGAGTGTATTCTAGAACCACTGATGAGCGAGAAAATTCATGCTGTATTCTCTTCCGTACCGGCAAAGAGGGTTTCTGTGCGGAGTACCGCGAGGGGTTTTTATTTCTTCGATTCTGTGGCCAGTACATCCACGTCCAACTCTTCCATGACCCCTAAGACCACCCCCAAGCTTTCCATAAACGCATTGACAGCCACCCTTAGCATCCGGTTTGTTGTGGCTTTATATTGGGTCTCGAGCACGGTAAACGGCTCGTTACCATTGCCCACCTCGCCAGAGCCATCGCCCGAAGCCAGAGCTGGTCCGTCTACTTTTGCTGTAGAGGGTAGTTGGGCCGCCGGAAGTGGTGGTGACGGATCGGGCCTAGCGAGTCTGAGGGTGCGGCAGACGAGCGGTGATAATTCCGCATCCACTTGGAGGGCGCGGAGGGCGGAGGAGGCAAGGCGGTGGTTGGGGAGGGGGAGGGAGATGGTTCTATCCGGGTATAGTATTAGCGGTACTCCGTCTATTGGCTTTGAAACATGGGATTCAACGAACAGAGAGTAGGGAAATTCAGGGTCGATTGAAGCCATGGCGATTGTTATTTTGCCCCTCGGCCAAGGAGTGAAGTAGGACAGTGATTAGTACCGGTGGGGGATCACCAACGCCTTGTGATTTCCCTGATCATCGAGTTGAAGAGCATTTATGTTGTTGGACAAGCTTGTGGTTGATTGACACAGGCTGTTGGATACGAGCTGCAGAGTGTTGCTACTCGTATGCTCAAGCTTTCTTCTGTCGTTGTGCACCCGCACGGCTACAGCGCGGGGCGGAAAGTTAAATTAGGAGCTGTTTTCGCCCCAGGCAGTCTCTCAAGGCTAACACGCCTGCTGTCGCACTTCTTATCCCAGGATAGCTCTCTAGACATCAACTACGAAGTAAGAATAGAATACTCCGTAGATGAGATGGAAATACGCTATGTAATCAATGTATCGCAGACCAAACGATATATTCGGTCAAGGTCTGGTCAACAGATCAAATCGTTTGTTACTAATCAAGGAAGTATAGGTGGTGTACGTCCCCCATGAATCAACAAAGCCAGAGCGATGGATTGGACGTGAAACCAGAGTCCAATGCTGATCCATCTCATCTGGCAACGAGTGTTTGTTGTTGTTTTGATATCAGAGCAAATGCGACTCCGTTTGCTTTGGACAAAGACCGGCGTCTGGTAATTTACAGCCGGTACCACCAGGCGCCACCGGCGAGCGAGGCGCTATACCTGGTTGGGTATCGCGTGCTGTAATCACGAATACGCCGAGGCCTTGAGCCAATCAACAAGCGGGCGCTATTCCACTTTGGGAGGCCGTTGTCCAGCCAACATCCCGCGCTTAGCCCGATCAGGCTGCCTCACAACATAACAACCAGGCACGAAGTCCCGGACGGTGGCTTCGAGGTCAAATTATTCACCACCCGCGACCCTCAACCTGCATCCTTCTCTTCCTTCATCTCCAGAAAAGCGGATATATTTCTCTTCCTCCTGCTCGTCTTCTCCGTCTTGTTATCTCTTTACCTGCTGATATCGTTATAATATCGCTTCCCACCGCCTGTTTATCCACTGAGAGGTCATGCTTCCGTGATAATCGACATTGGGCTTCATTCTCTCCACCAGTACACTATTTGTTGCGATCGCGACAACTGGTCTATCCAGAGTTTAGGAGAGGTCATTAGTTACTGTTGTCGAGGTTGCGACTCCATTTGTATCCCTTATCAGCACCAGAGTAGCTCCTCTCAAGCTCAAAGATGCCGTCGCATTCGGGTCCCTTTGGCCAGGTAATCGAGTACATTGAAGGTGCGTCGGTTGACTGTCACATCTTCAGCATGTGCAGCGGATCTAACTTCTCCTTGTGCCTTCAGATCGATTGTACCTCGCTTCGTTCTCTTCTCCCCCCGACGAGCATTCGCCGTTGCCATTCCGCGCCCCGCCGCCAAAGTCGCCAAGTAAAAGGCGCTCAGCGGTACCTGCGAATGCAGCACGGTCGATCCAGCCAGTTTATTTTAATGTGGATGATGTTGTGCTTTATAACGCCTTCCACGCCGATTTCGGTCCGTTGCATATTGGCCATCTCTATAGATTTGCCGTACTTTTCCATGATATCTTGGGGAGCCCCGAAACTAAAGACCGTCCCGTGGTTCTGTGGACGAAACCTGATTCAAGAAACCGTGCAAATATCGCTTGCTTGGTAGCTTGTTATATGGTTTTGATCCAATCTTGGCCTCCGCATTTGGCACTCGCCCCTATCGCCCAAGCCGATCCTCCATACATGCCATTCCGGGATGCCGGATACAGTCAAGCAGACTTTATTCTCACCATTCAAGATGTTGTTTATGGCGTCTGGAAAGCCAAGGAAGAGGCCTTGTGCGGCCTGAAAGAATTTAGCCTTGAAGAGTGAGTATTCGGATTATTCATGAGTTTTCTATACTGACAAATAGCGATAGGTACGAAAAGTATGAGCGGGTTGACATGGGCGATTTCAATTGGGTGACTCCTCAATTTCTTGCCTTTGCATCACCACAATACGAACCCATTGCCCCCGTCCCCCAGAATTCGCCCGAATTTGCAGCTCTCCCTTCCAGCATTTCCGAAGTCTATGCTTCCAAGCTGCCAGTGCCGTTCAAGAACGTGTTGACCCATTTCGCATCACGAAATATTGGTCTTGTTGTAAGGTTGAATTCCGAGCTTTATAGCCCCTCATATTTCACGGCACTCGGTATACACCACATCGATATGATTTTTGAAGACGGAACATGCCCTCCACTCCCGCTCGTACGACGATTCATCAAACTTGCACACGACATGATCGCCAGGAATAAAGGCATAGCTGTGCATTGCAAAGCTGGACTGGGTCGGACAGGATGTCTCATCGGAGCCTATCTGATCTATCGTTACGGCTTCACCGCAAACGAAGTCATCGCGTTCATGCGATTCATGCGCCCAGGAATGGTTGTTGGCCCACAGCAACACTGGCTTCACATGAATCAGAACTCATTCCGCGAATGGTGGTTTGAAGATACAATTAAAGAAAAATTGATGGCCTCCGTGCCGGTAACGCCTGGAAGAACGTCATCCAAGCATCGCCTGAACGGCAACAGCCAAACAGCTACCCCACCAAACGGGCATCAGTCGAAGAGACTGGCCTTGGGTGAGATCGATAACAACGAGGCTAGTCCCGGGGGTTGCGCCGACGAAAACCTCCCAGCGCCCACTCCAGGTCAGCCACGAAAATCACACCGCAAGGATTCAAGACATCATCCATATGCTCGCGCCGTTTCCGGGAATTTAGGTGTGGAAGGCGATGGGAGCGCCCAGTCCATGAGAACCAAACTCAAGAATGCATCCCGCCGATTGCCTGATCACAGCGACAACGATTCGGACCGTCGTGGCGTGGCGTCCCCTCGAACCCCCGGACGCTCCGCAAGTCATCGGTCCATTAACTCCTCGGTGGCTGGCACGCCAAATATCCACGAAGATGTTGAGAATTGGGTTGAAGGTGTGAACAAAATAAAGAGCCCAAGCACTAGCAAGAGCGGAAGTGGCGTGCTAGGAGTCAGTAAAAGTACGCAGTAGCCCGCGCCGATTGGGAGAGCGCAACGATGGCAAAGTTCGAAAAGCCAGCGGAAGAATTGGCAGTGCTGGAAATGTGACGAGAGTCAAGGCGTCTTAGCCTTCCTTTCCAAATCAAACTTTCTTTTGCCGTTTCAGTTGTACAGAGTTTTCTTACGAGCATGTTGACACGAGTCACATTGAAGCATTTCTCAGGGGTTATGGTGTCCTGGGTAGGAAATGGAGTCCCACGGTTTTGTTCTATGGTGGTTTCCTGGGTGGAATGTTGAGATGAGGTGCGCTGTTTAACCGTTACATCAGCGCATCCAAAATGCCCTTGTTGTTGTGTGTGTAAGGTTTTATACTACGTTTATCCTTGTTTGGGCAGAGAAAGGCTATAGCTGGATGCCTGTGTTGATGATTTTTCCTCTGGGACGGGAAAAACAATTGAAATTTTTCAAAGTTATTTTCTATTTGTCTGAGTCTGCGCATATTTTGCTGGTTCCAGTTTGATTTTGGTTTCTTGATGCTGTCCATTGCTTTGATTTGGTTATGTGGCTTTCCGTGATGCTTCTCTACGAGTGGTACTTTGCCTTTGTTTGATACCATATCGCATTGCTTAGCCCTCGAGTTCTTTATGTTATGAAAGAGATGCCATTGTCACTTTATCGCATAAAAAAATAAATAATCCTCAGTTACAGCTCCTTCATCTCCTTGATCGCACTCTGCCAATACTTCGATCGCTCCTCGCTGACAGTGGTCTGTATGCAGCTTGTGATATATTTCTCCCAGCCCACCTTCGTGCCTTCTTGCAACCCCTTTCGCACATCCGGCTTACATTGAGTCGTCAAGTACCATGCCGCAGACCCAAAGTCATAATCATCTTTGCTAAGCAAGAGGTCAAGAGTCTTGACCTTGTCATTGCACGCAGGTCCCTTCAGCTGGTCTTTCAATTCAGGGATGGAAGCCGCATAGCGAGTGTTCCATTCAGGCATTTGCATATTTCGTGCTTTTTTTTTTCAATCAACGGAAAAAACATATTAGCTTGCTGAAAGAGCACGATTTCTTTCCCCGAAAAGCGAGAATTAAGAGCGGGTGTTTTTTTTAAAAAAAATACTTACTTCCCTGTCCCGGTCTGCCCGGGTAGATGTTCTTCTGGTACTTGAATTCCCCCGATTCGAGCGCCATGAGACTGACCAGAGCGGCCATTTCGGTCTTCTCTGTGATGTTGTATTTTGAAAAGGAGCGCAGGATGGGTTCTGCGGCTTGAGAGGCGGTGCGGCATTGGCCTGGGGCTTTGGGGTCGTCGGTGCAGTTCTGCTTTGCGGCGTTGGGGCAGATGGCTTTGAGTGCCTGGGTGAATTTTTCCTTGTCGATTGTACTAGGCGCTGAAGAAGGGCTGGGGGCTTCGCAGTTTGTTCCGGCTGCGAGGATGATTGGGGTGGCGAGGATGGTGAGTGCTGTGCAGATGGAGAATCTGAGCTTCATCTTGGTGGTTTGGAGATCAATATAATGATTTTTTAGTGCTTGATTGGGGTTGGAATGAGGTAGGCCAAAGATCTTTCAGCGCAGAGTGTATGTTGGTAGTTCAGTGGTGATTTTATATCAACGTTTTAAGAAAGGGCTGGAAGCTAGCCTGTCCATTGATATTGCCGAATTGTGACTAAACAGGCTCTGTAGTTAATCTTTGTTGCTCTTGTTTTTTATAAGTGCTTTCACAATCGGTAGTTTAGGACCAACCTCTTTCATTTCACTAAGTAGTGATAATGAACATTGCTGATGGGCTGGTGAATGCACACTCAGCGCCATGCAAATGTAACTGCTAGCTGCTTTTCACCAATTGAAGGGGGGCTTGAAATGTTAGGGCTTTTGGTAATTACCTATAGTTCATAGGACTGTGCACTTCACGGAATAACATACTGAAGTTCAGCAGCAGACAAATAGTACTCTCCATGAGTCCATCCCAATTTGTAACATGGATAAGAATATCATACTCTGCTAATTATCTTCAAGCCAAGATATCTTCCGACATGCTAGCCTGTAAGGAAGTAAAGATAAGCGTTCCAACTTGCGAACCTAGCTTAGACAAAACTATGGCAATTGGATCTTCAATGTCCCAAGCGAACCTGAGGATTGCCGGATAGGGCCAAATTTGGCTGATTTTAGCTGTTCCCATGTGGTCTGACCAGTGCTTTCCATGGGCTGAGTCGGTCTAACAATTTCAGTAGCATCCTTGTCCTGGTCATTGGTATGGCCAATGTGATCAGGCTTGTTTAGCTGTCCAGTTGCTTCTTTGATAGATATTGCCATCCAGTCCAGTTTCGAGTTGGGAATACCGCTAAGTCTTGACCTCTGTTTGAAGAGGAAGACGATGTACAATATTAACCCCAATATCACAACGCAAAAGAAAAACAAAACAACTGCAAGCCATGCAATGGACAGTTCGACGGTCGGCACTTCTACTGTTATTACTCGCTGTACGGAATGGGGTAATTGTGTATCTTTGGTAATCATATAGACCTGGTAGAACTGAAACAGTTCTTCGGGGGACGGCGGAGAGATAGATGCATTTGCGATGGATTGCTGTATCAAATTCGGTCGATAATAGTCGGCATAGGCTTGGACAATCGAATCGGCATCCAGCGTGTGCGGATATGCAAACTGAAGGTCATCAGGCATTTTTTCGATGCGAGTGAGATCGCAATCCGTCCGGGTATATGACGCCTTTTCAATTTTGCCTTCACCGAAGGAGATTCCGTCTCCATCCATATCCGATGGCCGTGGCGCGTTATGCATGTGAACAGACAAAATCGAAAAGGACATCCGTTTGTCCCAGTTGAAATTCGCGCGCGTCCATCCATCGGGATACCGTAAGACGAAGAGCAACACGTCACGATAGTTGCCGCGGTTCTCCTCAAACGCCGCAAGTTGGTATCTGCCCAAATACACGGACTTGTTGTGAAAACGCTCTGGAGTAAGGTCCTTTAGACCTGACACCTGAGTGTAGAGTAGCGTATCGCTGCGGTTGCCGGTTGACTGGAGCTCGACTGGAGTAGCGGGGATGAAATCACACCGGGCGGACCAGCTTGAATTCCATTCATCTTCTCGATAAAACCAATGTCGACTGGGATCGGGTAAGAAATCAAGCAACTGGTCCGTTGGGAAACCCGCTCTGGTCAATGATTGTTGCGTTTCATTCCACTTGACCAACGCAGAAACAATCTTCTCCTGTCCCCTTTCCTGTGAAGTAATAGGCAATAGCCCCGTCAACGGTATTGGACGTACTTCAACTCCCATTCGGGACGAGAATCTAGCGATAGGGCCAGAGAGCATCCCTGACAGCGAGAATATGACGACGACAATGCATTGTACGCAAATCGCAAGATATCGAACCGACAAAACTCGGAGTTTGAAGACTTTGAGCGTATCGAACACCTCTCCCAAGGAAGAGATCGTCAAAAGCGACAGAATCGGAACGGTTCGGCTCTCCTTTGTCACCGGAATTGCACCCCGTCTCCAAAAGGTGCGAGTCGTGACCCAGATCATAAGAGCGCTCAAAGCACTCACCACCACAGTGAGCACAGCTTGGACATTTTGGAGCGACCAGGAGCTCGGGAGGTTCATCCACTGGTCCGACATGTTGGTAGAATTTGGTGTTTAGGCCTTGGGCCAAGGAGAGGCCCTGAGATCGGGCGGGCGTCCATATTTGAGATGGCCAGAGGTGGCTTTGAAGGAAGAGAGGATCTTATCGTCTGCTAGCAGAGGCAAACGAATCACAACCTCACTTAGTATCAGGCTATCTCACGGTTTGGAGCATCAGGCTGCGGTCGATTCCAAAGATTTAAGCTCTCCATGTTCTGCACGCCTAGCTGTGTTTGGGATGGTTAAGCGGAGTGCAAGCCAGTCGGCGGTTGGCGAACACCCAGTCTGGTCTGGGCCAAGAGGTCGAGATCAAGAGGGCACTTCAAGAGACATCTTGCCACTGATGAGCACGAAGTAACTCCTTTGGAGCTCGAGCTGAGCAATTAGCTACTCGTGGTTCCTGTCCTGGGATAAATGCCATAGACGGGAGAATTATGTCGCGAGATGATCTTTCTCCCTGCAGCTCCTAAAATGAAGACGAGGTGTCGAAATGGCTAAAGGACAACTGGTTATGGTGAATGGAGAGAGGTCTTCAACTTGAAGCTGAACAATGGGACTTCGGAGTCTGCGTACTGCGCACTCCGTAGCAAAATGCCAAGCTCCTAAGTGTAAGATATGTATTGAAAATCACGCAAATTACAATACGGAGTACTAGTTATATCAAAAGTAGCTTAGTGGGACTCGTTAATCGACTATGCCCAAATAGACTTAGTTCATCCTGTTATGAAACTATGTAATGTCAACATCGCATGTGCAAAGACATCAAAAATCCAATTCCTCATTAATAATTTTTAATATATTAATAGAAATAAAACACTTGTGTGGAGAGTCTAATCTTAATGAACTTGCCCGAACGCTCATCAAACAAAGTGAAAATAGGAAAAGGAAGAAAGAAGAAAAGTCAAGAGAAGAAAAGGAGAGGCAAGAAGGAGAACAATCTACCAGGACCAAACCAACCGCAACCACTCCTGGAATCGTTGTGGCTGAATATTGACAAGGCTAGTGAGGTTGCACGTATCAAAGTCATAACAGCCATTGCCTGCATCCATAAGGTGGGCAAAACGCGACTGCTGCCTGACATTATTGGACGCCTTCGCTTGTCCGTATAACTGTCTGAGAGATTCGACGGAAACAAAGGATTTCTTGAGCTCTTGTCCTACATGGAAACATATATTAGGCCAGGAATCTAAGGACAAAGCTATAAAAGAAAAACGAGGTTAAATTGTGTTTAACATACCTGATACGCGCTCAACAATACCTACAAGGCCGGTCAAAGACACTCTATCTCCGAACATTCTAATTTCAGTAGGCCAGCGGGGCAAATCAATCGCCGCGACAACAGCTCGCGCGACGTCTTGAGCAGATGTCATGCAAATAAAAGAATTCCGGCCGTCGCTGAGATAAGGAATTTCAGCCGTCATTGAACGAAGGTTAATAAGGTATTCGCCTTCCCTGTCAATGCGGGTACCCTGGCCAATTTGAAAAGCAGCCATTCCACCTGGCGCAAAGCGCTCATAAAAGACGCCACATGTAAAAACAGTATATTCCATCCCATACTGTTGGAGAAGCGAGATACTGGTGCTGTTTCCACGGTCTGGGAGGCTGGAGAATGAACGAAGCGACGGCGGCCCTTCGAACTCGGATGGCATGAACCGCCGCACATTGACTTGGGCAGCAGCAGTGATAAGAGCTGTCTCGGCTTGTCCTGATATAGTGGAAATGACTACGTCTACTCCAGTGAGCGTATAGCGAAGTTTGGAGTTATTCGCATAATCAACTTCGAGAACCTGCCAGCCTTTAGAGACCAATGTAGGTTTCGGCTGCGCATATTAGAACCTGAGAGGAGAAGGAAAGCGAGATAGGGATGAATTACGTACAAACCTCGATAGTATAATGAACTGGTGGCACGTTTTGGTAGAGAGAAAATTCGCAATGAATTGCGCTAGACCGTTCGAGCCTGCAATTGCAACATTAACCATGTTTGCAGAATTAAGGGCTTCTGAAGTCCGGAAGAGCAGTATGTGCAATAGAATAGCAGAAAAGAGTTTGAAAAGCTTTTCCGGACTGAGCACCACGATGGCGAGGACTATCAATTTATAGAGCGGACTCGACGCAAACTAGACGTTGGGTAGGTAGCTACGCCAAACAAACACGAAGTATAACATCGAAAGCAGAGATTTAGGACTGATTCCAACAAATTGCATCGGACAACTGGTCATATCAAGCACTGTTGACGGCAATTGGAAGTAAAGCCGTCAGTCAAGCTCTTCGGAAATCGCAAAAATATGTGTTGGCTGAGTCACGGGTTTTGCTAAAGTGGCGGATAGCTTAAGCAGGCAGCTGCTTTGATAGTTCAGATATAACAAATTTTCATAAACCAGAAACAGGTTTTCATCATAGCGGAATCCGAGAAGGCGCTGCGATCGCCAGGGACAGCCCCCAGGCCAGGGTTGTGACAAGCGATCTCCAGGTATCCATGATGGCGGCTCACGGTATGTGAGGCTCAGTACTGGGTACTCTGTAATGTTGAGGCCGGCTGACGAATTGTCCATGTAATGGACAAGACTGTTAGGGTCGACAATGGGTGGTGAGCAAGATCAGCCCAAAGTGATATTGGGAAGCAACAGGGTCAGAACGTGGCTCAGTACTGCAATTTTTGCACGAGTGGATTTGGAGAAGCTTTCCGATTGTCACTTTGGCATGCAGGGAAGAGATAGTATGGCCCAAACCGGTAAATGGCAATCCAGGAATTCGGGCAGGGTGACTGAAGACAACGATCAAGTGTTGGGGTTCGCCCTTGAAAACCAACTTTGGGTTGGAGATATGGGGATATATTTAGGCGGAGGGTAATCTTCCCACATGTTGGCTCCACGCCAACAGATATGGCTCCCGATGGTATGAATGCCTTGGCCCCTTTCATCAGCGAGATCTGTTGGTTTGTTTCGTTGCTGTTGGTGATTTTATATGTTGGGAGCCACTCACGTGATCGCGCGGCATCCGGTGCTGACTCATCGACATGTCGCGTCAGGAACAAACTTAGTTAAACGCGTCGAGTGTTTTTGCAAGCGCGGGCAGGGGTTCAGGACACCCGCCGGTACGAACGATTTCAACAGATACGCCGAGGAAACGCGACTCACTTCGATGAACTAGTCCATATTGCTGATTCCTCTTTCACTTGCAGCTTGCATGCGAGTGTCCGGAAAAGGCTCAAAGTTGCTGAGGCCAAGCCCCGCGGGTCCACGATCAGACGAAAACTAACGAGACCCCGAGAGCATAGTTACATCCATACGAACAACCGTGCACTGCGATGTTCCGCGTCCACGCCTAGACGGACGCGATATCAGCGCTTCCACACTTTTTGCTGCATTTGTTGCTCCTGTTAACTGTTGGGCCGGTTACTATTCTCATAGCTACGCGCAATTGCTATGTGATCACGCTCCTTTGCAAGTCGACGTTTCCTTTCACTATGAGTGACACGGATTGTACGCATACAGGCAGTGAGCCCTCCTTCTCAAACGATATAGAGCGGAATTCACCAAATAATGGCTCCTTTCTTGTGCACTCGAATAAAACTTTTACTCACGGCCAGCCTCCAAAAGTTGACAATAAGATCCTGGGCCGTCAGAGGCGCCGGAGAACAAGGTAAGCGCGTTTCGTCAAGCTTCTCAGGATGACGCCCTGCTTCTGCTCGCTTTCCTGGCAACTTTTTCAGTCCTGATGTGCTAACGCCCTCGAACAGCCCCGAAGACTATGCGATCCTCGAGGCAGAATACCAACGAAACCCAAAGCCGGATAAAGTGACCAGAGCAAGCATCGTGAGCAGAGTTTCCCTTGGTGACAAGGAAGTCCAAGTATGGTTTGGATCTTTTCACACATTCTATCAGTTTCACATTTAACAAGTCCACTGTAGATTTGGTTTCAGAACCGTCGACAGAACGACCGGCGAAGGTCTAAGCCTCTTCCAACCCACGAGACCGGATCTTCGATTCCCAAAACCCCAAACGCAGCGAATACGGACACCCAGAAAGGCAAATCTGAGGACGAGGCAGACACGAACCTGCACTGCCCTAACAGGAGCTTGAGTCCGTGTGATGATCCTGAAGTATGTCCACAGAGGGCCAGCTCCTCAGCTGCAGAACTTTCGAGTGAACATCGCGATAATGAATCTGAGGAGTCCGATTCGCTTCGAGTTGCAAGCTCCCAGGATACAGTCGCTACTATACAAACTGAGAGACTGGAGGGCATTTGCACCAGTGTAGATGCCCTGGAAACACCCACAACCCAAGTTGGCGCCCCACATAGCGATCAACAAAGTTCCGGGCGGAAGAGGAAATGGGATGAGATTGATGTCGATCAATCTGTCGAGGCCAAATATGCAAGGAGGTCGTTGCCTTCACAATTAGCGACACCTCCTTCTCTTCGGATATCTTTATCTTTCGATGGCGAGGCGATGGTTAGATTGGAAGGCGAGAAAACCCCATCGCCCCCAAAGCCTCGGGACTCCCTTCGAATTTCGTTTTCAGCCGATGGGGAAGCAGTTGTGAGGACCGCGAGTGAGCCTTCTCCCTCAAAGTCTACCTCTGTACAAGCTAGACAAGCCCGATTTGCGCATTTGCGTCGTAGCGCAAGTGCAATAGCCTTCCCAACGATACGAGGCACAGTGCGAGGAAAAGATCAAAAGTCGTTCGGGAGATCTCGTGATGCTCGTACATGGGAGCTTCACTGTGATGATGACGCTCGCACTGCACTTTCTACAGCCTTGAATACAAGGACGGATTCTGCCGCTCGGGATAGTTTATGGCGGCGCGATCCCCCGTTGAAGATTTCAAAGCCGTTGGCCCCTGGATCTGACCTCCATAACGAGAGTTCGGAACCGCAGGTTCCGGCTGGCAAGCGGAAGAAGCTAACGAGGGCTATGTCTTCACTTGCTCGTCTAGAAACTGGTACGAAAGCTCCCATAAGTTCGGGAAAAAAGAGTAAAACGTTTGGAAATGAGATGAATGAAAACTCGGGCGATTCAGACAAAGAAAACTGGATTCCCGGTACACAAATTTCCAGTGCTCGAACGCGAGCCACCCAGAAACAGCCCATTCGGAGCCGCGGCCGTCGAGTATTGGGACAGTCAAGCAAACAGCTTGAAGCGAAACCTACCGGCGCTCGCCTCAAGCGAGCCAGAAGTGCCAAGATGTCGCGCGGAAATACTCAGCAAGAAGAATGTGATGCTGCTGGTGAACATGGAGAAGTGCCTGGGTTTCTAAAAGTGTCGGAATCAAATCCAGAAGAAGATTTGGACTGTGTCCAAGGGTTGTTGTCCTTGAGCCAGGGGGCTTGGAGATAGCAGACTAATGTGCTTGATGTCGGATAACGCGTGCCTCCACGGTCCGAAGTTTCCTTAATTTCCTTTGTCTGTATCCTTTTCTTTATTTTGTGGTTTTTTGGATCTGATGCGCAAAGCCCCTTTTTTAGAATAGACAATGTACGATTGATGAGTCAATTTGTTTCTTGGTTCTTGCTCCCTTGCAATGACTATTATCCATGCTGTGCTTTTCTTCCTGGGTGCCCTAGTCTTCCTTGATCAACGGTACCAGAGTTCATGAGGAGACCTGTAGGCTGCGACCTCTTTCGCGGAAACAGCTTCGTCAATTACGCCAGGGCAAGAATCAATGCTCTGGCCGCTGAAACTTCGTGTCGTCAGGCAACTCCGGTTTCAAACTAAACATCAGCATAGCGATATTGAGGCTTGGTGTAGGATCATTACAGTTCCTAGTGACCTGCTGCAGGCCAGACATTGCATTTGCGGTTAACGAGATACCGACTCCTCTTGACATAACGGTCGAATCCGGACTGTCCCAGTCTCGTGTCTCTGTTTGATCGAGGCAGACTAGAAGCTGATTCAGGAGATAGAGGCTTTGTAGGCCACGGGGAAGTCACCCATTCTGTGGGGTGTTGCGTGGTCTTCAAGTGAAATTCCCTGAGTATGAGCATCTCCAGGAGGCCTCCTAGAGAAGATGTAAGAGCAAGTTAGAAATAACTACACAGCCCCTTGGACCAACCCGACTCGCATGTTAAAGCAGCACTAGCAAGCCACCCAATCTCAAAGTGCATCCACGCTAACGTGCGCCGCCATCCAGTGCTGCCTTTAGGAAATGCGCAGCTGACCGGGACTTTGGATGGTACAGATACAACAGCCTCTGACCGCAGCGAAGTCGCCCTGAAGTCTCTTTCTCGGCCATATCCAGCCGCAAAGAACACGGTGAATCGTTGGTCGGATACGGAGGAGGGGGGATTTTGTTGGAAACACTTTGATGTTGTAGATGGTCCCAAGCCTCGATCCGTTTTGCAGCTGAGGTACGTTTTAAGAGTATGAATTCCGCAGCTCGGTGATGTACCCAGTTGCCCCAGTGAAAGGGTTCCCCCGGTCAGAGAGTTCGTGAATTGGGCCAGGTGACCACGGCTTCATGTTCTCTGTTTCGTTGGCGATGGTTGTTGACCGGTCCAGAGCGAGGGGAGACGTCACACTGATGCTGTTCCCGTGAACCGTGCGGCAGATACAGTGCCGGGCCCAACATTTATTCTTCGAGGTCTGGCTGTTTGTCACTACCTCCTACTCTTCAGCCATTCTCACAGCTTGAATTTCCTCCCTCTTTGAAATCCGTACAGCCTTTCTCGAGCCAAATCCCCAATTTTGTCACCCAGCCGTTTTTCGCCACTGTGGCTTGCCATCCAGAACATGGAGTGTAGAACTAACCGTTTGATACAGACCGCAAAGTGGCTGCAAGCAAGCTCATCTATCATGAACTCAGTCCCTGCATATCCGGGGATCCATCTGCAAACTCAGCCTTGCAACGGATCGAAGCATCGTCCCCTGCGTTCCACTAGGGGAGGCCCGTCGCATGTTGGAATCATCGGTGCTGGATTGGCCGGCCTGAGATGTGCAGACGCCCTTCTTCAAAAAGGCGTTCGAGTGACTATACTCGAAGCTAGAGATCGGATCGGGGGTCGTGTATGTAGCAATCCATTCCGCCGTTTTTGGCTTTTCCCCGTCTTGGGCTGTTCCCTGACTACATGCCAGATTTGTCAAGGTGATATCGGAGGCGCTTCCGTGGACTTGTAAGTTACAACGCCTATACTCAAGAACCATGCTAACATATTCAGAGGCCCTAACTGGATTCACGGCACAGCAAACAACCCTATTGTTAACATTAGCAAACAGACCAGCACAGTCACCCGATCATGGGAAAGCCCACAGACTGTCATTGACTCATCAGGACAGCCGCTGGATGCAGTGACCACTGCTAGGCTATCCGACTTTATGTGGACTACCATAGACAAAGCACTCGAATACAGCCAAAACCATGCCGCCACGATACCACCCGATCTTAGTTTATTCGACTATTTTCGAGAAGAGGTTGAGAAGACTGCTTTTACTCAGCCGGAGAAAGAAGCATGCCTTGAGCTGTCAAAACTATGGGGCTCTTATATTGGTGATTCCATTGACAGGCAAAGCTTGAAATTCTTTTTTCTTGAAGAGTGTCTCGAAGGAAGTAGGGTTCATAAATACTCTCGCACAATATAGGCCTAAACTAACCACTTTCCAGCAAATCTATTTGTGGCGTCAACTTATAAAAATATTTTGCACTCAGTCGCGAAACCGGCACTGCAAGGTGCTGAGGTGCACTTGAGTGACCCAGTGGTATCCGTCGAGGCGGCGCTTCGAAAACCGGATGCTGCACATCATGTCACCGTACATACTGCCTCTGGGCAGAGGTATATGTTTGACGAAGTTGTCGCCACCTTTCCACTGGGCTGGTTAAAGCAGAACAAATCTGCATTCTCACCAGCTCTTCCAGCGCGTTTGTCGAAAGCCATTGATAATATCTCATACGGCCATTTGGAAAAGATCTACGTACGCTTCCCAGACGCCTTTTGGCATACCGAGAGCAGAGAATGCCAAAGGAATAGTGACAACGGAGCGGACGAAGCAGATCGTTCAACTTCGGTCCCCGTTTTTACACAATTCCTAAATCCGACGTATACTGACCACCCCCCTACCCCATTTTGGAACCAGGAATGTGTCTCCCTGGCTGCTCTGCCTGAATCATGTGCCCATCCAACTCTCTTATTCTACCTCTACGGCTCATGCGCCTCCCAAATCGTTCACCAGCTCTCTTCAATTCCCCCAACATCAAAAGAGTACCACGAAATTCTCAATGATTTCCTCCATCCGTTCTACTCCCGCATGCCTGGGTATAGCCCCGCCTCAGCGTCGTGCAAACCGGTGGGTTTCCTCGCCACAAAATGGCAATTGGACCCGTGGTCTGGGAATGGAAGTTACTCAAATTTCCAAGTTGGACTGGAGGAAGGAGATCGGGATATTGAAATTATGAGGGAGGGCATTGGGATTGAGCGGGGTGTGTGGTTTGCTGGTGAACATACGGCGCCATTTGTGGCCCTGGGGACCACGCTTGGAGCGTATTGGAGTGGAGAGTTGATTGCCGAGAAGGTATATGAAATGTTGAGTGGAAAAGAAGGTCAGAAACAGGGAGAGCTTTAGGGGGCGTGGTGTGATGGTCAACTTGGTTTTTTGGTGATCGAATTATTTCAATACCTGAAGCTAGATGATATAAATATGCGCACCTGCTGTTTGGATAGCTGGTTTGTAGATGAACGATCGGGGACTATTTCTTACATACGTTTGCTCTACGGATCGGGATGGAGATATCTTGAGTTTTCAACTTCAGGCAGTTCAAATCAGCTGCAGTCACAAGTAGTGAATGATCTTCATATTTTGAAAACTAATGATATGCCCTTGCGGCGGATAGAAATGTCACTGACAAGGCTTGTCATCAAGTCAAAAAGCGATACTACGAGCGATTCCGCCTGTGAAAACGCCGAAGTAGGAAATCAGGTTGGATTGGGCGAAGGGAATAGGGACACCAGGAAAAAAGGGGAGGATAACAAAGCACCAACATAGTTTCCGAGGTTATGCAAGAGAATATCAAGGCGGTTAATCGATCGGTTCGTGCTAAAATATGCGTAGTTCAGGGATTATACCCGCATTGGTACAGGTATAGGATGCAAGGAAGGCGGTGCGTGACAAAACGGTTTGTAGGAGAAGAGGAGTAATCGAAATGATAGAAGCACTCATAGGAAAGAAAGACGAAGTTGGGTATCGTAATTACCGACCGGACGAATTCACTAACGCCCACGCCACGGTAATTTGTAATGCTTCGGGAAAGAAAATCAGGTAAGAAAGGTACAGTTACAGTAACCATGAGTGCATGGCAACAGCGGCATAAAAGCCCAAAAAAAAGGCAAATCTTGGAGCCGGATGTATTATCCATCATCGACTGGGCTTGCAAGTGTGCAGATTTAATCTTCCCAAATCGTCTCAAGATCTAGATCTTGTCTCCCTTCCGCCCCACAGACACTCCAACGTTTCCGACTCAAGCCAAATCGTGGATTAGACGAATTTTGAATATCCAATGCACTCCGTCTCCGAATCGGATCAGTACTCGCGGCAGATTCATCAGCTTTATCGGCAGCAGCTTTAAGTTTTGCGATGCGGTCTGCTTCTATCGCCGCAGCTTCAGCGTCCGGGATATCAGGTATTGTTTCAAGAGACGAGATACTGGGACTGCGCGAGCGCACACTAGACGGGGTGGAGGGCATTGATGAACTGGAAGAAAAGGAGTAGGACGGATAAGGTTCGTTGAATCGCGCTGACATGACTAGGTTCGATTGCGAAGGCGAAGGACTACTGCTCCTGTAGCAGCCAGTGCTCGTAGTAGACGATGGGTTAAGCGGTGAGGAAGGTCGACGACGAGCTACTCGAGGAAAGGTGCTATGAATCCCGGGAGACAACGAACCAGACAGCGAAACCACCTCGAGATGAGCTTTGGGTGACCCATTGACGCCCTGAAGTTCCGGCTGTTCTGATATTGGCTCAGAAATGTTCAAGCCATTGATAGCAGGGTATGTAGTTTCCTCTGAAGAGGTGCGGAGTGGACTTGGTCGCCGAAGAGGTAAATCATGTCTAACTTGGCTGCCTGCAAGAGAATATCGACCTCGAGAGTCCAGACCTGGCGACGAATGAGCACGGGTCATGCACGGAGCTGCTGGCGATCCAGCAAAAGAGCGTGAACGAAAGTGCGCTTTGGCTAAAGGGCTGCGGGTCCGGGGCGGTGGAATATGTAACTGAGGAGCTGCATCTGCGATGCTGGCCATCGAGGACGCTATTCCGTAGTGTTGCGAAGTTGTTTGTTCAACGCCATGGTTGTAGGATTCATCATTTGGGGCATCTATAGGTTCCGGAGGACTCGGTGGAAGCATAATGTCTTCTGGAGCGCGGAATGGACGAGCCATTGTGCCGGGTAGGACAGGTCTTTCGTTGTCAGCGCAGCGTTTGATGGCTCACTAATCAAAGGCACATATTGGGGCTGAAGGGCGGTCACCGCGCGGTCGCTGAGATCATCGCGATTCCTGCATCGAGATCCTCTAATGCAATCAGATACAAGCTCTCGGTAACCGAGCTGGTCGCTATGACGTTAAATGAATCGGATGGAGCCGGGGGTCTCACGCTGAGGAACCTAGAGAAGGTTGGGTTCAGGGAACGAGAAACAGGGCGATCGACCCCTCCAGGCTGTGTAGAAGACACATGCAAGTCAACAGCTTCAAAGAAAAGAGAGAGACATCATGAATGACCCAGGCTCACCCGTTGAGAATGCAAAAGGACAGAGTGAGCGGTGGTGAGGGCCGGCAGAAAAAGCACCAAAAAGGAGCCGGTCATGTGACATAGGGTGTGATTCGGGAATGCTTGGCAGCACCTGACTAAGCGCTGGATATCTGGAAGAGAGAAAGAGAGATGAAGTTGCCATGAGATATACTGTTATTCGAGAAGCCTATATCCAGGTGTTGGGGTAAAACGCTGAATGAGATTGACTGCCCAGGAGTCATAGTGATTCAGGAGCCAAGACTATGTTTACGGTGATCCCGTTATTATCTGAGCAGGTGTTCTTCAGACATTCTCGATTGGCGGGATGTGGAAGGGTCCTAGAGGTTTGATAATGGATCGGAATGCTGAAAAGAACTACACTCTGACAAGATGCCCAGCAACTCTCCAAATTCCTTTTTATCCCCAGAAAGTAAGCCACAATGGGCGAAAGAATTGGCAGCGGAGAAAGTCTCACGAAAAGACTTGCAACATGTGCATTTCATGATTAACTTGATATGCTATCTTGCTCGCGGCCTACTAACACCCGCAGTTTCGCCCGCGGCTGCTCAGACTCGGCGCAGACCCGGAGCTTAGTTGTCTTTCAAAACAACCAGAATGCGAGTTGAGTTCCACACGAAATGTGATGTAGACGATACCATGCATTTCGGTACTACCTGGTCTCTCAGTTTTCCAATATCATTCGATATACCAGACAGTGGCAAACCTCAACAATTGACGTTCTCGTATTTGGGGAAGCAAGACGCAGTGGCCAATTTAAATAACGGCACCATATCTCCTTAATTGAAGGAAGAATCTGCTGCGTAATCAGCCATCATACGAATATGATAAATCCGGCGTAACCATGGGGGGTACAGGCCAAGGCTCCTCCCACCAGCCGGCCAATACAGAGTGAATCATGGATAATGCCTTTCCCAAGGTCCGGACCCTCCGGTCACATAAGTGCCAGATCCGATAGCAGGATTCCCCCGAGTCTCTAGTTACGAACTATGCACAGAAGGATTACTGTCCCGTAACGGCGTCGACTACCGCGACAACATCACACAGATTCCCAAAGACATGGGGAGAATATCAGAGTGCAAATCTCCACCAAGTTTGAGAAAATCTGTTTACGCTACCTTTTCTGGCCGTCGTCCTCGATTTTCTTATTTCCGCTCCTCTGGCCGTCGGATTCCTCCTTGCAGACTTTCATTCAACAATCTTGGAAATTGACTCCAAGCCCTCGCACAAACTCACAATAGTATGGTTGATTGGTTACCAGGCACCGCGCAAGAAACAGCTTGCTGCCCATTTGCCTTTTGACATGTCGTTTAAAGGAGGGGGCGCAAAGAAGTGCAAGGAGAAGTTTTGTATTGAGCAGTTCACATCTGAATCAGTAAGTTCCGCGCGATCTTCATCGCGCAGACTCTCTCTAATGTGTTACACGCTATTGATGACCTGTCAGCTTTCGAAGGAGACAATTCAAACCCCGGCCCGCCGTACCCTTGCCGGCGTGACTATCACGGTCGGCCAGGTGTTTCCGGGAGGATGTTGTATTTGATGGCTTTGGTGGTAGTCCAGCCATCCAACGATTCTTCTCCCAAGTCCTTCCCAAACCCGCTCATCTTGGTACCGCCGAACGGTACGTTTGGATGCATCATAGCCCATGCGTTGACTGTAACCTGTCCGCATTCCAATGCCCGGCTGACACGATCAGCCCTTGAGACGTTATCGGTAAAAATAGCGCTGCTTAACCCGTATTCGGTATTATTTGCCTTTTGGATGACCTCACTCTCTGTTTTGAATTTGGAAATGGCCTGGAATACTTGCGTAAGCTACAAGAGGAACAAATTGGGCGGGATGGCGATTCCAATGTGTACTTACAGCAACAGGGCCAAAAATTTCTTCCTTCATGATCGTCATATCCTCTTGAACATCAACAAAGGCTGTGTTTTCGATGTAGCCATTGGCTGGTTGGCCTCCACCGTGCAAGAGACGAGCACCTTCCTCTTGGCCCTTTTTAATATATCCCATGATTTTTGAATGCTGACCGGCACTGACAATAGGGCCTTTGGTGGTAGTGCTCAACAGAGGATCGCCTGCGATAGCCTTTGAGGACGCAGCGGTAAATGCAGCAATGAATTTGTCATAGATACCCTCTTGAACATATATTCTTGACCCTGCCGCACAGATTTGACCATTGTGGGCTGTAATGGCGGTAGAGGCCCAAAACACGGCATTTTCGAGATCCGCATCGTCGAAAATAATGGTTGGGCCCTTTCCACCTAGTTCCAACGAGACCTTTTTCAAATTCGAAGATGCAGCGGCCTTCAGAATGGCGCGCCCAGTCAAGGTACTACCTGTGAACGCAATTTTCCTTACTTCCATATGTTCGGAAAGTGCCCTACCTGCGACGGGACCAAGGCCGGTCACGATGTTTACAACGCCCGCTGGAAACCCGGCCTCTCTAATCAGCTCAGAGAGCTTGATGCCATAGAGCGGTGTTAGCTCAGAGGTTTTGATCACTAGAGTATTTCCGGCCGCAAGACAAGGTGCTAGCTTCCAGATTGTGACGATTTTGCACGCACACACGTTAGCTGATTCATAAGGGATGGGGCAGTATGCCATTACAATGGGGCATTCCAAGGCACAATAGCTCCACAAACACCCAGGGGCTCCCTGTGGGTATAGGCCATCCCATCGGGGATGACAAGGGATTTTCCGTCGATTTTGTCTGCCCAACCAGCAAAGTATCTCAGCGCCGCAGCGGAATGAGGAATGTGCATCATCTTCGAGCCGCTCAAAAGAATACCGCCATCAAGGGCCTCGAGAGTCGCAAGAACATCGCCGTCTCGTTCAATGAGGTCTGCAAGCTTCAGCATCAAGGATTGTCGTGTGGTGGCGGGTGTCGCTTTCCATGTCGTGTGAAATGCATTTTTCGCGGATTGGACCGCCGTGTCGATATCCTTTTCGCTGGCTGCTGCAACGGTTGCTAAAAGCTCTCCATTTGCAGGATTGGTTGTCTCCAGCGTGTTTCCAGTCAAGGACGGAACAAACTCATTGTTGATAAACAATCCGGTTGGGACTAAAAATATCCGAAGGTTAGCCCAGTCCAACTCTGCAAGGGGTTCCGAGCTTGGATTACGAACTCTCAATCGAGCGTCCCTCGACTCCTTTTAACGTGACAGTCTTGGTGGCCATTTTGTTCGTATTGCTTCAACCTTCTGGACAATTCAGCTCGAATTGCGAGTCGCAATAGCTTTTTGCACCCTTCCCATCTCCCTCCCCGGACGTCCCCACCTTACCCCGACTTCCCCCCCCAGCGTTACCGTGCGGAACACCTCCTCGGCTTCTGGGGTCGGAGCGACAACTTAACTCCGAATCCCGGCATCAAAACCAGATGGCCGTAATGGCTGGTACGGAACACGATACGGAGTACCCGTGACAAGTCTCTTTCATACCAACAACTTAAACAACGGCGCGCAACCCACCTTGGAGGGCTCGGAACCTTAACCTCGCGGATGAACTTTTGATTGGATAATTGCCGCCGCGACCGGTCCCAAGAAATCTCGCCCTTTTTGGCCTTGATGAACTGTGATGTCAAAAGGGTCAGGCCCTCACAGTCTGCCCTGCGCACAAACGAGGCCGGATTCAAAGTTGAACAATCTTTTTGCTAGTTACACTGTGATGGGTCATGGAGCTAACATCCTTTCAGCTTGTCCGTCCTGATGTGGCGTCAATCGGAAATCCTGCCCTTCTTATTAAGATGCCTTTCAAAGCAAGGCCTCTTCATCGATGTCTTTTCCATTGGCGCTCTCTGTTGCTAAGAATTTCCTAGTCGGCATGGGCTCGTCTTGACGATTGGGTTTGCTTTTGACAACCATGGATCACCCGGTACATCCCCTCCTGACTTTGCAGCCTTCAGAGGTTCGTCGTGCAAGCCAGATCATCAAAAAGCAATTTCCTAACCAGCAAGTTTCATTTCGCACTATTGCTGTGAAAGAGCCGCCCAAAAAAGAAGTCATCGAGTTCCTAGAGGCAGAGAAAACACGGCAACCCTTGCGATATCCAGCCCGTCGCCTGTATGTCAGCTACCAGTTCAGAGGGAAACCCGAAGAATTTGAAGACATCCTGGAAATCAATAGCGGAACGATTGTTTGTCATCGGCAGCTTCCGCATGGCGTGCACATATCTTCCTCCCAAGAGGATATGCTTCCCATCCAAAATCAAATTCTGGACGATCCGCTAGTTCGAAGGGAAATTGTAAGATTGAAGCTACCTCGCAACTCCAAAGTGATATCAGAGATTTGGCCTTATGGAAAAGATAACGATCGCCCAGAGCCGAAACGCTATCAGGTTTGGTTCTATCTGAATTCGATAGACCCCGAGGCACAACGACACCCGTCTTCCAATTTCTTCGCCCACCCGTTGGATTTTTCCGCCGTGGTTGACCATGTCACGAAGAAGGCCATTCGAATTGACAGGTTGCCGCTTGGTAGGGAGCTGGATAGTATTTCAGGAGATAACGACTCATGGCAGCCGAATCCGGATGCAGAATACGCCACAGACTTGCAACCGTCTATTCGCAGGGACGTTAAACCTATCCGCATCCAACAACCCGAGGGCGTGAGCTTTAGGGTAGAATCAAACGATCAGGTTGTGCATTGGCAAAAGTGGCGGTTTCACCTTGATTTCAACTGGCGCGAGGGTGCCGTGCTCCGCGATGTCAGCTACGACGGTCGCCCTGTGTTTTACCGTCTCTCCCTGGCTGAGATGACCGTTCCTTATGGCGACCCGCGCTCCCCGTTTCATCGTAAGAGTGCTTATGATCTGGGCGAGGGCGGTGCCGGTAACACCGCGAACAACCTTCAATTGGGGTGTGACTGTTTAGGCTCGATCAGATACTTTGATCGTTGCACTAATAACCAGCAAGGTGAACCTGTAATAAAGAAGAACTGCATATGCCTACATGAGGTAGATACTGGTATCGGCTGGAAACACACGAACTATCGAAATGGTCGAGCTGAAGTTACCCGGGGTCGTGAGCTTGTTATCCAAACAGTCAGTTTTCTTTCATTTTTCTATTGATGGGATATCTAACATTGGCTGACTAGATCATGACTATCGCAAATTACGAATATATTCTTTGCTGGATTTTCGATACAGCCGGGGCTATTCACTATGAGGTCCGCGCCACCGGTATTATGTCTGTGGTTCCTGCAGACCAAAGGGAAGACCTGACCAAACTTGACTACGGCATTATTGTCTCTCCAGGCGTCATGGCCCCAGCCCATCAACACCTATTCTGCCTTCGCCTGGACCCTGCCATAGACGGCTACGCCTCGTCTATTGTGAAATACGAAGAGACCATTCCTGAACCGATGAACTCTCAAACAAACCCCTATGGTGTGATGTTTCGTGTCAAAGAAACTCCAATCACCGAATCCGGGCACTTGGACCTTAATCCGGCAACAAACAGAATCGTCAAAATCGTCTCCAATGACCACCGTAATCGGGTCACGGAGCACCAAACTGGCTACAAAGTTCTCGTTCCGCCCACTCAAACTATTCTCGCGGATCCAAAGTCCACACACTTCCGCCGTGCCGCGTTCGCAGACCACCAGTTCTACTTCACTAAACAAGACGATAACGAATTGTACCCAGCAGGCGAATTCCCATGGCAATCAATCGGGGGCCTCAAGGAGGACACTGGTTTACGCCAGTGGGCCGCGAGAAAGGACCCCTTGAGACCTGGAAACGGTGTGGTCTGGGCGATCTTTGGATTAACTCACAATCCAAGGCCAGAAGATTGGCCAGTTATGCCGTGTGAGGTATTCCGTGTCGCGATTAAACCTAGCCACTTCTTCGAGAAAAATCCGGCTTTGGATATGCCTGCCAGCGAACAGCTGGTTAATCAGAGCACGCTGGTGAAGTCGGAGAAACACAATGCGCTGACCTTTGACGGATGTTGCCGTGCTAAATTGTGATGCTATGCGGAGTATTGATTAATGGAATTGCGTGTTGGGACTGTAGATATAGAACATTATTTACTTTAGGGATTGTCATGATTTAATTGGTTAAAGCAGTTGGATACCCTGTTTTACCGAAGTGGCCATCAAGCCTTTATGGGAATAAGCTCTATAAAACGTGGCGATGCGGCCAGCCAAAGCATAGGGCGAAAAGGGGATATCGTAATCTGGCCTAGTGGTCGATTACATCATTATGGATTTCCTGTTCAAAGTTTCCTAGAAAGAAAGGCAGAAATATATATACGCTGGACTTCAAGTGGGATTTTGCAAGAGTAAATCTGGATGCTATTTTAAGGATGTCCTGCAAAGCTTGAACCCAATATCTGCCCCTCGATTTACCCTAATTGACCAAATTCATGTTTTGGCAGCTGATACACAAACACTACCTTGGAGCTGGAAGATTCATTGACAATACCTACATAAACTTATCTATAGGCCGAACAATGATGTCAAGGGTGACTAGGCGGGCTGTTGCAACTCAGAGCTACAGGATCTCAGGGTCAGATACGGAATCGTCCTTGTCTTCAGTCGTCAGCGACTATGTGCCGACGGCAGCCGCGGAGGGTGGTGCTGGATCCGCTGAATTGAAAGCAGATATGGACATGTTGGACCCCGAAGTAGATTTAGATGTGCCTGCTGAAGCGGAGGAACTGAAAGCAGCTGGTTCGCGACCGCCACCGGTGAATAGCGATTACTTACCTCTTCCGTGGAAGGGCCGCTTGGGTTATGTGAGTGTGACTTGAACAACCGAGAGGTATCAGCATACTAATTAGTTATCTAGGCCTGTCTCTGCACGTATCTGCGAAACTCCAATCCCCCTGTTTTTAGTTCCCGGACTTGCCGAATCGCGTCCATTCTCGAAAACCGTCACCCTTTGAAGGACCCAGCCCAGCCTCCGCATCCAACGAAAAACCGCCCAGACCGGGACCAATCTCCTGATATTGCAAGGGGTGAGGCGTATGTTCAAGCCCTTGGGCTCGCGAACGTAAGAGATACCATAAAGATGCTGCGCTGGAACGATCGCTATGGTATCCGGTTTATGCGATTGAGCAGCGAAATGTTCCCGTTTGCCAGCCACCTCGAGTATGGATACAGGCTTGCCCCATTTGCGTCGGAGGTTTTGGCGGAACTTGGTCAAGTGGCCGCAGAGTTAGGCCATAGGGTATCTGTCCACCCTGGTCAAGTATGGTGCACTATACTCCCTAAGTATTCTGCTGCTGAGGTATTATAGTTCACACAGCTGGGCTCGCCACGTCGGGAAGTCATCGAAAACTCGATTCGAGATTTAGAATATCATGCCGAACTGTTGAGCCTTCTCAATTTGCCAACACAACAGGACCGCGATGCGGTCATGATCTTGCACATGGGAGGAAGTTTTGGAGACAAGCCAGCAACTTTGAAGAGATTTGAGGAGGTTTATAAAACCATTTCCAAAGACATTAAGAAAAGGTTGGTTTTAGAGAACGACGATGTTAATTGGACAGTGCACGATTTATTACCCGTGTGCGAAAAGCTCAATATCCCTCTAGTGCTTGATTATCACCATCATAATATCAATTTTGATGCTGATAAAATCCGCGAGGGTACCTTGGATATCATGAGTTTGTACAGCCGGATTAAAGCAACGTGGACTAAAAAGGGCATCACTCAAAAGATGCATTATTCAGAGCCTACCCCGTCAGCTATCACAAAGATGCAGCGGCGGAAGCACAATCCAAGAGTGCAAATGCTACCACCGTGTGATCCAGCAATGGACTTGATGATTGAAGCGAAGGATAAAGAGCAAGCAGTTTTTGACCTAATGAGAACCTATAAACTTCCTGGTTTTGAGAAGATTAATGAAGTTATCCCCCATACCAGGCCTAGTCCAGCAGAGGACGGTTTGGATATGGGAGGACCCGAAGGAAGGGTTTACTGGCCTCCGGGTATGGAGCATTGGCTTCGGCCAGAGAAACGAATTGTTAAACGGAAAACAGAGAATGGGACGCCAGGCCCAAAGAAACGTACGCGTGCCAAAACTAAAGTCATGATGGCGGAGTCGGAAGAAGAGTTGGTGATTCAAGCCAAACCTGCCAGGAAGAAGGCCTCGAAGACGAGGGCGAAAAAGTCTTGAAAGGTTGGGTACCAACGACCATTGAAATTAGAGCACTTATAAACAAATATATCTTTGCATGAACTTGCGTAGTAGCTTCTACTCTGTATAAACGTCTATGTTAATCTGGAGCCTTGCTTTGACTTTGATACTGTAGTTTGCATGTGATCCAGCTCTGCTGACAAAGCAAGCTTGGATTTGGGACGCAGCAACCTTCCCTTGAGTCTTGAGCTCATCCAACAACTCCGATGTGAAATAACGAGCTATACGGAGCACGCAGTATCCTCTGGCCAGCTAATTTGCTCTTCTTTCCACTGGCTCGATATCCGTTTCATCACCGGTTGCGGAGGGGTTCTGCCATCTCCTTCAAAACCGTAAGCTCCCTCCTCCGATGGGTCTTTCCACGGACACGACAGAAGGTACGGGCCAGGTATCTTGACTTCCAACATGATACCTTACCCTCGTTAAAACACCGTGTCCATTCGCGTATTTATCGAGCGATTACCGAAAGACAAAACTGGAGACGCTCTAATATCGGGACCAAACCATTGGGAAAGAAAGCAAGTCACGATCGGGAGCCGGGGTGGTCTCTATCTGTCGTCAAACAAGGGAATGACGCCGCAAAGGATGCCATAAGACCACAAAACAACCGCTCTAGTGTGATTACAAAAATGGAGTCTAGGGGAGACAGCTATGGTTGGGGCATGGATGGGACAGACGACGGCTACCAAAGAGGCTCCCGGCGGAAGAAGGTCTTCGACTACCTTAAAGCAGCAAACGACCTTCGTCAAGCTTATTCGGCTCAATGGATGCAGCGAGCTCAAGATATGCAGGGCTCAAGCCGTGAAGTTCCGAATGGCTTGACGGATATCGAACTGTCAAGATCTGGGAATGAAGAGATGGTGCTGTTCCCAAGCTATGGAAGGAAGCACGTGAAAGTTGATGACGCAAATGATAAGAAGAGCGATCAAGATTGGCCGAATCCACTTAGTGATGAGAACGCTGACAAGCCACAGCCTCAAGGGACGGAATATTGGGAAAGCTTCTGGCACAAATTCGAGACGGAGGACGCCATTGTGGATGTTGACGTTCGTGGATGGATATACTCCCCCCAGAAAGACCCTATGTCCCGCAAAAACAGGCTTTTGGTAGCTCTAGCAAGAAAAATCAGTGGCATACCTTCTCCCGACCCGGCTGACCCCAGTTTGACCGGCCAGGAAGATGCTTCTGTCGACAACCAAGCAGAATCCATAGCAAGGAGACAATCTGGCAACAACAAGCAGTCTTTGTTGCTAACCCAGGATGAAATATCCACCGCGAATGCCCAGTTAATGGAGCGCCTTCGACCCTTTCTCACTAACCCAGCAGTCGGAATGCCTGTGACAGTTTTCTTTTTCAATGATATCAAGAGCCAGTCAAGAACAATATTAACAAATGACGGCGGACATTTTGCAGTTAGAGCCTCCCTGGATTTCGCTCCCAGTCATATTAGGGTTCTGGCCTCTGAGAACCTCTCTGCGACCGAGGAGATTAAAATCACGGAGCCGAATGGGGTTAGCCTAATTAGTGATATTGATGACACAATAAAGCATTCAGCAATCATCAGCGGCGCAAAAGAAATGTTTCGAAACACCTTCGTGCGAAATCTCGCGGACCTGTCGGTGCTCGGCGTCAAGGAGTGGTACTCAAAGCTAGCAAGTATGGGCGTTGGGATACACTATGTTTCGAACTCTCCATGGCAACTGTATCCCCTTTTAAAGAATTATTTTGCCTTAGCTGGACTACCACCTGGCTCAATGCACCTGAAGCAGTATTCTGGAATGTTTCAGGGTATCTTTGAGCCAACGAGTGAAAGAAAGCGACCAACGCTGGAAAGGATTATTCAAGATTTTCCTGACCGGCAGTTCATTCTAGTGGGCGACAGTGGTGAAGCAGATCTTGAAATCTACACAGAGCTCGTTCTCGCCAATCCCGGCAGGATTCTTGCTATTTTCATTCGCGATGTTACAACTCCCGCCACGAATGGATTTTTCGACAGGTCTATATCCCACTTTGAGAACCCATTACCACGGAGCTCGAGCTGGAACACGTTTCAGGAACTTTCAAATGAAGTAGGCAAGAGACCGCCTTTACCACCAAGGAAGCCTGAAGAAGCTACTACTAGCGATTCGGGACTTGTCGATTTGATCGACCTAGAATCGGACAACGAAGCTGCAGATAATTTAACATCAGTCACCCGAAAGTTGTCAAATAATAGACCTATCCCGCCAGTTCCTCCTTCAAAGCCTACAAAGCTTCGCGGTGGGTCTATCGAAGCAAAGGACAACCCAGAACCAGACTCATTATCTATGCTGAGAAGGAAGCCTGTTCCACCTCCGCCGGCCAAACCACGTGCACTATCAGGCAACAGAAGCCCTTCTGAACGACCTCTGGGCACATCATCACTTGAAAACGTCTCAGTTCCATATTCAGCCCCCTCGCCTCGCCCTCGTGCCGCCCAGCCCCCTCCTGTCCCTCCACCACGAAGAAGTGGAACAAATACATCAGCGAAATCACATTCAGCCTCTTTCCAATCACATGCGCAGGCTTCGAGGACAGCAACATCCATATCAGACCGGTCGTCAAACCACCCGATGTCATCATCACCTTCTCTTATAATTCCTACTCCAAGGACCAGCACCCCACAACCTTTCTCCTCCTCTGATACACCGATACCTAATAAACGGGAAGAGGCATGGCGACGCCGTTGGCTGCGGGCAAGAGAAATTCTTGATCGCCGTGGAGTTGCCCTGCATAGTTGGCGGGTTGGGGGTGACGTGCAAGAGGTTTGTGTTGGATTGGTTAAACAAGCGCAGGGCAATATAAAGAAGTGATACCAAGGCACATTAGCATACAGCCCCCGAAAGTTTCGGGCTACCTTTTTTTTGGCAAATTCCTCAAAGCAGGGAATTACTCGAGGTTCATTCTGGATACTATGTATAACTTGACTGTAACTGGGTGGAGAACTGTAACTGCGAACCTTTAAAAGAGGCGGAGCATCTGTTAACGAATGTACTGTAGCATTATTGGGTTAAGAAGAATATTAAACTCTTAGCGTAACCACCCTAGCACATTGACGCCTGTGTAATCATATCAAAGCTCTATATCATCAGAAAGAATCGTTTGCAGAATTGGCTTGATTAGAGAGCCTATTTTACAAAGCCAAGTGCCTGTCATTGGCGATTGGAAGCCTAAGAGGTTAGGCTTGTTGCCCCGCCAAACCTTCCGAGTTTAGGCTTACCTGAAACGTCATCGTCTCTTTGGGCGGCGGGCGCATCCATTTCTATCTTATCGCAGAAGAATCAGACTGCTCGAAACGCCTCTCAGCAGCCCCAAATCGCAAAGCAACAAAACTCCGTCATGACAGCACAGGGAGCTCCCTCCGGTTCCCCCGAATCTGCACTCGACTCGTCCAAAATCCTATCCCTCGCCGCGTCGTGTGTCGATAAGGATGCGCCGAATGTGAGGACGCCATGGGAGGCAATTGCGCTCGTGGGCCATGCGTGCATGGTCGCGGTCGACTTTAGATTGATTGGTCTTAAGGAAGGGCAGACAATAGGTAAAAACGCAGCTTGTGATTTTGAAGGCGCCGCTAGCCTGCAATTTTATCAGATATGATGGCTAATCCGATTTACTGATTGCTAGTAGAAGACGAACCGACAACAGTGCTTCCTAGTAACTGGAACGACTCTGGAGTATACTCATTCAAGTATGCTCATCGCCAGTCTGCCATGCAGTTCCTCCTCAAAATCATACAGATAGGAAATAACGCCGTCATTTCTGCGCTCGCTCTTGGACACGACAAAACTGCTTCGTTCGATATCACGATTCGTGATTACATCTCTCTGTCAGCTCTCCCACTCGCTCCATCTTCGGATCTAGCAGATTCCCTACGGCGCGTATTTATTTCCCCCGAACGCTTAAACGATCTAATCTCATTATTCCGAATAAATGTAATTCAAAAACTTGTACCTGGGCTCCAAAAAGAGGGATATGAGGATAGCTTCACCACGTCTCAGAACCGCCAGGAAGCGGAGAATCAAAGGCCCACTCGTGATCCTCTTCGAGATGATCGGTTTCCTCCGCCGGCCCAGCCACACCCATTCCACGACCCACTCGCCGCTCCGCCCCGCCGCCCGATTCCCGCCGGAGATTTCCCACCTCCAGGCTTCGAAGATGAATACGAGATCAATGTTCCGCCGCGGGGATATAACCCGGAAGCACCATACGGCGGTGAACGCCGCCCTTTGAACATTGGAGAGCGCGATCTATACCCTCCTGGCTTAGGCCCACACGATCCGCTACGACCGCACTTTGGACCATCAGGGGGTGGTGGCGGGATGCATCCGACTTTTGACGACCCGCTATTTGGGGGCACAGGCGGGCAGCCGGGACCTTATGATCCACAAGTTCCGCCAGGGGCTAGATATGACCCCGTGGGTCCGGGGGATGGGAGACCGTTTGGTCGAGGGGCGGGGCGGGGTGGAGGGTTTGGACCCGGCGGAGGAAATCCGTTTGGCGGAGGTCTTGGCGGCGGATTTGGAGGAGATATAATTTGATGTTGAATCAGTCGTATTTTTGGCAGGCCCAATCCTACATATGTATAAGGCAAACTTGTTTCTCCGGGTGATTTCTGCAGATTTGGAGCTATCAGGCCAGATGAAGTGCCGTGGTAGTTCGGTGAATTGCACACTAGCAAATTGTCTCGAATATGAAAATATCCGTATTTCGCTCAGACCGACTTAATTGGACCAGGCCTTTGAACACACCAATCAATGGAAGTGCCAATGGTCACCGTACTTGACCAATAACTAAATCCACCACGTTAGACAAGGGGAGAGGCCAAAGACTCGTACAATGCCCCAAGTTGCTCGGCAGTCCGCTTATGAACAACAACGGCGACATGGGCGAATCCACCACATGACCTCCGCATCTCGGCAGCGGGAACGTTTGCTGGAGGCAATATCCATTCATTCGTAAAAACATGTCCGCAGCAAGAAGCGCGGAGCGTTTGTTCCCATCTTGAAATGCGTGGTTTTTCATTATCTTCTCCGCGAGATTCGCAGCCAGTTGGAATAGGTTTTCTTGTTTCGTATAGTGATTGAGGTTCATGGGGGAGTGGATTGCGGAATCTAGCATCCCGGGTTGGGTTGGAAGGTTCCCGTGAGGAAGGCTTCGCATATGGAGCCTCTGGACTTGGGCCGCTGTCAAGAAACGGATGTGTCTTGGAGACATGACGAAGCAGGAAAGGTGTGAGGAAAAGGCGAGGCGGGAAAGCTACCGGGTGAGGCCAATATGGGATTTTGGTGTAGACGAGAATTTCATGGATGGATTCTAACTTGGGGTTGTTGGGCTGATGCTTCTTCAAAAGTAATGGCTGGGGTGGCTTGGCGAAGGTTCGAGGTGCGATTGGGAAATTGCATTGAAATGCAAAGCACTCCTCACATTTCCTTTGAGAATATATAAAATGGCAAAGTGAAATCTTCCTATTATTATTTGTGGTGCTCGCGGCCTTAATCAGAACAAGTCTGCCCGCATTATCATATCTGGCATCTTGGACATTTCTAATTTGCATTTTTTTTTTAATTACTATGTTTCCGTGTTCGCCGTTTTTGCTATCCTCTGTATAACCCATATGCACATTTGCTTTCCAATGCAAGGTCGGCTGACGCTGTCAACAAAAGGATTCAAACGGGTGTTCTTCATTGGAGTTTCGTCAATACAACGGGTGGACAATTGTAAAAAGGCGTCAAATGGGAGAATCAATCTCTATGGGTTTAAAGGAAATAATCAGGAGTGCGACGGGACACCATAGGCTCTCCTGCTCTCGGGCAAGGATCGAATTGAAGGCTAGAAGTAGTTAGTATGTAACTCTATGTAGGCCAATACATTGGAATAGTGTCACGTACAAAGTATATTTTAGGTGTTCATCAATCTCCATAATTGCAGCCTGGTTTCCGCATCTGTAGCAGTAATTTGGGGCTGGTAACACCATTAGCATAGCTCAATATCCACGGTGAAGGTGTGCTGGCTCGCGGTACCTGAGAAAATTGTCACCACGTTTCTGTCCTGTGACCAATTATAACCCTCCATAACCAGCTGATGCGCTCTCGCAACAAGAGTTAATCCGTTGTTATGATTGAAAGCCTCTGAGATATCCTGGCCGAAGGTATAACCTGCACCACGTGGAGAGATACCCCAACCGCATCTATCATCGGGATCGCTCCAGAGAAGATCACACATGGGACCTTCGTGAGGCACCTCTTGTATACGATCTAGAGATCGAATATTGTCAAGTGTGTCGATTGAAGGACTTAAACCGCCGTGAAGACAGAAGATTTGGTTATCGATAAGGGCAGTGAGGGGTAGGAAATCGAATAGATCGGTGAAATATTTCCAGACATTAGCGTTGCCGTATTTTCGCAAACACTCATCATAGAACCCATAGACCTGCGTGATCTGTCGAGATTCATGGTTTCCGCGGAGAATTGTGATTCGTTGAGGGTAGCGGATTTTCAGGGCAACGAGGAGTGTAACGGTCTCAACAGAGTAATATCCGCGATCCACGTAGTCACCTTGGCAAATTCAGCAGGAGGCCAGGGAGGCACGTTCTGAGGCGACATACCCATGAAAAGATAATTTGTATCAGGATTGGGACCTCCGATTCGAAAGAGCTCCATCAGGTCATGAAATTGGCCATGGATATCTCCGCAAACCGTGACGGGGCATTTCTATCGTCGCAAAACTATCAATATCGTCGACTCCGCTTGCACCGTGGCGCGTGCTCAGGTGACAGGGAAACCACATACCACTGGCTGAACATTCGACTCTTCTTGTAGAACCTCTCTTGCCTAACAGAAGATAATGAGTGCCAATTTTCCCAATCTGTCACAGACCCCGTGCGTATCAGCAACGCGGTAGCAGTGTGCATACCCGATCACAAAGCCTCTGTACATCGCTCTCTGCCAGCTGCTTGCAACTCATCAAGCTTTCAATCCACCCGTCCAGTGTCGGTATAGATTCAGGGTCGCTTGCCAGAGAGAGGTGGTGAGGTTCAGGCGTTCGTCCGGAATCGATCTCCATTTTACCGTCTATCGGTTGGTAGAAGGAAGGGTCCGACATGGAGAAGCAAGCTGAGGGGGTGCAAATGCGGGTTGAAATTGGAGCGTGCACTGGGAAATCAGGGAAAGCGGGAGAATTGTCAACAAAGTGAGAAATGGGTATCAACAACACAAGTATTAGGTAGGTTTAGAACAAGGACGAAGAATTGTGGATGGCAGTGTTTGGAGGGATTTGTTTCAACGCAGCAGCTGTGGAGGGGAGATGGGTTGGGTTCACGCTCTTCAGATCTGGAACCAAGAAAGGGTCAAGTTGTTTGAGGTGGGAGGCGCCACAGCGACGGCACACTAGTGGGCTCACTAGCCCCATTCAGCCACAGCTGGGCGCTTATATAATAGTCAAGTGTTGTTACATTTTGGTCTTCTGATAAACTAAAAAGTGCTATCACAGACGCCTGATATGCTGGTGCACAGCTCCCCTCATGCCAAAACCGCTTTCCCCTCCAGAGGAACCTTTACTGGTTCACCATCACTTCCCTCCTGTCGTTCACGACTGTTGATTGGCTTGTCAATGTTTTGTCCCTTTTCTGAACCTGAACTGTACCCATTCCCGGAATACGTTCTCACTTTGGAGCTCCCATCGGGCACATAGAACCGTTGATCCATTCGCGCTAGCAGAAACAGATAAGCAACGACGGCTTCTATCCCGAAGTTGAAAATGTAAAAACACGCTTTATGATGGTACCATGCCGGGCTGAAAATTGGACGGGGTGGCATCGCGCTTGTCCCCAGTCGGAATCCGGCACCAAGTGTAAGGAGTGCTGCCGCGGCGCCTACAATCAAGCTTTTCGCGATCCAGCTACCCTTCCCGAAAGGTTCCACCGGCTGTGGCTGGCCTCGTCGAGGAGCTAGGTGAACGTATGCAAGGATAGGAAGTGGCAGAAAGGAGATGAACGTCAGATAGCTAGCGCCGTAAAGCTGTAGGTTGCGGTCAATGCGACGGGTGTTGGGATTGAGGGTGTGGAAACTCTGGACCGAAGCGGTGATAACAATGACGAGAGTCAATCCGACGACGACGTATAGCGCTTTGAATGTGTAGGACAGGGGCCGCGACCATCCTAGCCGAGGATGACTTGCGCGCAGTATGCGTTGGGCGTAAATGAGGTTCAGGATGAACAAGATAAGCACTCCTGCAGCGACGAAGACTTGAGCAGCGATCGCAAGCCTGATGTTCGTTTGCCGTGTGGCCCAAGCAATGCGTAAAACATTCGCTACAATCCGGGCCATGCAGAAGCCAAATGTGGCGGCGGAAGGAATAAATTTATGGCCTCGAGAAAGGTTTAGCCGGAAGAGGCGCATATGGCTGACGGCCCCAACAATAAAGATGGCCAAAAAAACAGCCGATATAGGTACATCAACCGAGACTGTGGGCAGGCCACCCAAGCTCGCTGATGTTGGAAGATAAGGTGGGCCTTGCGCGTTTCCAGGAGGCTATGAAGGTGTTAGATCGAGCAGATCCACGAGAAAGTTGACTGTATCGTACCTGTCCTTGGGGTTGTTGCGGCGGTGTTGACATTTCCACAGCGTGCTATTCTTGGATAAATGAATGGACAAACTATGAGGACGGTTTAAACCATGCCCTCGCTGAACAATCCCTTGTTGATTGCAGTGGGGGAAGCGGTCGTTTGAAGCAAAGATCGATTCACAAATCGACTACACGGAAAGAAGATGGAAATGAGAGTCTGTTCCTGTTCTTGAAGCAAAAACGAAAGAGAGCACCAGTGAAAGACGTCTCGAATAAATAGCTCTTTGAAGGAAGCTCCATGGTTGTAGATCTATGAGATTCGGTCGGTGAGAATCTAAAATCGGAACCGAAACCAACGCTTCCGCCAGCGAAAACCATTCGCTGGTCGGTCAGTCATCAACAGCGGCGGCCTTGTGGGTTCATCCAGCCGGCTTGACCCATGCGGTGTTGGGTCTGATACCATGTTTGACAGCGCCTGCTGATGGGTAAGCTCAGGGACTAATATGTCGGCCTCGCGGACTATGCAGGAGCGGACGAGACGATTCTGGGGGGACAGGGGAGGAGCCTGGTCTTCGACAGAGGGTAAAGGGCGCTGGTTGCCAATGAGTAATTCGGTTTGGATTCTTCATCGGTATCACGGAGTTTGAGGAGCACCGACTCCGCCGATAACGCCAAGACGAACCAGAAGGCCATCAAAGAGAGATATACGAAGTGCCGTCACTGAATCTTAATCAAAAATAAAAAAATAAAAAAATAAAAAAAAGAGCACACTATTTCAAAAACGATGGTCTTGCATTGCAAAGTGTCAGGAAAAGCGGCCATAATCGTGCCAGCAGGGCAGGGTCCTGGAGGAGACGATGGCTTTGGTGACTACTTGGCTGATGGCAATTATTCATCGCTTGAATAGTAGCGTAAATGGGTGGATATTCGGATTCAAAATATTGGAGCCATGGAGCCTCATTTCTCAAATGCAATATTGTAGCCACCTGTGTTTTCGTCCTTTATGAATTTGAAATTCTCCGTCGACAATCCAAACGGCTTGAGAATTCCGTTTCCAAGCTAGGGAATCAAACGTCAGCCCACGCCTTAAAATTGCGAAGGGACGGGTTATCGTTTGGCTTACATCCTTCAACTTCCCCATCATGTCGCCAACCTCCTTCTCCCTTGCAATGTTGATTTTCGCTGGAAGTTCACTCAGCGCTTTTATCGCCATCAGCTCATCATTGCGCGGTAGCACTTTTAACTGAATCAGCTCTTTATAATCAGTCTCCGCTCCTTGCAGATTCGCCCATCCGCCAAGTTCCATTTTTGCTCTCGCTCTTCTCATCAATGCTTTGGCACGGATCCGCTTCACATCTTCTTTCCTAGTATCGTTTTCATTCAGTCTTCTCAGCTGCTCTGCCTCATCTTCTTCGTCACCATCTGCGTCAAGTTCTATCACAGCGCTCGCATCCTCCCGCCCTTGGTCTGACTGCTTGGATTTATCTTCGTGGTCTCCGGAGGTCGCAGGTGCCGGAGAAGGGAAAATCCGATTCAAGCATTCTATGCTCGTTGTAGCCGCATCTACAGCCGCCTTCCAGTTTTCAAGCTTCAAGTGGCATGCCGCGATGTTGCTCCTGAGGACCGCGATTTCAAAATCGAGGTAATTCGGGCAGAACGATAGCGCATGGTCATATATAGTTATTGCTTCAGAGTACCGTGCTGAGGAGAAAAGCTTGTTCGCCTGAGACTTTTGGGTATTGGATTGCGTGAGAAGATGCTACAAGGCCTGCTCAGCAACGGAATCATAATAAACGACCTTGAATCATAGCTTGGGGCCGACATGACATACTGCTTCTTCACTGGGAGGGAAACGGGCATCATGAAAAACGTCATTCTCGTCATCATCACTCTCTTCGGGTGAAATTGTTGATCTCTTCGCGGCAGTCGACATACTTGCGGTTGCGGATGAGCTTGTGGAATGTTGCACCTGTCAGGAACAAGGTTCGATGCGTTTTTGGAGGCATCGGCAAACCTTCCCCGGCTGGGCACGGGTGCTGATAAGATAAGATCGTCAGAGCTTTGAACCTCGAATCAAGCGGGGAATCAATCTCACTTTTCCACCTATTATTAGCATATAATCTTGAAGAAATACACATTTTATCATTATCATACGCGCAATGGGATCTCAAAGGTATACATCTTTTTGAGCTTAATTCTCATCCAAACCTTTGGCGCTCAAGCAGCTAACACCCCTAGTTTTCCACCCGTGCGGGCGTGCCTATTCGACATGGACGGCCTTTTGATCGATTCCGAGGACCTTTATACCCTTGTTGTAAATAAGATTCTACATGAATATGGCAGGCCATCGCTTCCTTGGTCTATTAAAGCGCAATTGCAGGGCAGACCAGCGCCGGAGGTAGTTCCAACCGTACCTCAAACCCAAGAAAGAAACCAGATTAACTCTTTGCTTCGATCCAAGGCCACGCGAATATTCCACAAATGGGCTCAACTTCCCATTTCTCCTACCGAGTACTCTACCAAACTCTCTACCCTCCAAACCGAGCACTTTCCCACCACGAAGCCTCTCCCGGGTGCCTTCGATCTGGTGCAAACCCTCTCCAAGACCGCCAACACTGATTCCCCTGTGCACATTGCACTTGCGACGTCATCACAACGAAGCAACTACATGCTTAAAACATCCCACTTGAATGAACTGTTCTCCCTATTTCCACCTTCCAGAATCATCCTTGGCGACGACCCCAGGATCGGCGCCGGGCGAGGCAAACCGAGACCAGACATCTATTTACTAGCGCTGGAGAGCATCAACCAGGAGATTCGTGCAAATGGCAACAGCGAGCCGGAAATCAAACCAGAAGAATGTCTGGTTTTTGAAGATAGTGTCCCCGGCGTTGAGGCGGGGAGAAGAGCCGGAATGAGGGTCATTTGGTGTCCGCATGAGGGGCTATTGAAGGAATATAATGGAAGACGAGAAGAGGTTCTTGCTGGTGTGACTGGCGAACACAAGGAACTTGACTTGATCGGTGCCAACTCAGATGATGGGCTCGGGACTGAACATTGGAGAGCAATCGGGGCTGGCAAGCCAGGGGTGATTGGTGACGGAGGAGGAGAGCTGCTGGATAGTTTAGAATCCTTTGTCTATGAAAGGTATGGTATTCAATTAAAATAGCTTCTTGGCCGGAATAGATTTGATACCCATATTAAGCTTGATAGACTATTCGATCCACTTAAAGCATCCCGCTAATCTTCAAGTAGTTACATTCATTCAAAAGGCCAACAGCCTGGTGATAAACCAAAAAGTTCATAGTTTCAAAATACTTGGAGATGGAATTCATAAGCATGCTAAATGGACAAATTAGCAATTTGGAGTCCGTTAACTAAAGTATATAGGCATATAACCAAGAAAAGAAAACCTCTGAGAGTCTATTGGCGGATTGATATAAGCAAGGAGGTTGAAGTCCAGGCTTATGCTTATGCTCTCACAATCAATCCAGTTCAAGTTCCAATAAATTCCGGAGCCAAACCAAACCTAACGCCCATCCAAAAACAAAATGTCATGCAAAATATAAAAATGGAAAGTGACAATCTAGTCCGCTGACTTCGTTAACATTCCGTCATTAATTCATCAATTCGTTTGTATTCGTTAGATCGTGTCTCGTTGAATTGTTCAGTGTCAAGCTCTATCCCCAGGACTACGCTTGATCGCCCTTCTAGGTTCATTAGTACTCTCTTGAGCATTTGAATGATGGCAGTTATGCGGAAACGGTGGCATCGGTAGATATTCCAAATCCTGATGGGGGTTGGGGAAAGCTGTAAAGTAAGGCGGGTAGCATGCTTGATGTTGTGCTTGGAGGTTCATGTCTGACTGAAGGCTACTGTGATGACGGCAACCAGACTCAGATTCACCAATGGTGCGTCCCTCCGAAGTAGAAAGGTTGGGTTGAGTGGCGTGCTGTTGACCTCCATGTATTTCCATGTTGGGGGCGGGGATATTCGAGGCTGTATAACCTTGTGCATGTAGGGCATAAGTCAAAGCTTGAGGTGTCTGCGGAGTTGTTCCTGTGAAGTGTGAGCTTGAGATCTCTTGCGCGTGGAAGCCTCTAGTATAGGCACTAAATGCATGGTTTCCTGTGCTTCTTGGATGCCTCCCTACCGAATTCCGCGAAATTTCAGATTTCGGGGTGGCTAAAGGATTTAGGTGATGGGGCGGCATTGCCCTCGATTGATCACCACCATATTCGCCGGACGGAATAACACCATGAGGATTGCGAGAAAAATGTGCGCAAGGATGTTCTCTCATTGCCCTGCCGGGCGGCATATTATATGGACCATGTGATGGTAGAGATCCGACGTTGCTGTTTGCTGAATTTGGGGGCGTGTGTAGCTGCGGATTGGGTAAAGGGGTTGTAAAACCATCGGTCGCCACACCCATATGAGATGATGGGATACCGGCATGACCGTATGATCTTGTAGACCCTCTCCTTTGGCGCTTACAGATCCGTGGGACACTAACAGGCGTCACGGCTTCTTCAGCAGCGTATCGCCTATGCCGCTTTCGAGGGGCGGGGATCATGGTTCTGCCGGACTCTTTTTCTTCTTTCTCCAGAGCATCCTTTCCGGCCTTGATCACCATCCCCTTCTTAGCATTCAGGCCCTTGTTTTGTTCAACGCGCTTAGTGCTGTTAGTAAGACTCCGAAAACAGGAGACGAGTCGCTTACATTTGCTTGGTAACTAGGATCATCGATAAAATTGAGGAAAAAAGGCACATCTATCAGCCTCTTGCAGATGGTCTTGCGTTCCTACATTTCAGGTGTCAGTGTGCAAATAGAACTATTCAATATTCGCAGATCTCCTTACTCTAAGTATTTGAAGGATGATGGATATTCTTTCCTCAAACGTGGCGATGCCATCAGTCCTGTGGTTCTCCTTGGTGTCCCATAGATGACGCAGTGGCCCAGTTTCGTGGCGTTGAATGCATGCCTCCTAGGAGTATGTTAGGGAGTAAGTCGAAATGAAGACTGTGATATTCTCACCATGATGTTCCAGCATGCAATTTCTACGCGCGGCTGACAATATCTGCCATCCCTCCAAGGTCGGATCATTCCGTCATTGTCCTTCGACTCCGTGAGGGAATACATTGCTTCCATCAAACTTCTGACGATCGCTTCGCGCCCCTCTTGAGTTTTCGGGACGCTAAGGTCAACAGAAGGTGCCGACCACTTCTGTGGAGCGTATGAATTTGCCTCAGCTGCCGAAGTAAACGTCAATGCTATAACCTCTGTTCCTTCTGGAGCACTTGTATTTCTTTCAATGCTGGGACCTGTATTGAGTATCAGACACTTGGACCTTTCAAGTTTGGGGTTATGTGGGATGGCCAGCTGTGAGACAGCTTCCGGCTCTGCAGGTTTCGCCTTTGAACCAACACCGAAAACAACTTGAGGGCCACTCATGGAAGTAGCATCCAGTGTTCCCGCCAAGAAACGTGTTGGACTCGCGGGCGCCTGCATATTGCGTTTCGGAGACTTGGCTGGCAATAAACGAAGGGGTAACGTACCGTTGAATGCTCCAGCTTCGATTGCAACTGTATCCTCGGCTTCGTTATAGCTACACTGTCCAAAACCTTCAAATGAAGCTCCTATGAATTTGCCGGCGGAGTCCCCGTATTGGTCACCGCCATACTGATGTGAATCGTCTCCCGCTCCTAGAAGGCATCAGCAATGGCTAAAGCAAAGTTTAATGATAGGATTTCAATTTTAATACCCGTGCCACAATCGTATTTATATTCGCCTCGCGAATGTACAATGTCCTCAAATGCAAAGTCGAAATGGGAATCCTTTGCATCCGATTCGGATTCAGGAGCATTTTTGATATTGGGGGATCCTTTCGCGTCCCTAAAGCACCTAATGTAAGAATCTTGAGGTAATATTGCAAGCAAAAGATTTTCACATACCCGTTAGGAACTTGCCCAAGAGATTCATGAAAATCATCTAGAAAACTGATATCCGGGAAATTGAATTCTGCATCAAACCCAGTAGACATATCAAATTCATTTTGAACCATATCCATTGAATTCTCCATGGCAGATTACTGTGAATCTTGAGAGCTTGTTAAAAGCTCTTATAAAAAGTCCAAATGTGGTCCAAAAAGCAGTATTCCTGTTTAACACAAAGCTCTCATGGAGTTTAACGAAATGTTAATGGAAGTGCCGCATAGAAATGAATAATTTCAACCTTTTGCAAATGCCGGGCCTGGTTGGTGCGCCGTTAAGGGATCAATAATGGTAAGCCTGTGGGCGTTCAAGAATAACCGCAACCTATCAAGGAAAAAAGGGGACGTCAGAAGGCGACGTGGAAGTGACGTGAAGATGTGGACGTGAAAGCCTTGCAAAGTCTAGCAAGTTGATAGGTAGTAGATATCGAATGACGACAGGAGAATGGCAAGAAGGGAATTGAACAAATGAATCTTGGAAGAAGCGATATAAAAGCGCCCGCCTAGAGGCCAGGGCTCGCTAAGCTCCATTTCACAAGTCCTATTCACTTGCAATTGATGAACCAAAGTGACGATTGCTGGGCTGAATTATCAATGCATCACTGACAATAATGATACAGCGCAGCGCTAGTACCCTTTGGCTCATGACAGCCGTGACAATGTGAAAGTTCAATACTCAATCAGCATCTCCATGAATAGAGCCCGGCAGATACCGCTATTCATAGATTCAACATTAACTATTGGAAAAGCTTCACGGCATTTCCCGCGCTTGTAATATAGGTAGAAGAGGAAGGGTATAATCACGGGAAGTTCAAGTGCGATATAGTCCATTTCTCGACTACATTAGAGATACAAACTTGAATCCATAGCACCCAGTGTTCAATATTGGGAGGTGTACAGCAGCCAAAGGATGGCCATCTAGAGTACACCGACGGATTGTATATATGCAGTGTTCCTCCGTTATTAGCACAAAAACAGGACTGCGCCAACTGTAGACGGTCAGCAACCTCGCAGGAAAGAATCCACTGGGCAATGCTACAAGAGCTGGCACAATTCAGCGCTCTGGACGAGAATTTAGCGGTGTCCCGGACGTTATATTTGTCGGCAAACCACACTGTCCGTTGCCTCAAGGGCAGCTTCCTGGTAGAGGCCGTAAAAAGCAGGCTAATTCCCAGAACGAAAGTGGTACCAGCCGGTATCAAGATGCGAAACAACCGGAAAACGGCCCTTTTGTATGTAAAGTGGCCATGTCTAAATTTCCCACGGAAACGTATAGAATAGGATTAGCAGTTGCTTTTCGCCATCCCAAACCAATTCAATGAGCTGATGACCTCAATGAAGGATGTTGGGATAAAATTGAATTCAGAGCTGAGTAATCGGTCAAAGGTATTCTGCGTAGTAGTTAACGGCTAGTCCGACGAGGCTTCCACTAGCCTGGCGGTTTCCCCCTAAATTGCCTATTTCATCTCCGCATCTTACAATCGGGCAGCTTCATCAAATTCATTTGACTGACGCCATCAGCATTTTGAACCAGGTGACCCAGGCTCCTGCCGATAGTTTCTCAGACATTTACCCATCCTGCAGGAAGAGCTGGCTATCTATAACTGCCATATCTTTAGACTATTATCGATTTTATAGGGCGGGAAGTAGGACAGAGGGGAATCGGAGCCCCCGTTCTCATCAGCTTCCTCTCCGCCATCATCCTCTTGGAGATAACGTTTTTGACCTGAACAAGTCGCCAAAATAGTCCCTGTTTGGTGAAAAACCGCACTCGAGATGGGGTCTCGAAGCATTATTAGCTTTATTTGCGAAAATAAAGGGAGGTATTTACCGTCATGAATTTTCCGTTCCCAAGTCGGGTGAATTTCTCCTTCAAAATTTGTCGGGCTTTCCCACATGCGGATAAATCCATCCGTGCCACCAGCCCAAATCTCATGACTCATCGGATTATTGCCATTAGTAATATCGGCTTTCAATCGCTGGTTGGTCATCGCTTTCCTGCCGCTCAACCAAGCAACTAGTTTGCCAGTGACTCGAATATCATATATCAACATTCCATCGCTTTTCCTTTCCGAGACATACAAGTACCTGCCGCAGGGGCTCCAGAGAACTTGGGTAATACCTTTCCCTCCAATTCGCCGCTCTGCTTCAGTGCTTCCAACGCTAAATGTCGCAATAGTTTCGCCAGTACCATGTGCAGCATAGAGGCCAATATGTCTCGTGAACGTGCCTGCTGCGACTATACCGTCGCCAGAAGGGTTATCAGCTAGGGTCGAAATGATTCCTTTCATCCCAACTCCCCCTCCAACCTTTTTGTTTCGCTTGCTAGGGATGGTAGGCATTCTTGAGATTGGACCGTCTTTCCCGGGACGTGATATGTCAAATAAACAAATCAGGCTGTCGGACCCAGTGAGGAAATGGGTACCATTAAAACTCGTAGGATAGAGTATGCTATGCGGAGTGATGAAAGCTTCTGTTGTAGGAGATATCAGGCTGTACGATGCGACTTGTCCCGGGTACAGTGCCGAATTTAATCTAATAGGGTGATCCCGAATTGATGATAGAATTATTGCCGTCGAGGTATCTTGGAGTGAGAAAAATGGATAAAGAGCGACTGAATAGACGGGTTCTTTGGAAGCAATAGTATGGTAAGCAGTGACTGTATGAGGGAGGGCGCTTTTCTCGAGCAAATTAGGAGGCCTACTCAAGAGGTGAGCCTCACAGCCTCTAGATATTATAGGATTAAAGCAACATACAGTACGAAAGTTCGAAGGTGGTTGTCTGCAGAGTTTGTGATGATAGTGGTCCCGTCTGCGGCCCTATATTAAACAATAGCTATTAGATAGCACACTCGAAAATAAGCTCATAGTGTCTTACCAGTCTGCAGATGTAAAGTAATTTGAAGCGGTCTGTTCTACCTTGTTAGGCTCTCCACAGTCAGCTAGATTTTGCTTCAGAAATACGTTTCCAGGATGGTGGAAATAGTCTCCTGTGTCGCCCGTCGACGCAACGCACTTCAAGTCCCAAGACTCCGGGGTATCTTCAACCATCTTTGCAGGGGTAAAGTCCCACAGACGAAAAAAGACTATGCAATTCTGCTCCTGTGGACTCCTAGGGGTAACCGGGCCACAGGCAATTTCCAACCATCAAGAGGCCTCATAGATTCAAGACACCCAAGAATCGCGCAAGGTGAAAGTTGAAAACCTAGAGCATATGTGCAGCGGGAAGACGGAGAATATGGCACGGGCCCATTTTCTGGCATTTATGAAGTAGCTTTTGAGGGCTTTCTAAGCGATTCCCAGAACAAACTACGGTAATCACCCGATGGCAATGCGCTTTGAGTATAGGATCTGTTGATGGTGATGTCGTCCTCAGATTAGGTAGTTACGGGACGATTCCTAACCTGGTCAAGTCGCATGATTAATCATTTTAGTGAGTAAACTAGTTAGTTTCTAGTTAGCGGCTGAAAGCAAAAGGCTTAGCGTCGAGTTCAGCATTCAGCCGTGAGCGCATATCACCACACTGTTGATATTCCGTACGGAGTACGCACACAATCAATTCAGTGCCGATACGGCACAGGCCCCTTTTGTACTTTACCCTTTGGCTTCATCATCTCACTTACTACCATGTTCGGCGCTCGCACATCTGCTCCAGCCACAGGCGGCCTGACTGTCAATACTTCGTCTGCGAATGCCCTCTTGTAAGTCATACATCTTCACGGTGCATCAATATGATCATAAAATAATCACTGGATTATCCCTGTTCTATGGTCTACATCTTCGACCTTGACAGCCTGTTTGCGAAAGTAATGGAAGCCATCCTGACAAGGTTTTGCATAGTGGAAATAACCCAAATCCTACTCCAACAACCTCAACGACAACTGGACAGAATCCCAGCGGTGCATTTGGTAACCTTGGCTCAACAACGGCCACTTCAAATGCGGGTGGAAATCTATTCGGCGGCCTAGCGTCAACCCCCGCGATCTCTTCGGCCCCAAGTGCAGGTTTGTTTAGCAATACAGGCTCCGCAAATACTCCTACAACTAGTGCCGCAGGGCTTTTTGGCGCGCTTGGGTCATCTACAGCAGCCACAGCGCCCCAGCAGTCAGGGAATATGTTCTCCGGGCTAGGAGCTTCAACAAACGCGTCAGCAACTGGGACGACACAAGCTCAACAACCAGGAGGGTTATTCGGTGGCGGTGCTGGAACCCAAACAAAGCCTACGGTAGGAGGCTCGCTATTTGGCCAGACGCCTGCTACGTCTCAGGCCCAAACCAAACCTGCTTTTAGCTTGGGAGGCGCTTCAACAACTGGTGGAGGATTATTGTAAGTTCCGAAGGAGCCCATAACGGATAGGTCAATTCACTCATTTTCTTATCTAGTGGTGCGACTACAGCGCAACCACAGCAACAGCAACAGCAGCAGCAGCAGGGACCAACTCTATCCCTTTTTGCGAATCAAAATTCTTCTGCAAAGCAAGATCAAAAGGCTCCCGGAGCTCCAATCGTACAAGGAGTCAAGATTGACATTTCAAACCTCCTTCCTACGACAAAGTTCGAAAGTTGCGCCGACGAGCTGAAGAAGGAAATTGAAACGATAGACACCTATATTCTCAACCAAATTCGCATGTGCAATGAGGTCTCCGATCTATTGCCCACAATATCTGCTCAAGGAGCATTGATACCGAATGATGTCGAGTTTGTTCAAGGTAAACTTGATGCACTACAGGAAGCTCTGGAGAATGACGCCAGTGGAATCGATCATGCTCGAAGCCTTGTCAAGGAAGATGCAGAAAATGCTAAACTCGCATTCCGTGCAATTGATACTATGCTTTTGCCATCGCAATACCAGCCAGCCCCAGGCGAGAGATGGTGGTCGTCGACGCAACAGCCGCAATCCATCTCCAAACACTCCCTTCGGACCACATTTGGCATGCGACGAGCCACTCTCGCCCTTCCAGAGGATACAGAAGTCGATTCCACCCAAGACGGACCCAATAACGTTGTAGATTATTTCTCACGCCGTGCGGATGAAATGGACGCTGTGCTTGGAGAATACCGCAAGAACCTGAAAGAAATTGAAGACCATCTCCATGGAGTGGAACTTTCAATTCAAAAACAAATCAACGACATTGCATCATTCAGGAGTAAAAATGGCACCCCACATAAACCTGCCTCCCGAGTTTCCCAGCTTGCTTCTACACTGGGAGACGTGGAAACCGCAATTCTTGGGGTTGCTGGCAGGTTAGGCGGCGTTAAGGAGGAAGTCCAGGAAGTTATGTTGGGCCCACTTGGCGGTCATAGCGGGAAAATCCCGAACGGGTGGTGATTATCATTACCATTATTCCTCCTGCAAGCTATTTGCTGTATCAATAATAGATCATGAGCGTTAGCGACAGGGCAAAAAGCTACATACGGAGTTTCGGTGCATATGGAAGTGGGAATTGATTACGCACCTTAAGTTTGCAGTTGTTGTTTTTTACAATACCCATCCGTCGGGCGAGAAATCCATGGTCGGTTTTGAATTACAGAATATGTGCTTGTTGATTTCGTCGTACCCTTATTCAGCGGACACCCACACACTATAACAGGGAGAATCTCAGCTCCTCTTTGCGCCTCGCCCGTTTCACTCCTCTTCTTTATTTCTTTGGGGTACACCAAAATCGCAATGCTTCCCGGTGAGACGTATGAGGTCCATGCGATATAAAATCCGCCGTGAGGACCTCAGCTCCGCCGTGTCACGTGTCTTATATCCCGGTGACCTCGAAAGCGCCGCACGCAACGTCCCATGTCATCCGCAACGTCCCATGTCATCTCTAGATAGACCAGGTGGTGCTGGCTACGAACAAGCCCGCCTGAGCTAGTTGCGTCAAAGGAGTGTCAAATATGTCAAGTTTTCTCCGGGCGTCGGTGCTCGATTACGCTCGATTTTACGGCATCGCCAATGATCATATGGCTATCGATCCTAATAGCCTCATCCCTCAGTTTCCCAGAAATATGCTAGTAAATTCGCTTGAGGATATGAATCAACATGTTTCATTGGATTTAAGTCCTTTACGTCAGTCAATCTCCAAACAGCAAAGAGAAAGATTAAACATAAGCAAAGCAGATGCCGCCTTTTTAGAACTGGCTCTTCGACAGAATTCTTCCGGTCGTCTGCATCCTCTGAAGTGGAATGAGTTCCTTCTAAACCGCCATCGGATAGCCGATATCAAATACGATCCGCCCCTCTTACGGACAGACCATGAAAGCGATATGCTTATCTTTCGTAAAATGCTGTCCCCGGATAGAATGGAAGTCGATCTGCCGCTGGAGAAAATTGATACCGAAAATGATGAAGGGCTCGTGTTTCCGATTTACATTCGTGATCTGCCTAGACAAGTCCAAGAACGTATTGCGAATGAGAAGCTCGATTGCACGAGGGAAATCTTACTCTTCTTGCAAACGACGAGGAAAAGTGGCACCTTTCCCGCCCTGGAGAAAAGCAATGGGACACAGCCTAGGTATACCAAGGTCAATACGATACTCCAAATCTACTCAGTCTGTCTACTAATAGCTCTAGCTATAGAGAACGGACTTAGAGCCGATTACACCTCCCATCGTTCCCAGGAGCTTTCCTATCGTTCCGTTTATCCCTTCGTCTCCGAACATGGTAATGGAGTTGCTCTCTGAGCCCGCCACCCCTGAAATACCAGAACACAGGCAAATAGAAAGGGATCTAACGATGGACTCAGCCGTATTTTCCCGGGGAATACCTGAATCAGATCGAAACAAATTCAGCCGGGCGATCTTGGAAAATTTCATTGATACGGAAACTAGGTGCCAAAACGGCCCAGCGAATGTAAAGTTGATTTCGCCCAGGAAAAGGGTGTTAAGCCAGTCCCTCAAGGTTGATGGCCCTCTCACTCCGCCATTTTCTGTTAAGAAACGCCGGGCCGAGAGGGCGAAAAAGGAGACGGGCGAAATTATAAAAGCCATACCGAGACTGAGGTTCTCCTATAAGAGAAGATCCCTTTTCGGGATTAGGTCATTTCCTCAGAGCTTCATCACTTGCAGAGAAAGAGGTAAAAACGAAACTGCATACTGAGCAAATTCGTGGTATCAATGCAGATATTCGAATTCAGACCCCGACACTAACGGATTTCTCTTTAAATCCTCCCTGGGGACTACTTCATACATCTGGCGAATCTACCTGTGGTCCGGACTCCTCTAACGGTCTAAATACCGCATTAATGAAAATAGCCAAATGCCACAATATGGATTGCAGCCGTCAGATATCAGCAAATGATGAACTGAATCTTCAATGGAATCCATTTCCGATGGGCATCTCTAGATTGCACGCAAGAGAACAGATTGACAATATTGACCTTTCAAAGTTTGTTAAAGCAACAAAAACTGAGAATAGTAAATATGAAAAATTAATGGAGCAGAGGTATACAGTCGGCTTGGGATTGGAAGAAGACTTCAACAAGCATATTCCAAAACCAACGCTTCTTATTGAAGCAACAAGCAGCGCTGTTAGTGACTCGTCAGCAGATCTAGATCCAATTCGCGATAAGCAGACAACCGAGCCTTTATGCTTCCCAGCCGATAACCTATATCCGCCGAATGAAACTCAACCGAAAAGCACAGTGCTTTTGTCCCAGTTCTCTCCCATGAACCAGTTATCTAATTTTATGAACATTCGAGGGAAAAGAATACAGAACAATCCAGCCTCACCACCGCACCCTGCAGAAACACTTGATGGACTCTTTGAAAATGCTGACGCAAAGAACAAGCCAGAAAAGGATCCGTATCATCCTTCTTTGTTGAGGTTTCCTTTGCCTGAAATCTCTTGCCCAGCGCGCCCTCTCACATTTGTGATTTCAACCTCGTTCTTGCAGACGCATCGATCCGTTATAAGGAACCTTGAAGCTCTCACAATACCCAAAACTCTGGTCTTTCGTGATTATAGTGCGATAAAGCTTCTACCGAGAGTAAAAGAGCGGGTTGACATGCATGTCAGTCTAGGGACGACAAGGCAAGTTCCAATACAAACCGGCCGAGATGGAGATGATGCCGATGTGGTCATATCCCCGAGTACGGCTATTCTTCTCACGACATCCCAGGAAACGACCCAGCTTCACCTTCCAGGCCACTCGCCGAATCACTCTAGCTTTGGATCTCTGCTCTCGTCTCCGCTTAAAGAGCGAATCTTTCACGTATGCCGCAGATACGAGCGATTATACGTTTTGGTTTGCCATCCATTCGATCCAGATGGGGCTTCCCTGGCAAAAATGGCTAGCAAGACATTTGAATCTACTTGCAACTTCATCTCATTCTGTTCTTCGCTCGCCCAATTTTGCAATGTCATCCCCATTGTGGTACCCACTGCTGTGGAACATCTAACACAATGGATTGTCAAGCTCGCAGACAATCATTCCGTACACGTGCCATGGAGCACAGCAGAGCGGAGTTCAGATCTAGCTGCGAATGAAACTCGTGTAACAATCCCCTCTAATGACCCAACTATTTGGGAGCTCTTCCTGTACCATGCCGGTATGAACTGCTTCGCTGCGCATATTGTGCTAGCCTCTTCAGCTTTTGAAAATGCTGGCCAACACAACCCCGCAGCAGCCGTTCCGTTGCCGCATGACGCTCTATCAAGATTTGTAGGTATGTATCCGGGGGAAAGAAACCGTATATATGGGCCGTTGATTGGTGAAAAGCTCGTTGCAAGGGTTGGTGCACAATTAGATGGTGAATGGTGATTCAACGACGAGCTATGAATAAGTAAACAGTACGCCAAGAGAAGTTCGACTCCTCTATTCTACTGCAAAGAAACGGTCGATTTTCTGGTCGCTATATAAGGGAATGGGTCAATCAAAATTTCATTCTCTACGGGCTGTCCAGTATCAGCATAAACACGCCACGCAAATCGTCAAACGAATCCAATTCGTCACCAACACTCCACAATGACAGCTATGGAAAGGAAGAGATATTTCCAGGATGCCGGCGTACACTAATAATACGACTATACCCGTCCCACTCAAAGTTTAGCTGCCACATCTATAGCCGCATACGGTCGTAAAATCAAGCCTCGTTCTCCCACGATCAGCATGGTGCTTAGGACGTCCTAGTTTGATCAAGCCCACAGTCGGGAGGAACTGGCGTAAGCATCCGGCAGCGTCGCTTTTGAAAATCATTACGCTTCGTTACGCGAGAGGCCCATTCGCCAGAGTCCACTTCGGCAGCAGCTTCTGATCTCTTCTGGTGCGTTGGGGGAGGAGGATGGCGAGGGTCCCCCCAAACCGGTGGGACATTCTTGTGCTGCCGTGCCTCTATTTCGATGTCGGCTTCCGACCTTCTCTGGTGTGTTGGAGGAGGATGGCGAGGATCTCCCCAAACTGGCGGGACATTCTTGTTCTGCCTTGCTTCTATCTGAAAAAGGATTGGAATTAACTTTGCCATCCGGGAAAGGTGTAAAGGAAACCTACTGCCTCTACCGTAGTTGCGGCATTATCACGGGGGAGCCTAGAGCCCAACGGGGTAGGGAACGGAGAGAACGATGCATCCTGCTTTCCGGCCTCAGCCAGATTAGCACCCGCAGAGATGCCAGAAAGAGCCATGCCAATGGCTAAGACCAGAGCCAATCGACAACCCATATTTTCACAACGGTCGATGCGGGTGTTGGTTGACGAATGATCAAAGAGTACCAGAAGTTACTTGAGAATTCAAGCTATGAGATATAAGGCGACAGTTCTGCTCGCCATCCACATTGTCATCCCCAGGCAGTGCGGACATACGAGCTATAAATACTGCTTCAAAAGCTAGATGATACAAACTTGGGCGACAAGTTGCACTGCCTAGACAGGTAATACAGCAGTTCATAGAAACGAAAGAAACGCCCAGTTACAATCCGTATACCAATCGCAGGAGTCGCATCTAGCAGTCGAGCCTTTCATGCCTGCCATCCCGCGTTGCATGTATACTGTCGGCGGCCGTGATATCAACACCAATTCTCATGCTTTGTCCAAATTTCGATCGGCGTAGGGGGTATCAACGGGGTCCGGGCGCAATATTCTGCGAAACCGAGAATAATGAGACTAAGAAATTCAACCGAAAATGCATCGTCGATCGTCCTCACCTCCAACTCTTAAAGATTGCCGCTCCAGTGTCATCGACCACGATGATGGAGTACGGGCACAACATAAAAACTAAAAAAGCGATCAAAGAAAGCCCGGCGATCTTAATAGTCAAAGGATGGAGCTTGATACATCCACCGTATGCATCGACCTCGGTCATTGGAGCTCTGGCCGCGTGATAGTTAATGCAGACTGCTGTCATGCGGTGGGACAAACACAGATCGCGGGCATTTCTGTTGCTCAGAGTTGGCATGGCGAACATGTTTCTTTGTCAACACGGTAGCTGTGTCGCAAGAAGCCATCCCCGTCTTATGTGAGTTACAACCTAGGACAAAGGGCTATCGGATGAAAGAGGAGAGATGTGTTGGGATTGCTTTTCCAAACGCCTAATGTTTTGTATGTGACAAAAGAGTCAGCTCGAAAGAGCTTATCGGAAGTGGGATTCCTGTTTGATATAGAACATCCTGCGGGGAAAACACCTGTTTAAAACGAATTCCCAAAATGAACCGCCAGTACTCCTGAATGCTTCATAGACATTTTCCCCATCTGAGCTCTATAGCCGAATCTCATCCCAGCTTTTCCCTCTTTGATTCTCTTTGCCGCTCATAATATTATTACATAATGTACAGATTTGAAATCGCTAGATAACACGGGGAACCAATGGGAATCTGGCGGGAAAAGTCACAAGTCCGCGAAGGAAGAGCGACGGGGGGTTTATTCCTTGAGCTTGGCCAAAAGTCTGGGTGTAAATTGTAAGCATTCAGGATGCATGCCGTCGGGGCTTTGAAGCAAAACTTACTCGTGATCGCGGAACAAAGTGTATTCCTCCTCACCGACTTTGACGGCGCTTCCACCGTACTGTTCAACGAGGTTAGCCCGCGATCAGGATCAACATCAATGATTAATCGTTGTTGGGCCGAGGTTGTGTATTTGATGCGGCATGCCAACTCAAGTACACTTACCTGAGGAATCAAGACCTTATCACCAGCAGTCACGCTCATAGCAATTCTGTTCCCTTTCTTATCCAAGACGCCAGGCCCGACAGCCAAAACACGGGCTTCATTAAGCTCCTTTACGGAGCTCTCGGGGAGGAAAATGCCGGAAGCGGTCTTGGCTTCTGGTTTTATTCTCTGGACAAGGACACGGTCCAAAAGAGGCATGAGGTTCTTGATGCTGCGAAGGGCCTTGAGATTGTCAGGGTGGTTAGTATGAATCTCTTTGACCTGCACCGGAAAGAATTGTGCTACTTACCATTGTGGATGGTTATGTGAATAAAGGCACTAGAAAGACAAGAAATCCCGAGCTTGGAGTAGTTGTGACTGTATCAATTGAGAGAAGATTTGTTGGTCAGGGTCAGAGTCAATGGAATCAGAACAGCTTCAACATTTTTCCGCTGAGAAATTTCCAGAAGAGATGCCAAGACCAGTGCTTTGGACCTCACGAATGCGGTTAGCGCGGCCTCCGATATTGATTAATCATTCACTCGCTGCTTTATAGGCCGTCTTACTAAGCAGGCATAACGTCGTACTCTGAAGAACAATGTGGAATTCTTTATGATAATTTTGCTATTGGCCCGTCGACAAGTAGGCATAGCATGGATGATGGCAAATTGGACGTAGAATCCGTCAAGGTCTCTGTGAGTAATTCTTATTCGGACTCAGCCCAGAATTAGACCCGTTTGAACTGATGATGCCATGATAAGGACGGCAAGTATGCGCTTGCATGGCGCAATCGCGAGGTGAGCGTTGTCACTCTAGGAAGCCTGATACTAAGTCACCGATTGCCGTTTATGACCCTGGGATGTACCAGTCGTTCAGGACCAGAAGACTCGCAGCAATCGACGGCTTTTTGTATAACGCCAAGTACCTTCTTCTCCTCAACTTAATAAATTTATCCAGGCGTTCCGCAGCTGGCATGATAGTCTACATGTCGAGAATGTCGTCGTGAGCTTGATGAGATATCTCATGGAAATTCTGGATTTTATGGACTGACAGGCTACTGAGCTTGCTCCATTGTATCATCACGTTCCAGAACCTTATGTTCTTGACTTCCGCCTCTAGAGGGCTTTCATCACCCGCCGTCCTTGAAAGAACCACAATAGACTCTACATCAAGGAAAAAAGCAGAGTAGCTGTCTGTACACATGTCACTGAATTGCATTATAGAGCAGCTACTAGTACCATGTTGCGAGTATGCTGCTTCATGTTTCCTTGAGCAGGAACAGCAATTATGGATGAAGATGCTGTGGTGTTGATTCCATTAAAACTGTTGACATTCTATTGATACAATTCTTTAAGTTTTATAAAACTTATTGTAGATGCTAGTGTAGCAGAACATCTAGTTTGGTAGGTGATCAACAATCTCTGGCGGCTGCTCAAGAGCTCATATGAATGTTGCCCGTTTCTCTCAAGATTAACAAATCTTCCTGGCTCGTTTGAACTGACTAATAGTCTGCAGGTGGCCGAAAATGCCAAGGCGCTAGTTAAGCCTAATCAGCCTTAGTGTCAATAACACCATGAAGGTGGGTTGTACCACAGCACTGACACCATACCTAAAGATATCAGATAGGCTTCTGGACCTGGAAAAGCATAAAGCTGAGCATTGCTATTCCTTTGATGTGCTCGCACGTTTGTTAGTTACCGCTTTGCTGCCGGAGCAAGGAACTTAAAGCCTGGATCTAAATTAGACGCGCTATCTTAGGGGACGAACCCCCAGCATGAGTCCTATATTGACGAGTCGGCAAGCTGAAGAGCTGTACATATGCCCTGGTAGTAGTTGAGCTGCAGAGGAAAGCTAATCTATTCGTTGTGTCTAGGCACAAATCACTAGTAGCGTATCTGTCTGCAAATGGTCTAACAAATACAGCATCTGCACTGAGAGCAGAGTTGGGCCTTGATGAAGAGGCGTTTGGTACTGCGGCAGCAAAGAAATATGAAACCCTACTGGAGAAAAAGTGGACAAGCATAGTCCGGTTGCAGAAAAAGGTAGGTTTGCAGAGGAAGTTCTTCGCCCTCTTTGCCCACCGCCGTCAATGTCTAACTAGTATTGTATTGCAGATAATGGACCTCGAGTCCCGAAACGCAGCATTGCAAACCGAACTTGCTAATTTAACACCTACCGCCCTCTCCAAGCGACACCAGGATCCAGCTTCTTGGCTCCCTAGATCTGTTCGGCATTCATTAGAATCACACCGAGACACGATAAACAGTATCGCATTTCATCCAATATACTCATCCCTCGCTTCCTGCTCTGATGATTGCACTATTAAGATATGGGATTGGGAACTGGGCGAACTGGAAAGAACAGTCAAGGGTCACACAAGAGCAGTACTGGATGTTGATTATGGTGGACCAAGAAGTAGTATTCTTCTAGCATCCTGCAGCTCTGATTTGAGCATTAAACTTTGGGATCCTGCAGATGAGTATAAAAACATTCGAACTCTACTAGGTCATGATCACAGTGTCGGTGCTGTTCGTTTCATACCCTCTGGAGCTTCCGGAACACTCTCTTCTGGTAATTTACTTGTCAGCGCTAGTAGGGACGGTACTCTGAGAATATGGGATGTCGTCACTGGGTATTGTGTGAAGACACTACGTGGCCATACCGCTTGGGTACGAGACGTCTGCCCATCATTTGACGGGCGGTTCCTCCTCTCAGCCGGTGACGATATGACGACTCGATTATGGAATATATCTGGGTCAAATTCAGACCATAAACTGACGATGCTTGGCCATGAGCATGTTATTGAATGCTGCGCTCTTGCTCCATTTGCCTCGTACCAGTACCTTGCGGCCTTGACTGGACTGAAGGCCCCGCCCGCAAGTAGTGCAGCAGAATTTATGGCGACTGGATCGCGAGACAAGACCATCAAGCTCTGGGATGCTCATGGCAGGTGCCTTGGAACACTGATAGGCCATGATAATTGGGTACGGGCGCTTGCCTTCCACCCCGGCGGCAAATATCTTCTCTCAGTGTCGGACGACAAAACGCTACGATGCTGGGATCTAAGCCAAGGAGGGAAGTGCGTCAAGACGCTCAAGGATGCGCATGAACGCTTTATAACCTGCCTGAGATGGGCCCCGGGAATTTTTAAAAACGTCCCTGGGGTTTCCACCAGAGATGCTAATGGTGAAAGCAATGGGGTACTGAATACAGGGCTAAAAGGAGATACTCCTGATGTGCAAGTCCGTTGCGTTATCGCCACAGGAGGTGTGGATAAGAAGTTACAGGTCTTTGCCGACTGAGGTGGCAAACCCCATAACAGTGATAGTCCATATGAGTAAGAGCCACAGCTGTTGGGAAGACAAGCACCACTGAGGGCAGCAGATCAGTGAATGAGTCCTGCCAGTGGTCTTGATGAGATATTCAATGGAGAAGCAACTAGCGTCCCACGGGAGGGGAATGTGACGAGCAAAGCCGGGACCGGGGCCGGGATCCCTGTCCCGCTGGCCCACACTAGAACTTACATGTCGTCACCGTCACCGTCACTTCTTGATTATCTTCAGACTTGAATCTATTGACACAAGTCACAGACCACACCCAAAGTCTACTAGATTCTCTATGAACCTCAGATATCTGAGCAATTCTAATCTATTAAACGAGATTTTGTTCTAAAAGAGTTTCTCTCTGAATTGTAAATGGATTTTCTGCTCCGTATTTAGAAAACATTTTGGGGTTTCTGCGACTCTCAAGAATGAGTGCGAGTGCTGATGCGTCATGCTAGTTAACGCTTTTGGGTTTAGCAGCAAACATCATGAGCTACTTGGCCTTCAGTTTTCAGCAACACTGCTTGTGCCCAACTATCCAGTTCGCTGTGTGTATTCAGGCATTCAAGGATGTAAGTGATCGAGTGGTAATTGTTGGAATTGTCATGCTAATAAGTAGTAGGAAACTTGGTATCGCGCTGAAGGCTCTTGGCCCTTTGATTGACCAAATATGCACTATTTATGGCATCGCAGGCTTGTCACTTGGAGTGCTCCAGGATGGAGAAGTCATCCACTATGCAAACTTTGGTCACCGTGATGTTGAGGCCAAAATTCCGCCCGACGAGGACACAATATATGCGATAGCTTCCCTCTCAAAATCGTTTACCTCTGCAGCAACGGGAATACTTGTCGACCGCGGAGACCTGCACTGGCATACTCAGATACAGCACATTCTTCCAGATTATCAGTGCTATGAGAGAGGCGCAGTCTGCAATGCTTCAGTTTCTGATCTGCTAAGCCATCGCACCGGAGTTCTGGGAGGCGACGCCTACTGGCTACTGTCAGACGGGGATTCGGCTTTCGCGAGAGATCAATTTGCGCGCGTATTTAATTCCCTTCCCATAACGGAGCCAATGCGCACGGCCTTCGTTCACAACAATTACGGATACGAGCTTATTGGCCAAGTAATTGAAAGGGTTGCCGGAACAACGTTTGGAAACTTTGTAAAAGTCAACATCTTGCAGTCGCTCGGGATGAGCAGGACTTTTGATTCAGTGATCCCCCAGGATACGGCGAATGTCGCGCAACCATACATGAGTTTGCTTAATCACACTGCTCATAAAGTCAAAATGCCCTTACAACGTCAAGATGGGTTGTATTCTGCGGCTGGTGGACTTCGTGCTTCCGTATCAGACCTGCTAAAATTCTACAACGCCCTGATGGATGCTGGATTGTCGGAGTGGAACGAAGATACCAAGCGTATTCCCGAGAACCCCCTGAAAGAACTGCGAGCTATATGGTCTGGAATGGTCAGCATGCCGTTTTCTGGCCCTAGGGAACATAGCGCTGCGCTCGGATGGTATCGTGCACAGCTGCCATCCAACTTTGGCTTCGACGACCCAGAAGCTTCGAACCCCCTTGTAGGAAATCGGTCTTCGTGTAAACTGGCTCTTTACAACCAAGGGGTTATTCAGGGATTCACATCCTTCTCTGCACTGATCCCGCAAACCCGCAGTGCTGTGGTGGTCCTCACCAATTCAGCAGGGCTCGGTCTGCCTAGCAAGTTAGTTGCTAGCGCTCTTTTAAATTTGCTCCTTGGAGAAGATGTTGACCAAGAGGCGTACAAACTTGTTGCAGAGAAAAATTACCGAGAGATAACATCGCATGTCTTGGATACCATGAAGGAGCTGAAACGCCAACGAAAGGTTGATACGCCAACCCGACCGCTGAAAGAGTACATCGGCAAGTACTATAATACTCTCAACAATTACTTCATCGAGATCAAGGAAACAAAGAATGACTGCCTCTCTCTATCATTCATGGGTAAATCCAGGGATACATTCCAACTTTTGCCTTACGATAGCGACAAATTCTTCTGGTATATGACTTTTGACGAATCTGTTTTGCGTGGAAGACCTACGGGTTACCCGATGGACTATTTTATCATCAAGTTTGCATTTGATGACAACGGAGTGGCACTTGAAAATCCAGTTTTATACTGGAAATACGACCCGGAGTATCCTGGCGATGGAGAGCCATTTACACTCTGCAGGACATGCACGGGAGTTGCAACCCTAGGAAGTGATAGGGGCAGCGAGAAACCAGCTCTCCCTGACTTTAGCATGCGTTTCCAACTGAACAAAGGGATCAGAAATCCTAACATCTAAATGAAGAGCTACTTCAGAGCGGAAATTTCTGTCAGGGTTGCTTGACTCCTTTCAGCGGTTCGCCCACGCCAGCCCAGGCAGCCATACAACTATACAATCAACTTACGCCAGGAGTCATATCAATTGCAACAAGGCGCGGATTAGAAGCGACGAGATCCTAGCTCTAGGGAGAAACCTGAGTTCACTTAAGTATTGAAGTGCAGAGCTAGACCTTGCTCAAGTGAAGCAGGACAAAACGCCTGTCAGTGGAGTGGCGGCTTGTGAAATTGACCCTGATGCTTCGCTGGTGTATGATGGCCATGTCTGGTGGTCCTGGCCTTGGTTATCATCTTGAGTATCTCCTTGTGTTCTGTGTACAAAAGTTGAATGAATAAACTAGCAACCAGTTGTGTCTGGTGTTGGCTAGCCCACAAAGTTAACTATATTCTGCTTGTAATTAGTTAATTAGTTACATAGATTCCTAGCTTGTACAAATTCATAGTTAACTATTGCCTCAGTAAACTATCTTTTGTTGATATTGATCCTAAAACGCTGCACATTTAGAAGCCCGTTATTTTACTGTAAATAGCCAATTGTGGCACAAAGTTTCCATGATATTCGCCTTGATATCAACGTCACCTCGGTAACTGAAATCTAAGAAATGCGGCAATCCGGCAGCGCTGATAACATCCATATCCCTCAAACTGTGAAATTTGCACGCCGTCTTTACCATCTTCGAATTCCCTTTCCACGAACGCCACCGCCGAAAGCCGCTCCGCGCTGATCATAACCACCATAACCCATTTGCTGCTGACCACCAGGCTGGCCACCGAATCCCTGGGGTGTAGGCTGGGCCCCGTAACCCGCTTGTGAGCCTTGGGGTGTTCCAGCGCCCGGCTGTCCACCACCTAACATAGCCTGCGCATGTTGCATAAACGTCATTGGGTCCATTGCTGACGGGTCCAAGCCCTGAGCCATCATGCCGGCCAACATGCCTTGCATCATGTCCGCGGACAGTTCTGGCATACCTGGCGGCATGCCTGGCATTACATTCTGTGGACCAGCACCTTGTGGAGGGCCTCCTCCTGGACCTGCCACTCCGCCAGGTGGGGGTTGCGGAGGGCCAGGCATGCGAGGCATCCCACCAGGAGCAAGGCCAAGGAACGCCTGCATCTCCTGAAGCTGTTTCTTCTGGTCTCCAACTTCTTTTCGTAGATCCTGCTGTTTTAAGCAATAACTTGCCCATGTAAACTCGTCAAAACCGTAGTTAAAATAGTCGCTTATATCGGAACCCGGACGCCGCCAGGGTTTATCATCTTCCGGAAAATCAGTGTCTAGGTCGCTGGATAAGATAGGTTTAGAGGTCGCGGGATGAATAGGATTAGCCGTAACGTCAATGCTAGAGGTGTGCTGAGCGGGATAAGACGATCCCGGTCTTTGAGGAGCGGCAGGTTTCACCGCAGCTTGTTGTGGGGTGTATACTTCAGCTTTGGGGATGGAGGGTGTTGCTACTTTCGGTATGCTCGTGCCGTCACTAACTGAAGGTCGGGGGGGTTCGTTTCGAAATGAGTGCTGTGGAGGTTGTCTATCCGGTGTAAGCACAGTCTTTGGTGAGCAATGCCTTCTCGACTTACGGTGGAGGTACCGCTGGCTCTGGAGCTTCTGTGATAATATTAAAGTCATCCTATGAACCAATTAGCCCCAAATATCCAAATCCAAAAACAGCATAAAGCTCACTTCGTCATCTTCCTCTTCCACTTCTTCCTCCTCCCCCTCCCCTTCCCGATTCTCGATTTCCAGTTTGCTGTCGCCTACTGTGTCTGAATTCCTCTGACCACTAGGAGTGTTGTCCACGGGGTCGTAGAGATCGTCATCTTCTTCCTCCATCCTTGACATTGATGCGACTGGAAAGCTGTGTCCAGGATATTTGATCTCTCCACCAGATCGAGGTATCTTTCACGGTAGGCTAGTGTAGTTAAACGACGGAGAAAAAAATCCCTCTAAATTATGGTCGATATCACGAATCTTTAATCACAATGCGATACCTTCTAATAGTTAATTGATTGAGGGCAACCATTCAAGGTGCGACTGGAAAGCTTCCCATACCGGAAAAATGGATTTTTTGAATACTGTCAGATTACCATTCATCTGATCCGATACAATTTGCACATGAATCTAGAAAGTCACTGGGCTTGTGTGGTGCACATACAAAATTAAAGAAGAGAAAGATAAGATCAAAAAGCAAAAGTGGGCTACACAATCTAGGTCAGGATGTTCTGCTTGTAGGGTGACTCTCTGTTCCTGAAGCTCTTGTTGGAAGGAGTTCCATTGAACTTGATAGATTACATAATTATTTACACAAATTCCTAGCTTGTACACATATCATCCAATCAACTTGGATTTTGACTGTATTTGTGTAATGTGCTAATAAAATACGCTAAAAGGCACTGGCGTACAGGTGAGGGGATAGTGTGCTCCAAAATCTTGTATAATAAAAGATAACAGAATGTAGAGTGTGAAAGGTATCCATCTCAGTTCTCTTGAGCTTCAAGTTGCTGCACCTTTACTGATTTCAAACCTGCTCTTGAATGAGGAGTCTGAAATGATGGTAAACCATGACTTGGATCCTTAATTACCCTTTTCTCATTGACCCTGTTCCTGTTCAGTAGTGTTCGCTGTCGCTGAAATGGCATCAAAGCAGTGTTTGGTTGCATGATTTTGCTAGGATATCAGCACCAGGGTATTGATTGGCTGGGTGAATTGTGATTTCCCCTCCTTTCACTGTATAAGTTATTTCCCAGCAGATTGCTCCAGCCTTGCGAGGGCGCAGGAGAGGAGTATATAAAAGGTGTTGATATACTGGATCAAAGCCCACCATGAGCTTTGGATTCAGTATCAGTGACTTTCTCACAACCCTTGAGTTGGCCAACAAGATCCGCAAAGATTTTGTCGGGGCTCCAAGCCAGTTCAAGAGCATATCTGATGAGTACGATGTCCAGTCCCTTCACAGATGGCTGGATGAAGGCTGATATCTTGGGTTAACAGGGTTAGGAGCCTATCAATCATTCTACAAGACCTTGAAATCAACCTTTCGCCCCAAGAACTCAATGATCAACAACAAACACGCCTACAAGAAATATCTAGCAGCTGTCGAACTCTACTCGATGAGCTGAAGAGAACGGTGGAAAAGTATCGAGAGCTGGAATGCACAGGTGGAAGTTTGACTCAAAGGACAAAGAGGGTTTGGAAACAGCTCAGATGGGAGCCAGATGACGTTCGTGAGCTTCGAGGCCGGATCACGGTAAAAGTCGCATTTCTCAATACATACCTCTTGCAAATGACTAGGTTATAATATGTCCATACCCTTGACTTGGCGCCCCGCGGCTAACCAGGGCAGTCAAACAATGTTCACGGCAAGAGAGGGTATAGATCGTCTGAACCAACGACAAGAAGATCAAGAACGATGCACTATCCTTGACTGGCTCACATCGAGCGACTATGGTCCTCAACAGAGTGGTTTCTTAAATCGACACCAAGCCGGAACTGGCCAATGGTTCTTGCATTCCGAGGCCTACCAGACATGGCTCCAAACAGCGAAACAGACATTATTCTGCCCAGGTTTTCCTGGAGCAGGCAAGACCATCCTTACTGCGATTGTGATTGATGACATTACTCGGCAGTTTCACGATGACCCAAACATTGGCATTGCATACCTGTATTGCGACTTCCGGCGGCGAAACGAACAAAGGTTTGTTGACTTACTTGCAGGCTTGCTAAAGCAGCTTGTCCAAGAGAGGACTCCTCTGCCCGATATTGTTAGAGTTCTCTATAGCAATCACAAGAAGAAGCGGACGCGACCATCATTCGATGAGATTTCCGGAGCTTTTCGGTCCGTGGCGGCCATGTATTCGCGAGTCTTCATCATCATTGACGCGCTTGATGAATGCAACATATCTGATGACTGTCAATCAATATTCTTAACTACAATCCTCAACGTCCAGGCAGAGTGCGGAGCAAACATCCTCGCAACTTCTAGGTTTATTCCAGAAGTCGTAGAGATGTTTAAAGGCTGTCCACAATTGGGAAATTCGAGCTAAGGAAGAAGATGTACAGAAATATCTCGATTGCCATATGTTGCCACGACGAGAATTTCTTAGGGAAAAGCCGGGGATTGCAACAGGTCGTCAAGGCCAAAATTGTTGAGGCCACCAAGGGCATGTATGTAGTTTCAGTGACTATGGGGGGTATGTGCTAATCCTTGCTAGGTTCTTACTCGCTCACCTTCATCTCAGCTCGTTGATGAGAAAGACAACAGAGGCAGACCTCCTAGACGCACTTGAAAGGCTGCCAAAGGGCTCCGAAGCTTACATCAAGGCATATGAGGACGCCATGGTGCGAATTGAAGAACAAAATGTTGACGGGGAAAGGCTTGCAAAGCGTGTTCTAATGTGGATCGTCTGCGCAAGACAGCTGCTAAGTACGGCAGAGCTTCAACACGCACTTGCTGTCGCGATTGGTGACTCTCAGCTTAATACAAAACGGCTGCCGGACCTAGAAACTATGGTCTCCGTGTGTGCTGGATTGGTCACAATCGACGAAGAGAACAGTATTATCCGTTTGGTCCATTACACAACACAGCAGTATTTCGACGAAACACGGGATAAGTGGTTCCCAGATGCGCAGACTGATATTATGAAAATCTGCGTCACTTACCTCTCATTTGATATTTTCGAGCGTGGGCCTTGTCAAGCGGATGAGGAGTTTGAGGAGCGGCTGGAGTCGAATAAGCTCTACAGATACGCAGCGCACAACTGGGGACACCACGCTCGTCAGACGTCGATTGTATGCCAGGAAATCATGGACCTTCTGGATTGTAGTCCTAAGGTGGAGGCCTCAATCCAGGCACTGACGGTTATGAAGCGTGGCCCGCGTGACTTTGGCTATAGCCAAAAGTTCCCGAGGCAAATGGCACCGATTCACTTGGCAGCATATTTTGGGATTGAAGAACTGGTGAAAGCCCTTCTGCAAGAAGGAGCTATGGTCGACGCAACTTGCGTATATGGCCGGACACCGCTATCATGGGCTGCAGAAAACGGCCATACAGCCATCGTTCAGTTGTTGATCGAGAAGAACGCCGATGTACAGGCAAAGGATAAGTATGGCCGGACTCCACTATCGAAGGCTAAAGATGATTGGAACACAGGCATTGTTAAGCTGCTGCTTGATAAGGGCGCCGGTCTGGAGATAACTCGGACGCCGCTGTCAAGGGCTGCAGAGAACGGACATGCGGCCATCATCAAGTTACTTCTCGAGAACGGCGCTGACTTTGAGGCAAACGACAAGCAATATGATCGGACACCACTGTTGTGGGCCGTACAAATTGGGAATGAAAATCTCGTCAAAATGGTGCTCGAGCGCGGCATCAGTTTGGAGACGAGCCGGACACCGCTGTCGTGGGCCGCAGAGAATGGGCATGAGACCGTTGTTCAACTTCTACTCGAAAAAGGGGCCAACCCAGATGCCAAATCTGACTACGGTGGGACACCACTCTCATACGCCGCACGGAATGGGCACGAGACTGTTGTCAAGCTGCTGCTTGAGAGGCGTGCTGATGTGGAGACAAAAGATGATTACGGTGGGACACCGCTGTCAGATGCTGTGAAGAATAGGTATCCAGCCATCGTTAAGCTGCTGCTTGATTATAATGCTGGTCTTGAAGAAAGGTTCGAGTATGGTTGGACAGTGCTGTCATATGCTGCACAAGTTGGTGACAAGACTATTGTTAAGTTGTTACTTGAGAAAGACGCTAATGTGCATGCAAAAGATGATTGTGGTGGGACACCAGTGTCATGGGCCGCAGAGCGCAACTACGAAATCATTTTTAAGCTGCTACTGGAGAAATGTTCGGCTCCGGAGACGAGATACGAGTATGACGGAACGTCGCTGTCTGCTGCATTGGACGCAAAACAAGCAGCCCTTGTCAGGCGCGTTTTCAACTATGAGCCAACGGCTGATCTCGAAGAAGAAGAAGATAATGGTGGAACGCAGCTGTCACGCACCGCAAAACGGGAGCTTGTGGCCCTTGTCAAGAGGTTACATGACATAACTTTTGATCCCGAAAGAGAAGAGGCCTATCGCCAGATGTCGCTATTGATTGCTGCTGAGTCTGAGCCCGTGGACCAGGTGAAGTACCTGCTGGAGAGGGGCGATGACATTGAGATGAGGGATGTGGATGGCTGGACGCCCCTGCTTCTTGCTGCTTGGTATGGCCGTGAAGCTATTGTCAAGTTGCTAATTAAGGAGGGGGCTGAGATTGAGGTGAAGGAGAGGAGGTTTGGCTGGACGCCGTTGATCTGTGCTTGCGCCGCTGAGGACGAAAGTGAGGCTGTTGTTAAGTTGCTGCTCGAGGCAAATGCTAAGACCGATGCGAGAGATACGGACGACCGAACGCCCCTGATATATGCTGCTGTGAATGGGTATGAGGCCGTTGCCAGACAGTTGCTCGAGGCAGGTGCTAATATTGAGGCAAAGGATAAGAATGGCTGGACGCCTCTGGTTCATGCTGCTTGGTATAAGTGTGAAGCTGTTTTCAGGTTGCTATGTGAGATGGGTGCCATCATTAACTTGAAGGAGTGAGAAAACAGACACCATTGTCTTATGCTGCATGGAATAGTTAACTTTCTCCCTCCTGATTTCCCTAATGATGGCAGAGTCCATCCAGATGGTGCACGGAAGTTCACCTTTGCTAATACTAGTTATGGTAACATAAGCTATAACACATAGTTATGATTGGATGTATGATTAACTATATTACTGTAATATTATGGTAATCAAAAAATCCATTTTTTTGGTATGGTCCAAGCCGGCAATCACGTGATGGTTTTGATATCCCGTCCTCCAGGGACCTCACCCTCTTGACACCGCGATAGAGGAAGCATAGTAGCTCAAAGCATTCTAAGATCCAAGCTGCAGCTTTTTCTATCTTTTTGAATTATTATGGCGACCCCTTCCGAATCACAGAGTCGAACGTCGACTCCACGTTCATTCGCGAATCAAACGGCCTCGACCGAAGACCTTCTGAAGTCCCAGACAGTCGGATTGGTGAATTTATCAGAATTCCGCAAGCGACGAGCGGATATCCTTGAGCAAAAAGAACGAGAGGCCCACGACAAGTCACTTGGTCGCTTGGGCCTCGGAGCCTCCAGAAGTGCTACACCTTCAGAGCTTACAGATGGGTAAGTTTATATTTCTAGAGCAGTTTGGTTGGTTGAACCTGACGAGCGAAGAGCAGTGGTTTAACGGGCCAAAGCGATTCGACAGAGCCGCCACGCAAGAAGAAAAAGAAGGGCAACAAAATAGGTAAAAGTAAGCTATCTTTCGGAGATGATGACAACGAAGCCGAAGCCGAAGACTCGGCCGGCATGTCACAGAGCGGAGGAGAAACTCGCTCCCCCTCCAAGGGCTTGAATGACGGCACTCCCCAATCCCGTGTGCGGAAACTCGCGCCGAATCCCCATCTGTCAGTGCCGGCACCTAAAGCCATGACGAAAGCATCACTCGAAGCTGAAGCTCAAATGCGTGATAATCTCCGAAAGGAATTTCTAACAATTCAAGAGAAAGTCAAGGCTACTGACATACTCATTCCGTTTATCTTTTACGACGGGACAAATATTCCAGCCGGAAAGGTGAAGGTCAAAAAAGGCGACCCTGTCTGGCTTTTCCTCGACCGCTGTCGTAAAGTTGGAGCAGAGCTCGGCGTTGGGGGCGCAGGTGGTGGAAAAGGACGGAAAGATAATCGCAGGGAATGGGCGAGGGTCGGGGTGGACGATTTAATGTTGATACGAGGGGATGTTATTATACCTCATGTAGGTTGGATTCTACGAAATCCATTCGCGCAAGGAATCGGATGAGCTGACAACATACACAGCATTATGAGTTTTACTATTTCATCGCCAATCGAGTCCCGTCCTTTTCAAACGCCAGTGGATTGCTATTCGATTATTCAAACACGGCCCCTCCCGAAACTGAAGAAGGGTCACCTTCCCAAATCGAAGGAGCGGATACAGACCCTACCATTACCAAGGTCGTTGATAGAAGGTGGTTCGAAAGGAACAAACATATATTCCCAGCGAGTTTGTGGCGCGAATTTGAACCAGGGAAAGATTTTGAGGAAAAGATGCGAGGCGTCAGACGGGACAACCAAGGAAACACGTTCTTCTTTTGATCGAGCTGTGCCACCAAAGCTGTCGCATTACGTACCAGCACAGCGTCTCATTTTCACTCCTCAGCCTTACTAGGGGGTACCGAAATGATAAGTGGAAAAGCACAACAGCAAGTTAAATAGACGCGACTCTAGTCCGGAGCATATGTCTCGTTTCCTTGCATCCTCTTGCAATATAATGCATCCAAACCTCCATAATCCAGGCCCAAAGCACCGTTCTTCCGGATTAGGAAATGGCTTTGTAATCCGGTCCGAACGTCACTCTATCGAGGTAACCCCCGTGCATTTGCTGCTTTTTGGCCGATTCAACTATCTCGGTTCTTCTTCATGTTTTTGTTTGGCATTGAAGCAACCGATTTTCTCACAGAATGGCTCAGGCCTTGGATTTTTGTTTGCGATGCAATTCATTGCAATGTCGGGCTAACCTCACCGAACGAGCGGTCGTGACAACATGCTCGTATGTCGAACTTCCTCGCCTTTCCCCAAGGGCAAACTATTCTAACCATTCCATTAGTCACATATTTTGCCTAAAATGTGCAGACCATCTGGGGCTCGCTCGACCAACTGGAGCGGATCGTCAATGCCCGGCATGCCAAACGAGCCTCCTCAACCCCGATGATGTGGTTTCAACGGTGCTTAACCCAACAGATGATTATAAAACAAGCGTTCTCAGCGGACTGGATCCAAATACCATCATGGAGTGTGCTGGAAGGGCTCTGGCATTCTGGACCTACCAAACTGCACAAGAAATGTACGCTGTTGTTGGACTGGGTATGATCTATGCTATTCACGGTACTTACCACCAGCGCAGCTTTTACCAGGAGTACCTCGGGAAGAACCTGACGGACAAGTACACGGCATTAAACAAGCAAATGGACAAAGTCATCCACGACGCCAACTCTGAAATGTCGAGTCTTCATCAACGAATTGCAGGTATGGCTATCCGTTTTCAACCTTGAATGAAAACATAACGCTCATTGTCTACAGATCTGAAAATGAATCAAGAACAATTGCAAAAGAAAAATCAAGAACTGGTGGAATTATACCGCGATAAAAGCAAAAAACACACGCAGATCACAAACTTATATAATATACTGAAGAGTCGAACTATGAGGTCGCAGCTTCAGACTGCAGTTTCCGATACAGTCGCTCACACACTGCAGAATCTTGGGACGTCAGGCACTCATACATCCAATGGCTTCGAGCCGAATTCGCACCTCACTTTGTCAAATTCGAGACCTGTACAATATGGTGAAGCTTGTTTGGGCTCCAATAACAATACTGTTGATCAGTTGCATCGTCGCCAAAGAAGTGGAAGCTCCAACAATCAAATCAGTAATACAATGATGCCGCCACCAAGTGGAATGCCATCTTCTTTTCGTCAATGTAAGGTTTCCAGCATTCAGGCTTGGATTGTACTCAATGCTAACTTTCGATCAGCTAATGTTCCACAAACGACTTCTCATCGCACGCAGATACCCCCTCCCTCCCGGGCAATGAATACGGCCGAAGCCAGGCAACATCAGAGCCAGCGAAATTTTGTTTCTCCTAATCGATTATTCAATCTGTCACATCGCTCCCCCAATAATTCTGATCCAACGAGAGGGCTTCATACCAGCCCAAACAACTACGGACTGAGTGCCGGGGTTAAGATAGGTCGTCCTGTTGATCCTACAACTGTAAACACGGACATACCAGGGGGGATGTTTAGCAGGCCAATTCTTTAAAGGCGTTACCACCACATTGAAATTTGGCGCTTGCTTATTCCACATTATTCAGTACAGCTGATGTTTTGCCTTTGTTGGACGTCAGACTAGCCTTTGCCCATATTTACATTATGCAAAACCATAAACGCAATATTATCACTACAATAGCAAGCTACGGAAAACTCGGCTTTACTGTGTGAATTCACTTTTCTCAATTTAGGTGGTACTTAGGAATCAGTCAAGTGATTTTGGCATAAGGAACATGGCAAGCTAATGACAAGCCCCCAAGGAAACCAGGCCGACATCGTTGCAAACATAAAGGAAGATGTTACTGTCAACATTGGCGCTGGATATGAAGGGGGGATACAAAAGAAATCTGGTGTTCTCTTTTGCTAAGGTTTCGAAACGGTCGAGATCCTTTTTCAGCCGTTTACGGAATCCCCGATAAATTTATATCTTCCAATGATGTGGTGCCAAGGTAACGGGTCTCTCAAGAAAACAAAACGGCCATTTCGAGAATATAATCCACGCTGGATAAAGTAGAAGGATGAGTGAAAAGATCTGGCTATATTCTAATGCAAAAAAGCCTTGCGGTATTCTGTGCCCCAAACCAGAAAAAAAGTGGAAAGAAAATCATTACACGAGTCATAGAAATGTAAATATTTACATGCAAAACAAGCGCAAAAACACATCAAGTACGCCTTGAATGCAATGCATATCTGTCGCCATATATAAACAAAGTAAAAGATGTGTATATTCACTTATGGAACCCATAATCTCACAAACCCTGCTACCTCTCGGCGGCAAGTGACACAGCTTCCAAAATTATTCATCGCAAGGCTCACTCTGCATTCCTCACAAATGCAAAGACACCGGCAAGGCCAAGTGATGATCGACCTTGGAGCGGCCTGGCAAACGACACACTGCGGGCCTGAAGGTCCCAGGCCCGATGCACCGGACTCCCAAGATGGAGAAGATCCACGCGCACTGGGTGACGGGTCATGGCCACCAAGACGTCGTGACAAGATCAACCTCTCCAATATCTCGGCTTCTTCATCAGGCGAAGGCCGTCTCTTTTCGATAGAGTCTCCAGACACACTGCGGAAATAGGGATGAGAAGATCGGTTTAAAGTCAGAACTTGAGCTCTTTCCATTTCCACTTTCCTTTTGAATTTGCTTCGTGTCATGATCCTTCCCTCCTGGCCGGCAAGCAAGTGTGACGAAAGTATGCGAGCCTCTGACCTACTTTCTCGGTCTTTTGGGTCTAGCAACCGGGCTAAAGAGGCTGTATCGATCAGAGCATCAGTCGCTGTAGGTTTAGATTTATCCGGATAGGGGATCTTCTTGTGTTGGAGTTCTGCGGCCGTCTGAGGTATCTGACTCCCATTCACTACCCTCATTTGAATTCATGGATACAACACTCGTAGTATCGTCCCAATCGTCTGACGGTGGAGTATAATCACCACTTTCGTCCTTTTCGCCCCAAGCTCCGCCCAGTTTCCACCAGTTGTAAAGTTTTCTTTCAAACAGTGTCTCCTGTGGCTCTCCCCATGAGGCATGATGCATCATTTCTCTCTTCCGCATTTCTTCCTCCACGTCAAAATTATCATTTTCGGGTAACTGTAATACACCGTCATCCGTGAGAATCCAGAAATCTAGCGACTTTTGCGGCATTGTTTGTTTCACCCCACTGGTTGTCTGCGTTGAGCCGGCTAGTTTAACTAGCCACTGTGGACGGTTTACAATTCCCGCGCACTTCAATAACTGGACCATCCCAAATGCAGCCCATCCGGTTAAGAGGATAAAGATACCTTTGAAGAAAGCGAAGCCATGGTGAAATCTAGCAGGCCCTTGGAAAGCACCAACGCTTCCAAGGCCGGAGTCGCCCCTAACAGGCCTCGTACCCCGCCGTCTTTTCTCGAACTTCTTTTCCTGGGCGTACCCTGTTTGCCACTCAAAAGTCCTGTCTGGGATTTTGAAATCAAACCCATCATCAACGCCGAGAGTTGGACTGTCCCAGGTTGGTTGCACTTGTTGACTATGCTCAGAGCGAGATGTCAAGAGCTCTGCAAGTCTGTCTTCTTCCAGCCAAGTCATTCGTTTTGCGATGACCCCCTTGCCTTCGTTCAAGAAAACAGCTTCACTTGCCGCGGTCAGTGAAGAGTAGCCGATCCTCACCAACGTAGTGTAAAAATCATCATGGGAATTGAACCTTATGCTTTGGACTTGCGAAGAGCCCTGCATATTTCCATGAGCTAAAGTAAGCCTTTCTTTGAAAGAGGTCGGACGAGGGAGATCTGAAGGAAGGGAGAAGGCGGTTAAGAAGAGCGCAAGAAGGTATATACTACCGCATGCTAGAATGCCGATGAGAATCAGTAAATGCGGCACAAAACCTACTATACAGACTGTAGGAAACCTCAAAACTGTAGCGTCACGACCGAAAATGGTTAAATTGACAATTCCCCATACGATAGAGGCCATAAAGCAGAGACCCCACACTGTTGTGTTGATGAATCGATACTTGCTCTGTTTTCCAAAAACGTCAAGGATATTCGACGTCAAGCTATTGCAACTCGAAATAAGCGTGATAAGTAATAGCTCAGGCGTGACGTTCAGTCTCTCTAAAACTTGATTCCGGGTAAGGAGCTTAGCTGTACCGGAAGACATGGCGCTGGCAGCTTCCGCAGAATTCGCAGGCTTAATATTACCAAACACTCCGAGCCCAATGGACTGGGTGAGCATGGTTTCGGCCTCCGCAAAAGCAAGTGAATGCTCAAATATGGACATTCCCACCTCGCTGCCCACAGGCTTTCCTTGAAGCGCACATGAAAGCGTTTCCACAAAATGTCCCAGGCAAAAGCGTAAGAAAGCTGGCCAAAGAAGAGAAAATGATCCATATGGAATGTCTCCAGCTTTCATTGGTTGATCCATAGACACCGCGCTGCATGACGCCTGATCATCTTCCCATTGCAGTAGAAACGAGCTCAATCTGTAAAGAAACCCTCCTTCGCCAGCATAATCAAAACTTGACAATTGCTTGGGTTTACCGTAGCGAAGAGCTGCATAGTCGGGAGAGGTTTGGCAGCGACAGGCTCTCAGTAAAGAAACGATCTGAGTGGAAAACAAAACAATTGGGATTATCCGTAAGAGGAGCCTTCGATTCCATTTTAGGGAGAGATGTCGGCGAGTAGAAGCATAGATGCTCACACGGTTCAGAATAAGGGCCTATCAAAAGTATTAGAGTGTGGGAATATAAACTTAGGATTGCGTAGAAAAGCTCACCACAGCAAAGCATCCGATGGACCATTTACTCATCACATAGCTAAAAAAGCCACCAAACTTGCTCAAGCCATGGGTAATCTCTCCAAAGGAGAAGCCTGAGCCATTGGCGGCCTCCGCGGCCCCCGCAGCTCCGGTTACCCCGTCTGCTTCGATAGCTCCCAACCCAGCTGCAGCAGCATCTGTAGCGCCACCTTCTATCCAGCCACTGATTCTTTCTATTAAATCGGCTCCTTTCTCAATCAAAGATTCAAAAAATCTGTCCCAGCCTATCATTCGAGCCACAGACCCGGGCAACGTCACGAATATGAAGACCTCGGCACGATATATGAAGCGAAATGGAAGAAGCAGGATTTGTTTCGGGATCGAAGGAAGGGGCGTTAATCGAGAGGACGTAGTATTCAGGAGGCTGGCACTCTTATCGTAGACCGAGGCTGAGAAGGTCGCTCCCGCCGGAGAGACAGAAGCGGTTGCTGTCGAAGCCACCTCCATTGTGAATCACACCCGGGAATGGAGAATGCAAGAATACTTGTATTAAAAATGCCGATTTTATCCGGCCAGGGTCTCCATTAAGCAGATAGTTAATGGAAAATCGAAGGAGAGGGAATATCTCGGCAGACTGAAGAGTTTCAAAGAATGACTTGTCCGTCCAGAGTCACACCCTGTTCACTACGTCACAAAGAGCGGGCGATGGCATTGTGCTCGGCGACGAATCCGAGGGTAGATTTCCGGGCCAAAGCCAGAATCAAGGCTTCAAATCTAAAACGATCAACTCGTCCACGATGAGGACGAGAGCTGTCTCAGTAATCGACGATGGAGTCAAGATTGTCGTTGCGCAACAGCGAGACCCCTGAAGCCCGATGGCACGTGCCGTGACCGCCTGTTTGCTCTGTTTGTCTTGCTGCTTTTCTCCGCGATTATGTCAGCCACGAAGATATCATTCCTCTGATGTGTAAATGCCACAACCAACATGTATATATCCCTAAGGAAGCTTGAGTTTCAACGAGGATGTGGATTGATATAATGAAAGGTGTCTAGTCGTACTCTTTATTGTACAGGTTGTATGGGTACACCCAACGCAAAAAAGCTCCAAGGGAGATATTAAGCTCCAATCAGCAACCCACCAAGCCGGGTCAAAAAAATCACAACTGGCGCCGGTGCCTAGAGATATTCTACCGTAAAAATAGTACCAACGCCGTGCCGAACATTGGAGAAAGTTCGGGTTCACAAATCAAATCCAAGAGTGCTCATCACTCTTCCCAACTAAACTTCCTCCTTATTACACGCGGCGGTTGCCCGTCCACGGGGTGGGAAGGCCCGTCGGGCCCAGTCTCCAATGTCGATCCGCCCGTCCCAACGCCAGAAGCAGTTACTTGGCTTGAATACGAGTCACCTGGTTGGCGTATCGATAGTGAGCCGTTCCCAAGGAAAGAGCCGTTGAACGAACGATTTGGGGTCAACGGAGAAGGGCCGCTAGTGCTAAGGCTTCCGTTGACGGTCATAGATGGCGCCAGTGGGCTGACCAAAATCGGTTCGCTATGACTAGCATCTAACGGTATGCTAGTCAGGATATACACAGGAGGCCCTGCACCGGATTGCGGAGGGCCCTGTGGTGTTGCTGGCTCACTTGTGTCCTTGTCGTCTACTTCATTCCGATAAACAGGAGGAGGAATAGCAACATCCCGCCTTTTCCCGCTTACACTATAAAAAGTGTTGATCACTTCCGAGGCTTCCAATTCAACAGGTTGATTCGATCCCTCAAGCTCATATCGAGTGGCTGCAGGGTTTGCTGGAGCTTCAACAACAAAATGAGCTTCACTGGATAGTTCAGAAGGCGTAGAAGAGATTCTTGAGCAGCTAAATGGCCAGTATCGCCGCCTTTGCCATTTCATTTTGGCCTTTTCTTGGAGTGGCTCCGGAAGCAGTTTAGGTTTACGGCCTTTTTTGCGAAGACAAACAGTGATCCCGATGCACGTTGCGATAACAACAAAGACGCCAACTCCCACGCCAATTCCAATTAGAGCGCTCGTAGATAGAGAGTTCTGCGGTTTAGAAGGGCCTTTGTAAGAGCTTTCTGTCGGGCGAGATATTTCAACCAAGTCTCTGCTAATACCACCATCCGAAGGGAACCTGGCTTGAGAGATTGAAAAGTTATGTCGTTCATAGTCCACCGCTAGATACGCTTCCTGGAGGAATGTTCTCCCTATAGTAAACTGTTTTGGGTCGGAAGTTCTCCGCATGGGAAAATAGTGAAGACCCTGCGAGCTAGCGTTGGCGTCAAGGTTAGGGAAGGGATAGGAGAGTTGATGGTCAAAGGCACAGAATGGCAAAGTAATATCGATCGAATTTCCGGAATCTGGGATGTCAGACAAGGTAAATGTGAATGACATATTCGCATTCATTACGTTGTCGTAAGTCGTTGAGTTTGTTCCATATGTATAGAGTTGGAGTGCATCGTCGTATTCCAAATCCAATTCCTTTGCGAAGGCGTCACAGATGTATTCCGGAAACCAAAAGAAAGGAGAAGACGAATCAATCGTATAGCGCTCCAGTCGATTTAGGGTATGAAGGTCGACAATATCTGATCCAGATGATTCAACGTTGGATGATACTTTTATCGATTTGACCGCAACCATTGGAAGGTCGTCTGGTGATAGGACGAAAGAAACGGTATTTTCAACGAATCGATTTCTATCGACACCTCCAAGAGTGAGAGAGGACCGGACGCCTTGTAGCTCTGTACATGCACTGGTTAGTGAAATGCAGCTTGCCACACGGATGAGTCAACTAACGGTAGTATGCCCCTGCGGTGTAGCCATAGCTGTGACTTGGAACCAGGCTCCGGTTCTCCACCAACGTACTGAGAAATGATAGTTTATCTTCGCTGGTGAAGGTAGTTTTTTTGATCCCCAGTCCGAGAGATCCAACCCACCAGTCAGTGGTGTTGACCATGCTCACGATCTGATCAGCCAGCACTGTCCTGTCGTCTAGGGATATATTGTCAAAGCCATAATTCCCAACGCCGCTGTGGTCCAATTGAAGGTCGTTGCCGAGTTCGTAGAAACCGATTCCATTCCATGTGCTCGACTCATTCGATAGAAAGAAACCCCCCCGCGCCGTACGACATTCCATAGCTGCATGCTCTTGTCAGGGCCGTGGCTCAAAACTAAGCGTGGTCGCGTAACCCCCAGGAGCGTCACACCACCCACCCAAAGTTGACATCGAAGGGATCATGTAGACATACTAGAGTCGCATCCATCGCGTCCAATCACCCAAGTCTCGGAGCTCCCGGTGTTGGGAAAGACGTTGATCCATTGCGGAGGGGAGCCGACGCGGATAGCGACCCTGCCAGCGAGTTAGATTCATTCAGACCATCAAGTTACAAGCTCTTTCATTTGATCACTCACGGGCTCCAGTACCCGTCATATCCAATCCTAACATAACTGTTATTAACGGCGCCCGATCCAACGCATCTCCCGAAACTTACCAGTCGGAACCGGATGGAACTGCCAGCGGCGCGGGGGAATCCTGTGCTGCGTGGACAACGTGCCATGAAAGAGCGACAAACAAAAGTACCTCGAGGGCGATTTGGGATCGGCTCAGTGCATCAATCCCGCGACCCGACCGGAATCTCAAGCGCATGGTTGGCGCGATTGTCGAACGGAGGACATTGGAAAAACATAACCCGCCTTGAGATGCAACACGGGAAGATGCTCAATCCATCTTCACAGCAACGACATCAGCCATTTTGCGAAGAGGATTTCTCTGAGCGTGTTCGAAAGTCTCGTCAGCAACCGGAAGAACGCGCACAACCAACGGCTGGCGTGGGTTCGCCGCGAGACACCCCGGTTGCAAAAGAGATTTCTGCTGACGAGTTTACCAGGCTACACCCATGGATCCCCGGCGCCGGGACTGAGTCGAGCTCGATCCAAGGAGACTGATCGACACTACGAGGTTTCGTCTTTCGTGATCCAGAAACTTGGCGCGATCCCGCCCGCCGTCGTGTTCAAGAGACGCTCAGAGGCAGCGACTGGACTGGTGCTCTGGCGGATGTCTCCAGAGTCAACATCTTCAATAATGCACAAATCCCTTTGATGAACTTTGAACAGGCCGTGAAAGAGCGATCAGCATTATTAACTCATAACTAGCCAACTATTAACACACTTGTCTCAATTTCTCCTGTTGATCTGTTGGTTTCTGAACAGCATCAACCCTGCACCCAGGGATCCCGGCTTCACTAGCTAGTCAACAAGTCCGCCATCAGCACCGGAAAATCAGCTTCCGACTTCATTCCGCCCTTTCGCCAAAGCCGTCAAATAGCAATCTCTTTGCTGTTTTTCTGTCAGCCTACCCATGCCACAAGCCAACCAAGACCATGAACTTACTGCAGGGAAACGGGTTCCATTCCGTTCCGTCGGGCGTCAGGAACACCCTGAATGCCCCTCCTTCCGCCTTGCTCTTCATCTCTCCAGCCGGGCCAGGCGCCCTTCTCACATTATCCAGTCTTCCGAATACTCGAAGCATACTAGCCGCAGCTACGGTCACAAACGGTCGTCCCAGGCACGCATGGGCGCCCCAGCCGTGGTGGATATAACTTTCATCAGGCCGGTCGGGTTTGATCGCATCGGGTTCCGGGAATTTCGATGGATCGGTCCCAGCGGCCGTAAAATCTGCAAATATCACGTCGCCCGCCTTAAATGACACCTTGCGGTCCCCATATTTGACCGTGCCGTCGGTAGCAGCCGTGCGAAGCACGCCAAAGGCAGGGGTCGCCAGACGAAGCCTACGAGACTAATTAGCTCTGCGGGTACGAACGGGCCAGCATGGCATTAGTTACCCTTCGAGTGCATATTTTTTCAGCGTCTCGAAATCTTCAGGCGCGTCTGATCGGGAGAGCTTTTGGATCACCGGCCAGTAGGAGTAATACTTATCCGACATGTACAGGTCGATAAGTTGGGCCCACTAGTTGGATGAGTTTATTAGCTTGCGTGACCTCAAGCGTTCGAATCGAATGTCATACTCCTTGCGCTTGGGTTGCGACTGCTGCCGCCGCCGTGGGAATAAGGGTCCATGTTACTTCATCTGCAGTCTTCCCCGGACCAGACAGCCGCTCCACCAAACGGGCCCCATAGTCATTGAGAACGTCTTTCTTTGAGTGCTCCAGGAATTGCTTTAAGATGAAAAAGTGGCCAGCTTGAACCCCGGTAACAGCCTCCTTCACCAGCCGTCCGAGTCGCTGCGAATCCCTCCTCGCAACCGCGCTCCGCTGGAATGACATGGCCTGGTCAACATCGAGGAATACGTACGCGAACAGATGCGCCAACGCATCATACAGTTCTTGCTCCGTATATGTATCCGATCCACCGCCAGCGCTTTGCAGCGGAATCTGGAAGAAATGCCCTGCAAAGTTGGCATGCACAAGATTCCCGATGCTGTCCAAAAAGTGAGCATATAACATCGCGATCCAGTTTGGGATATCCTTACTCGCGCACAACATCCACTTGGTAGAGATCTCCCGCTTTTCGGCTATGCTTCTGTAGGAAGTTCATCGTGACCTCCTCATAAAATTCTCGAACTTGGCCCAGAGCATCCTTGGGGTCAAAAAGACACTTTCGAACGAAATCTCTCTGCTCTGCATTGGCTTCTGAGTCGCCACTGAGCATATAGTCATGTTTCGTGAGTTGGTACGTGTGTGGTCCCCCTGAATCTAGGTTAACTGATTATCCTCGCATGAAATGAACATGATGATTCGAACTCACAAGGAACCTTGAACCTATCCTGGTTGCTAAGGACATCTACCACTCCCCGCCATGTGATAACGGGGATAGGTGGCCCAATGAAAGACGGCGCGTCATAGCTATACTCGTCTACGGTACCCAATTGTTCAAAAATCTCACGATTTTTCTCCGGTATCGTGAATGGAAAGAGGGCGTAGACTGAGTTCGGTCTATACCAGCCCGGCAGAGCACGCATCAAGAGCTTATACAGGACTCCCCCCTTGGCAACGTCAAACGATGAGTTTGCAACGTTGTACCTAGAAAACGCATCAGCATATATCCTGCTGTGAAAATTATGATACCATCTTACCCAAAACTTGTCAGATTTTCGGGGCTGTAATCGACTGTATAAAACCGATCGCCCCTCACCAGTGCTACCGCATCATATAAAATAGCGGTCGAGATGGTAAACCCAGGGCAAAGGCCGGACCCAGGCGAGAGAGGAACCTTCGCGTCTTCCGCGTAAATTCCTGGATACAGCTCGATGTCGTCTGGGTTGCCATACAGTGCTTCCACTAACCTAACATTCAGTAGACAGTATGCTACGCACTGTGCTAGCACTTACATGTTTCAGCAACCGATGGGTCCGAGTTTACTTCCACTGTGAAATGGTCAAACGGAGGCCTAAATGATGAAAAGAGGTCGCTTACGAAATGTTTCGTGCGGCTTTAGCTTGAAGAAGAGCCGGAACTCATTGAGGGTTGCAAGCCCCCATTCTCGTCCTTGTTCGATTCCAAGCACTTCAATAACCTTCATCACGGCTGGTACGTTGCGTGCACCAAAGTTGCCTTGCGACACTGCGCATTAGAGCCACATATCCCAATGTGAATACACAAACTTACCGGCAACAACTTCAGTGCTTGTCTGGAGAAGCTTAACCAGGTCGGCATCTTTGAAAGCTCCGTCAGCCTGGCGTCTCAGACCTCCAAACTCCCACTTTGCGGGATCTTCTGGTAGACTTTGTGTCCACTTCCAGATCCCGGCGCGGAATTCCGTCAAAGTGAGCTTATCTGTTGTTGCACATGTTAGTCGAAAAGTAAACAGATGCAAACGAATTGAGTTTCACTCCGGCCTGGTAATATGGTATGATACTTACTCGGATCGATATCTCCAAAAACTTCTTTGAAAAACCCTTTGGCCCATTCCTCGTCATGGTTGCTAATTGCAGGGTGCCAACGATAGATTACGTTGAATTCAGCGCTTACTTGATTTCCCACACCCCTTGGAACGCCGGTTGAATCGAAGACACCGAGAGCCTGGCGAGGATCCAACTTCCAATCCGAGTCCTTGGGATTTTCATTCAGGTTAAGGATCGTCCTTAAATAATCGTTGAGGATTATATTGACATAGAGACCACAAGTTATGCTGCGCAGCTTCAAGTAAGCCAGTGTTTGTCGAAGAGGATTGGGCCGCGACGAGCACCCACAGTCTACCAGTCTGAAACAGATCATTGTCGCGCTTGAGCTGAGCCTTCTTATATTCCGGACTCCCCTGGGTCATACCCTCTGGCAATGTGAAGCGGCCTCGTTCATTGATTATGGCTAGCTCTCCAACCACGTAATTGTGGAAACGGTTGAAAGCAACAAGTAGAGCGCAAACACCGGGAGGTTGGCCTAACACCCGCTCTTCAGCAAAGACATCTTTCTTGAGCCGGCCGTCTTTAAACTCCCGAACCCTTTCTTGCTGCTCTCCATCATGTCCGTAGAGCGGACCAAGATCAAGATATGACGAGTTTTTCAACCGAGTCGTGTCTTTCTCATCCGTGCGGAATATGTCTAAAGAGCATCAACTTGGACTATTTTCTATTGGTGAAGGTAAACAGTTACCCACCATGGATAATAACTGTCGCAAAATGAAAAAGCGTGCTCGAAATCTTAGCGGGATGGTCCTTAGAAGGACCGTCACGCTTCATAAGAGCTAACTAAAGTGAGTACAAGTGGCGAAATGTCTCCACATTGTTGAAGAGGCATACTGTCAAAAATAAGGCCCGGATCAGGTAGATTGGACGGCTTCGGCCGCTGTGGCACTACGCTTCGTGCATAGTGGCTCCCTGACGCCCCAAGATGCGGGTACATGATATTCTGAATGCGGTAAGGAACCTGCCCGTGCTAATTGGCAAGACAGTAACCTACGTTGTTGGAGCCATCGGCAGTGCGATATTTATACTCATCCCCCAGATAGGAGAGCGGTGGATGCTCCAGGTTATTCCACAGCGTTTTGATAAACTGGTCAGACAGCGTGTCTCGAAGCTTCGATCCGTTCGGGAGCGATGCCGCAAGTTGAATAATATGCTCGATCTATTCAATGAGAGAAAAGGGGGATTTGTTGGCTGCTAGACAAGCGACATTTGGGCACCTACTTACGGTATATTTACGGTCGTTGACGATACCACCAGAAGCCATGGCTTCGGCGCGCTCATGGAGGATCTGAAGGTCTGGCCCGACGCGACCCGCCTGGCTGAACACATCGGCCATCGCGCCACCTAGCACGGAAGCCAAATTAGACTGGGAGCTTTTGCTCTTTTGCGAGTCCATGAAAGCGAATCCGCGAAATGGTCCTTGCCGTTACTAGCGAACGACGTTGACTGTGCTCCAGAAGAGGCGGACAGACGAGCCCTTATGAGTCCAATCCGGGTCGACATCCTACAACCATAATTCGCGGTCCTGCGGACTGCCCTCTCCTCCGCCGGATACCGGACTCTCCGCCCTATGAACTTGCAGGCTCCGCGTCTAAATACAAGGCAGTTACCAAGTTTCGGGGGGAACACCAAAGCTTAAGGTTACGAACGATTAACTTCATATGGATCACCAACTTTAGATAAATTTAGATCATAGATATTCGGAGTTGTTCTGCTCTGGACTTATATGCGAAAGTGAGTGAATCATTCCCCATGAATTGGGTTCTCCAGAGAGCTAATTCAAGGCATAGTTGTCATCCCACGTTCGATGGCTAAAAGCCTCCTCCATTGTTTCCGTTGAGAGTCTTGATTAACTGACCTCGAGGCCTATCAAACGGTCTGCCTTTCACATTGACAACTTTCCTCTAGAACGGTCGCCGTTCAGAACCTACAAAGTCCCAGTAACCAGCCATCGACGTCATGAGTCCAAGAAGCTTCTCATCAAAGCTCCTGTTAGAACTAAGCTTTGAAATTTCCACTCTCCGTACGAAACATGGCTCCTTTGCTGTCCTGTTTGTTAACACTGAGGCGGACAACTTGTCTAGGATTTCCATCCCCTAAAATCAAGAACCAGTCTACAAAGGCGGATGCCAGGGCTTTTTCGAGTTGCAGAATGCACATTGTCATATAAAACCGTCATGGGCTAATTTCTAGAACACGGAAGCCGGGTTAGGACTGTTTTCCGTCGTCAACCAGCCTTTTCAGGATCACTAGATAGTTATCGTTGATCCTTGAAACCTGAGCTGACATCTCCTTCCACCGAGTTACCGTTAACTTCGTAGCTAGGTCGATCCTGTTACTGCCATGGCCATCTTCCTCGGTCCAAAGGTATGTGGTTACAGACCTGAACTCCCATCATTTTTACACCGTTCAATCGCCAATCTAGACTCTTTGTCTTTTGACAAATCTTAAACCCTGTATGAGTATAAGCGGCGTTAATGAAGAGAATAATAACTGGCTTGTGCACTTGCGAAATTTGGGAGCCCATAGTTATAGCTTTAGAGACTCCTACAGTATAATCTGGGTATATACCATATGGGCGGTTTGCTCGCGGTTATAACTGATTCTGTAAAACCTACACCGGATGCCATTTTGAGCCCATTCCATCAACAACCTCTTTGAGATACATAGTGCTATCAATCCGAACAAACATAGGCACGGACTCTACGGAGTAGCTACAGCAGCCCCTCTTCCCCCCTGTCCCTTCATTCTCTATCAACTTCAACCCGTGATTCTCATCCTCTTTCTCCTGAGTGCCATCCTGCTGCGTTCTTGTGGCCCAGGTACGAATAAGCTCAGATCAGGAGCTGCTCCCCTGTGTCTGCCAAGCTTCAAATATTTATGAGATTGTTGAAACACTTTTTTCAAAGGCCTCATGTGACAAAGTGCTGCTCCAGCACCGTTCCATCGTAGGTGGAATCGAAGATGGTACGGCCATTGAGCAGCTCCTCTCCAATGTAACCGCCTCGGTAGGCATCGGGTGTTTCTCTTTTCAAATTGGAGTTACACCTTTAAGCCGCGGGGAAAAAAGCAAAACGCGGTTATTGAACTGATCACAGCTCGGGTTCTCATTTACACTGAGCGCTCTGCGAACAGTGGGGACCTTTGACCCGGTGTTCTGAGTAAATTGCAAGATCGTGCAAAGTCTGGACCTCAAGGAAACCCAGATTGCCGGGTTGAGAGTCGGAAGAAATAATGAGAAGTTTTTACAATCTCAAGATTTCCGTTGGACACTATGAAGAGCAACCTGTCGATGCTCACTAAAGCTGGGCCGCAATACCAATCCTGTTCCTGAGGTGACGATATTTTTGAATCTTGCTACCCAGCTGGTTCCTGCAATCCTGGAGGTTCAGAAAGAAACTGAAAACGCACTATTAAGTCCTCAAAGCTGGGTTTGGGACAATCCTTGTCCTCCTTTTGCCAGGACAGGGCTTGAATCGAAGACAAAGGTTGCCAATAGTTGTCCGGCTTCTTGCCATCCGTCAGCGAACATCTTATTAAGTGAAAAACGGATCGCCGGGATAGGAAGAGGCAGGGCAGTCGATTTCAAAATGAGCGTCCTGTTTCAACAGGTCGTGGCCTTGTGGCTTGGTTAAATCAGCACCAACGCCATCCGCAAGATGCTCTGGGAATACTTGGGAACTTACGGAGTACTGATTGTCAAGTCGTATCGATTTCTTCAGTTGTCATCAGAAGCTCTATTTCTTGCCCGAGACTTTGATCAAACTGGACAGTTCATGCGAAAAAGGCGATTGAGCAAAAAGCCTGGGGTTGATGATCGCAGCATCAAGGTCTTTGCTGTTGGCTGATCCCTGTCTGCGTTGACTGTTAGCCTTCTTCACAAACCTGGAGACTCGCCTTTAAGCTTCCGTATCGACCTCTTCATGGAGGATCCCTTTTCTCTCCCAGACTGCAGCCGACGGGCATCCTGGCACTTGTCGCGGGAATGAGAGGCCGGTCAATGATGATATTTTCCTGCTAGCAGCCTCTCACCCACGAGGATTTGTTCAGAGACAAAGAATGAGCTAGCTAATGCACTCTTGCTCGCTCAAACTCGGACAGCTTGCCCCTGTTCGTGCTGCTTGTTCTCTGCTCTTATCTGGGGCACCGTGGCTGTGATATTGCAATCTTCTGTCTCCCAGACAATGGTGTTCTGACTCTTCTTCCATTGCTCAAACCGACACGACTTTTTGCGGAACAGTTGTCAAGATGGCCTCTGTTCCGCTGCCACTCGTTTTATTCATCCTTTCTGCTCCTTTTGCGGCCAGTCTGCCATGGGAAACGACGAACCGTACGCCTACCATAGCCTAGTTCTATTTGATCTGACACTGATCGTTCTACTGAACAGCCTCGTTATCAACAGCTTCAACCACGTCTTACAGTCTCTTTTCATTCGATAGCACCTTCTTCTGCAATCCCGCGACCGTCTCTCGGAAGAAGACTTTGTCCTCTTCGCCTTCTACCACCTCGCAACCTACTGGGCCTGCCACTTGTTCTGGGACGCTTCACTACTCTGGAACTATACCCGAAATCGTGTATACGACGATAACCGACGTTTACACGTATGTGGGCATCGGTTCCGTGGTTGCAAAGCCAACGTACATCACGCCCCTTCCACCTTGCTTTGCACCGGCCGACAAGACCTCATCTGTTGACATAGAAGATCCCTGCGCTACACGCTCACCGATCTATATGATCTCAAGTGCAGTTGTCTCGGTTACAAAAAAGACTACTATATACGAAGTGCCGGATTCAATAATCCCCCCGAATTTCTCCAAACCAGCCAGAGTGACAAGTTTGATTAAGAGCGCTATCGATGGACTTCAGTCATGGAATACTATTCTCGACAATCAACGAACTCGGGATCACAGCTCGCGCCCTGAAGTCACCGCGTCGCCCGACAGCGAAGGCCATCATACAGGCAAAAGGCCCCCACCGAGTAATGGGGGCTTGGATCATATTGAGCATGATAGTAAAACCAGTTTCATAATCTCCGGCGTTCCCATAACGGTCTATCACATCAGAACCTCCGTGATAGTCGCTCTTCCACAGGCCACCATAACCATGGAAAATAATAGTACGCCCATGACCTTGGCTGCCGGAAATCAAGATAGACCGGTTGCGCTCACCATTGGCTCATCGGCGATTATTTGTGATGGAACGACAATCCCACTGGCGCAACAAGACGCGACAATGAATCTCCCAAACACAATTGAAAATGTCGTCTCAACACGTCCTGGGGGCTCAGCGCCGCATCCTACCGACAGAAACCCCGGAAGCAATGGCGCCGGCCAAACGTCGGTCAATAATGCGTCTCCGAAGCAGTCGCCACCTTCGAATGCTGATAGAAATTCAGCCATAGTTGCCGCAGTTCCAGTGACTTTGTTTACTCTATTATCCTTCTTGACCATGGTGATATATATCTGAATTTCGAGTTCTCTCTGTTTTTTTTTGTGGGATTTAGAAAGGTAATCGTGAGAGCATCAAGGGCGCTTTTTTGGATTTTGATATTCGGGAAATCAAGGGAGGGATCAGCATAGCCGCTGCAATGCATTGTATATAGCCTTATGGAGTACTGACAGGCGTAAAACCCTGTTTGGCACATAAAATTGTTGCCGTATCAGCCATTTCAAGCTCTCCATTGCCTGCCAGTGGGTTAAGCAGGTTTTAGTCGTGCGGCCTTTTGTAAGATTGACTTTTTGAGGGCGACTTCACCTTGTCACCACATCACCAACGTACAAAACCACGGTGACATCTTCACATATGGAAAGCAACTTATTAAAATCACCAAATGGCCGAGGTAAGCTATTCCATTCGCGCTTCAGTCCACCATTAGGCAGTTTCCCTCCAGAATCACTAACTAAACCTGTTGTCCATTGCAGTCCCACCACGTCACCAAGGATACCCGAGTTCGCGATAACCAGCGACGTTCCCGCGCAAGACGCAAAGAGTACATTCGAGACCTCGAACGTCGCCTAGGAGCATTCGAAAAGCTCGGTGTCCAAGCAACGCTGGAAGTCCAGCTTGCCGGCAGAAAAGTCGCGGCGGAAAATGCATTGCTGCGATCGCTGCTGAAATCCCGTGGCATCACGGATGAGGAAGTGGAAGCTTTCTTGAAAGCGCATCGAGAACCGACGGAACTGGCCGCTTCGACGACGCTTCCTCCGCCTCCGTATAGGGCGTCGAGTGCAGCAACTGGACAGTTGACCGGGGGTCAAGGCTCGCAAGCGGTGAAATCGCACGGAAAGGGAGCGGAACTGCAGCATACCGACGGGGGAAACATATCTCAATCGACCACTTGCGCGGAACTCAGCTCATCTTTATGCTCTCGAAGTTACTGCAATACCCGCGAGGAGCGGACAGCGGCAGCGTGTGTGGCAGATAGTTGCTCTCAGCAGCAGCAGCAATCCCCCGAATTCAATAACGGCCAGCTCACGTCTTGTGAGACTGCGGCTAGGATAATTACCACAATGCGTGGAGATTCGGACATGAAAGACGCACGGGCCGAATTAGGCTGCGCATCCGAGTCGAATTGCATGGTGAAAAATATGGCCATCTTCGATCTGCTCGATAGGTGAAGCCAAACGAACCACGATATGACGGCAGTATTTCTACGATCAAGGATCTTCTTTGTCGTCTTATGACACCCAGAAGCTAAAGTATCTATTTCGCCCATAGCATGTTCTTACTTGGCCTTTTTTGAAAAGATCTGCACACTCTTCTCCAATTCCATGCCATGGCGTCTGTGTGTGGCCCCCGTGCGGCACTGGCATTGCGATACAATCGGCAAAGTGCAACCCAGACAAGTCTCAGACGCGCAGCTTCGCATTCAGGACTACCAAAGGTCTCCCACATCCGTGTGGTCTACCGGTCGTGAACACGTCGATACAGGAACTTTATTGGCACCTGCGACATAGGAGAAAGGTTGTGGGGCTCAGTATGCATATGTCCAGCATATCCGTGCGCACGTTCATCGGCTTTTGAATCAGGGCTTTGGGTGGAAGCGCCCCCCCCCAGAAACATCGAACCCTACCTTGCTCCAATTTCGACTCCCTGGGCAGGGACAATCGATCAACCCTTGGTCATGTATTTGAGACGGGAGAAAATCGCCTTGCTGCTTCGGTTTACGTTCGTTGGAACCTAGAAAGCTGGGTTAAGTGGATGGACAACTCGTTGCGTTGTCACCGGTTGTCTCGCTGAAGATCCTGATACCATCAGTCTCGTCAGCCTAGTAAAGCTATGGAGATTGTCCGTATAGCTGGCCGGGTACGAGATCGTTGATATCCCAACTTCAGTACCCGTTCCCCTAGATATAGAGATGGCGGAATAGTCCAGAATCCGACTGAATATTAAAATTCCGCCAACACCTGGTGTCAATGATAGATAGGCATAAACAGCACTCTGAGGATCGGTGGGAGTAAGTATGATTATGACGACTAGGGCGAGGGATTTTCAAATCCATAACTAGGTAGTGATCCTTGCTGGTCGAGCTTCACCACCTAGGCCCCAACCATTATGCAACGCGAGCACTACGAAAAGAATTCATTAGCTTGTACGCATCAAAATCTTTTCAAGATAGTCCGTAAATATCGTCCTAGAATCATATTGTCCAAAGGACATAGCAGGGCTTGATATACTCCGGGTAGCCGTGATTAAATTCTGCAATAGAACTGAGAGCCTCAATATATAAATAGCTAAACTAGCTTCATCCAACAATAGATTCTAGAAAGTATGGCTTCATTAAGCCCTTTTCGCGATATCAAAAGGAGTCCTTGTGAAATCAACATGCCATTGACAATATAGCATTTGTACAGCTTGGTGGAAGGACCGCCCTTTCAACTCATGTACCTAAATCATAGCTACAGAGACTCATGGCGCGAATCAATCAAACAATTTCTAAGGGTTGTTTGAGTTGCTGATGTTTTTATGCTTTTGACTTCTGAACGGTAAACTCGACAAGGAGTAGCCAAAAATTCCCAAGCTGTCGTTTGCCGGAAAATGTCCATAGGTAACTTAGAAAATAGTAGCCGGAAATTACTTTATCGTCATGGAACTCGTGTATAGGCTTGAGAAGTATATTTGCTTCTTCGTTGATGGGAAACAACAATAATAATGTTGTCAATTGCAACCACTAAAAAGCATGGTTAATTTTGAGAGACTGGAACTATCTTAGGGAAACAAGGATAGCAACTCACCAAAACCGTAGACGAGAACAACAGAAGGGACTATCCATCCACTGTTTAGATAGTTCGAAAATGCATTCTTACCATTGCCATCAACTAGGGCCACAATCGAGGTCAGAGATAGACCAATGCCAGCGACAGTAGTGATGATGATGGACATGACCTCTCCTCGGCTTTTATGTGACTTCGAAAACCAGTGTAACAAGGCCATGAAGACGAGAACAAGTCCAGCAGATATGAAAAAGAATCGGAAGACCACAAAGAATTTCTCAGATAGCTTATCGATCCGCTCGCGGGCAGTTTCAATTTTGGTTGAGTGCGATTCGCCGATGTCGACACCGAAGGAGCGCATAATCCAGACAAAGGTACTTCCGTTAAACTCAGTAAGTAGATCTTCCACTTTTTGTGCGTCTGTTCTAGGGTTTTTAATAGCAGTAATGTTGCCATAGATGGAGCTAAAGTCCGGAACTTCTTGGGTATCCCTGAGTCTCCCTTTCAAGCTGGAGACTATCTCTTTAAGGCTGTCAACCAGCTGAGGTATACTATCATAGACCTTCAAACGTTGAGAGTCCCTGAAAGCCTTCTCATAGATGCCCTTGGCAACGCTATAGAGGACGAAAGTACGACTTCCTTCGTTCGTAATAAGAATAGCCATGTGCAATGGGAAGTGCAACAGTGCCCAGATTTGCTGGCGAATGGTTCCGAAACGGTTTTCATCGGTTTGATCAAAGTATATCATATACATAAAATACTAAAATTGTATCAAATCAACGCAAACTGGTCAGTCGACGAAATAAAATGTGGAAATTTGGTCGTCTTACCAGAATTACGACATAGCAAGTAATAAGCACTATCGAAGATGCTGTGGGGTGGGATGTTCCTTTGGCGATGCTTGTCACCTAGCATGCGTTAGTCAATTGAATTGAAATAATCTACACCTCAACGTACCGCTTTAGCCATTCCAACGGTACCTTCTCCAAGAACTATGAGGGTCATACCTCCAAATCGCTCAACGATTGGAGTCCCCTTGAAGCTTAGCACTTTCCAGAAGCTAGAAATTGCAATCATAATCACAGCCTCCACGGCCGGCACAATGTACCAACCGAGATACGCATAACGAGCACGGTCCATCTGTGATGCAAGCGCGATAATCAAGAACACCAAAGCTGAAACAAAAAGCGTTCCTGTTGTAATTATCTTTGCGCTGAGGGTTTTTTTATACCCTCGCACATACCAAGCCACAATTCCATATTGAAATACGAGTATGAGGCGGGATGCCGCAAGGACTAAACTCATGTTACGGAAGCGACGTGGATGGTTGAGAGGGTCGGTCACGTCAAAATTCGGGGCTAGAACAGCAAACCCGGTCATAATCCCTAGGTGTAGGGCCTTAAACGTACGTGAAGAAACGGAATCGGAGTAGAATCTAATGTCGAAGAGCGCAGTCTGGAGCCAATAGAACCATAAGATCGCTATGTAACCGACGTACGACTTTACATCTGTGAACCTTGGTCAGTATTAGGATGAATCGGCGTTTGTACCAAAGCAACAAACTTTCGGTAGTGTTAATTTCATGAGCTGAAGCAAAACTTCCAAGGTTGGCCACGAAAAAGAGGTCGAAGAACAATTCCATTGCAGTCGTTGCATGGCGCTTTTTGAGAATTGGTTGCTCATCATGCTGGCTAGCTTTCGAAGGGGCTTGTGAATGGTCGTTTGGCCTGTTCTCAAGACGTATCTCGTCTAAAACGAGCGGGTTAGAAGCAGATGGCAAAGGCTTTCGCCAATTGTGACTGGTATAGTTGGCGTCAAGAATATTTTTCAGTTTCATTTTGTCAATTATTTAATAAGTGGAAAGCGAGCTCGAGATCAGGGTATGCAGCTGTTAATCAAGAGTAATATGAAGAAAAAGAACCGATGAAGGCCAGTATCTTATTATAATAATAAAGCGAAGGGGTATGGAGCTGGAAAGGGAGCGACGACACAAAGCGGATTTGTCACTTCAACGTCAAATAACGGAAGATGCAAATTGTTCGACAAGGTATTCATTCTTCCCTTTCAAGTCTCAGGGCGCTAGGAAAAAGCAAATAGATGAGACTTTGTAACTGCACTTTTGATAGGCGCTTCAACGTGAGATCTGATTGACCAGTTCAGCCCTACTGTGAAGCGCTGATAACCACGTCAAGGAGAATGGGTACACGGTGGGCTGAACAGCCCTCATCCTTGAAGGCAATCTCAGCAGGGGGGAGGACCGAAGCGAAAGCCCGTTTCATCCTATAATACTCCGTACTCCGTATTCCATGATCAGGTAATGGCTCCGTCCATATCGCCGTGGGGGCTAGAGGTCGCACAATGAAGACCCATCAGATTGCTGGTGAGTCAGAACCTCACCACTCATAATGCTCCAAGAGAGGAACAAGCTCCGCGCTTGGAGGATGCTGTTGCAGATCATGATCATCACAACTGTGATGGATGGAGTTGTTGTTGTCAAGTGGAAGAACAATGACTTGACGTTGTTGAATCGAGAGCTTCGTCGTTGAGTTTGAGTTCACTCAACCATCTTGGCTGGTGCCAGTGGCTGGTGCTGACGTCGCCCTCCCGGTGTGGCTGGTGGTCTGGATGTGCGACGTGGAACAACATATGGATACTCCGTGTCAACAGGCTAACAACAGTATCCGATCAATCCGAGATTTCACTGCGATTATGACTCAGGGATCCTATTTTCTCTCTCTCAAAAAAAGAGACTATTAATTGAGACCAGAAATCAGACCGCCCGGCGAGAGGCACAGGAATTTCATCGGATTCATCTATCGTCATATGCTTTATCGCAGTTCAAAACAGGTCACAACCATATTCCCCAGCTAATCACAATCTAAACATTTCCCCGCGACCCTTAACTCCATCAAAAAGAAAGGTATTATCAAGTGGCACATATTGTTTCGTCAACACCTTTAGTGCTTCTTGCGCGACAAATCCTCCCGCCAACGCCGAAATATTGTGAAGGTCTCCAACTCCAGCCCGGCGCGTCTCCGTAACTGTATTTTGAATGTTTGCTTGAGCTTCATCATCCAAGCAGTCCGAATCGTTGGCCTGAATACTGGTCATGAGCTTATACATAGCTCGTTGCCAGTTCGTGGGATCGTCAAGGTATGACGACGAGGACGTTGAGTGCAGCCTCTTTTCCTGATATTCGGTAACAAGAATATCAAGGGCTCGAAGAGAAAGAAATATTGGTATCAAAGACTCCGGGTTTTCGATGTTATTTCGAATGGCTTTTACCGTTTCTTTGTCCGGCGCGTCTGAGTCGACGAAAGGAAGTTTGCGCCCTTTAACAACTTTAATATGCGCAGCATTTTTGCAAAATACTTCGATTTCCTTTTCCGAAATCGGCGAAACAACACGATCAGGACCTAACTGGGTTTCGATTGCCCGAACAGTGGATACAACCTCGGCCAAGTCTTTTCGTGCCTTTGTTTTGTATAGGTTTTGAAGGGATATGTAATCCGAGGATTGAGCCTTCATATCTGGAAGCGTTCCAGGAAGCGGTAAAACGTCATGACATTTATAAAAGGTCTTAATAGCATGTGAAATGACCCAGAAGTTATCTGATTGCGCGTTGAGGTTGGAACAGTCATCCATCTCAAACAAGTCTCGTACGTTGCGGTTTAATGACCAAGGACCGACGCTCTTCAATACCGCAGCGGCAGCCTCATCAAAGTTCTCCTCACCTCCCTCAGGATTGTTAGTTCTAGCTCCACGACGAACCATTTCCCGAAATTCAGTTTTTTCTTTATAACTTTGCGGATATCTTCCATCATGACTTCGCTTCCACTCCTCGAGATAGTAAAGTAGAAGTAACAAGTACGGGACATGCCCATGCTGGTGATCATCCAGAGCTTCGAGACGTTGTATTTGATTTGTAGTAGCTAGTAGTTCTGGCCAGGGTTTTGTGAGCCGAAGGTCTTGCATCGAGTCCGGGTCTGGATGTGTTTCGACAACGGGAAATACGGAAGGTAGCTGAAGGGAGAATGAGCAATAGAAGCCGACTGAGTGGACGTATATTAATGGGATAGAAAGCTCGGCTGTTTGTTGAGAGATGACCTGAAGAGTGGATTGTCTCATTGGGCCCGTGACAATAACAAGTCTGTAGGACACCAAAAAGCCACTATTTTGTGACAGTATCTGTAGTATTGGCTGCAGGTCTGGTTAGTCACTTTTCAGTAAAGCCGTAGAGGAACCGAAAGGCAAGTCTCCTTACCTGCGAAGACCATAGGCCATCAACATCCGGATTCAATTCCTTCAAGTATTTGCAAGTCTCCTCTGCTCTTGATCCCCCCAAACTGTCCTCACTTAAGAAGAAATTCACGCCCAGGTCGCTTTCCCTCACTTTGGCCGGATCAACGATCGTGAAGCCACCGATTCCAGGCAGAACCAGGTTCTTGAGGGTTTCCACGCCCACAACTCCCGTGACAGACTCATCGTCGTAGCCTACTGCGCCATCCGAGTTAACTAAAAGAACGCGGGAGTCCTCGAGGGCCTGTTGGCCGCTGGCCGCCCATAACCGGAGCTGACGGTCGTACTTCCTCTCTTTTGAAGTAGGACCGGCGAACGTGGAAGCGAACGACTGCGTCATGGAGAGATTTTGGCTGGTAAGTAGTATGTATGCTGAAACTGCCCCGGATAACCTCCTAACGCTGCTGATGATATGTGGTTGACATTGGCAACTGTCACAATATGGTCTTCTAGAGTCCTTGTCGAATGAGTTTATTTTGGTTGCCCCACAACGGCAGCTTAGTCAGAATGTTATGAAGCTTATCAAGGAGTGAAGGATGTTGGGCACATTCACATACAATAATGCTCAGTAGCTACATCAGTTTCATGGATAGCAGGTGGAAATTATTCACTGAATCACTGGTAATCTGATTATACCTTCCGGCGAGTTTAGCTAAAGCCTCCACGACAAAATCACAATCCCACCAATGACACATAACTAACGGCCCGTCTAACCTTCAGTTAGAGGTAACCTCTCAACAAGAAGTTACCAATACAAAATGAGGAAGTATTATACTCGCGTTAAAAGGTGTAGACAGAACAAGCCTTAAAGCCCTGGGACTATTTTGCTCCCTTGCTTTTAGCCTCAGTTTCCCCTAACTCCCTGATAAAAAGCCTAACTGTGCCCTCTGGGACATCATCCTTCCCATCTTCAAATCCTGGGCTTACCCCGATCGCCAAATATTTCCCGTTGGAACTGAACGACAAGGCTGCCACACTACTCGGGTATTTCTGGTATTGCCTAATTCTTCGCTTCGCAATGCCATCCCATAACGCAACCACGCCATCGCCACCTCCAGAGGCGAACGTGCCAAAGGTTGGATGGAATGTCAGGGCATTCACAGGGTACACAACATCCACACCGTCAACATTCTGTCGATGACATTTAAACGCGTATTTTCGATCTTGTGATTCCGAGGACGGATCGAACCATTCCACAGCCACGCGCCCTTCAATACTAGACGATGCGTATCCCGCGTCGTTTGGCATGCAGGCTACTGCGCGAGTCATAAATTTTAGACTGCTCTCTCGACGCTGCCACGGCTCAATATCAAGTTTGTTGGGTGGAGGGACAGAGCCAGATTCTTCAGTGAATGTAGCCAAAGAGCGTAAATCGTAGATATGTAGAGCACGCGAAGCCATTGCCACAACTAGCCTCGTGGGGGTGAGCGAGAGGGAAAACGGCTTTGAGGGAAGTGAGATAGTCGCGGGGGTTAGCGCAAAGTCGCCGATGCGATGAATGTGGAGGGTCGAATCCCAAGAGGCAGAGATCACAATCTTATGCTCTCGACTATAAACGACGGATTTCACGCCGGCGTTATGCGAACTGAGGACCGTTTGCGAAGAGGAAGATACATCAATCCTAAACCCTTGAAATTAGTCGAAACTGAAATTAGGTATAGATCCCCGTTCTGCAGACCTGCCTTTTAACATCCCAATCTAAACCACCTGTATATAGCTCATCGTCGTTCTCTCCGAAGCAGACATCCAGGACCGGTGCGCGATGCTCAAATTTCCCAATAAGCATCCCTTCACCAAGCTGTCCCGTTTGAGGATCCCGGATATCGTACAGATATACATTCTTATCCCATGATGACACCGCAATTCGCGTCGAATCTGGTTGCGGGGAGAACTTGACGGCGGAAATCACATCCGTCGGAGAATCTGGAACGGCGAATTGGTCTATCGCAAAGATGTTAGAAGGTCTCTGACAGAGTGAATAGCCACAAAAAAAAGTATGTTTTCACATACTTGAAGCCATATGGAAGGTAGTTAAAAGACGGCCACACGGAATAGAGGAATTCAACCAGGCAGAGCTCGGCGAATGTAAGGGAAAGTTGTTACGGAGTTTGTTCTCTGGACTGATACACGGTTTGGTTTGCTCTCCCCCAAAGCTAACTAGTCGAGGGACTAACTATTTTCTGCCCATGCACACCGCCTTCGGAGGTTGACTAGCTTCCCTCTTCCGGTACTTACATCATTGCGGGCAGAAAACACTGATCGCCCAGAGTACAGCGTGCCGCTCGACATTCTGCAATCCAGCTACAATCTGTGCTCTACGAATATGCCGTTTGCACAGCTCATTATTGGACCTCCCGGCTCGGGAAAATCCACGTATTGCAATGGAATGCAGCAATTCATGTCTGCGATCGGCAGAAAGTGTTCCGTCGTGAACCTCGACCCAGCCAACGATCGCACTTCGTATGCTCCCGCGTTGGATGTGCGGGACCTAGTCACACTTGAAGAAATAATGGCCGAAGATACCCTGGGGCCAAATGGGGGGATATTATATGCTATGGAAGAGGTAGAAGGTAATTTTGAATGGCTGAAGGAAGGGTTAGAGAAATTAGGAGGTACGCTGAATTCAGCACGCAACTGGCATTGAAACACTCAACTGAATGGTTACATTGTAGATGACTACATTTTATTCGATTGCCCCGGCCAAGTCGAGATATTCACACATCATTCCTCGCTTCGAAATATTTTCTTCCAGTTGCAGAAGCTTGGGTATAGAGTCTGCAATGACCCGTTCTCCTTCATGCCCGAGAGATTGTTTACAACTAACGCCTCATTGCAGTTAGTAGTGATACATCTCGTCGATTCATACAATTTAACGCTCCCGTCAATGTACATCTCGGCGCTGCTCCTTTGTCTTCGGGCCATGCTGCAAATGGACTTGCCCCACTTGAACGTTCTCACGAAGGTCGACAATCTCTCGAACTATCCTCCTCTCCCGTTCAACTTAGACTTCTATACTGAAGTTCAAGATCTCTCATATCTTATTCCTCATTTGAAAGAGGAAGGTCCCTTCTTCGCCGGTTCAAAATTCGATGCCCTGAATAGGACGATCATAGAAGTGGTGCAGGATTTCGGCCTCGTTGCGTTTGAAACGCTCGCGGTAGAAGATAAGAGGAGTATGATGAGCTTGTTGCAAGCGATCGATAGGGCGAGTGGGTATGCTTTCGGAACAGCGGAGGGGGCCAACGATACGATCTGGCAAGTAGCTGTTAGAGAAGGCATGGGAACGATTGATATCAAAGATGTACAAGAAAGATGGCTAGAGGCAAAGGACGATTGGGACGAGCATGAGAGAAAGAATTGGGAAGAAGAAGCGAAGGCACGAGCAAAAACAGGCAAAAGTGCCCCTGAGCAAGGGGATGAAGATTTCGACATGGATCTAGGCTCGCATATCACAGAAAGCAGTGGGATAAAAGTCACAAAGAAACAGAATAAGTGAACAACAAAGCAGCTCCTCAAAGGGGAAAGAAATTATCTCAAAGACGTCTCAGAAGCGGAATAACTTACTCCATTGAAATGGTCCTCAAAGGCCATTCATTTTTAGCCATCACTATCCTCGTCCTCGTCATCATCATCACTTTCGATGACACCCATTCCATGTCCTTCCGACGTACCACCTGGGAACATTTCTTGAAGGACATCCTTCCCCTTTTCCTCCCATTCCCTCGACAGTCTCGCCACCTCTAATCTCGCTCTCCGGACTGCCTCCTGCTCTACCTTTTTCATGGTGCCAGAAACTCGCACAACCCGGAATACACAATCCAAGGATTGCACTTTCTTAACTCCAGGCTTCCTATCCTTTGACTCCGGCAGGCAAGATATATATGTGAGGGCGGCCCAAACGAGGCGATAGCTGGCACGGGGGCATCGGATTATAGTCGTGGAAGTCGCGGGGGAGAGATATTTAACTAGATAAACAATTCCAGCTTTGATTAGAACCCAATTGCTCCGTCTAATGACAATGTGCTTAAGTAGGCACGCCGGCCTACGTACACAGTAATGGAGTAAAACTGTCACTCACCGCTAACACTTCCCGCTCCCGCGCCTCCTAGCTCCCCCATGCCCCAATCCCCAAACATTTCACTCACTGCCTCCCTTATCATTCTTGCAAGGACTTGCGCGTTTATATGATCCGGTGTCGGCCGGCATACTTGTAAATGAAACTGGGTTTCAGCGTCGGGTTCGCCCTTTGCTTGCGTGAGGGTTTTCGCAGAGAGAAGAGTGTTGGAAGACGGGGTTGGCGGATAGAGGATGTTGACAAGTAGATATCTATGTTTGAGACGCACCATTTCAAATAGATATTACAATGCGGACTGCCAATGGAGACTGTAAAGCTGGATTTTTTGTTGAGGAATGTCGGTTTCGCCGGAGTTTGTAAATGAGCCTAGCGTGCCGAGCCGAGCCTTAGCATCAAGGAGTGATTTAGCATGGAGAGAACCTCATTGCCAATGGCAGCCACATTTATGGTATCCGCACCATGAAAAGCCATTGTTTTCGGTCAACATGCTGCAGTGTATGGTAACTAAGCCTACTATTGCCGCAGTTATATCTCTTCGATAACTATCTCCCCGACACCACCCTCTCCAAATCTCCAACTGAATTTCAGGGACATTGGCTTGAACCATACTCGACACTCTGCCATGGGATATCTTTCACCGGCCTTCCAAGAAGAGGTTCTATCACTCTGTTGTCGACCCCTTGACTCCCAATATCCCGAAGCCATCATGCCACATGCAGAGGCCGTATCAAGGCACCTTCCAAAAGAGCAACAAAAAATCCACATAAAATTTGCGACCGCCTTCCTCTGGATCTTGCTCTCCCTAGGCTCATCAAAAAGCCCTGGATTCATCTATACACTTCGACCTACCATTCCAATTGGCGCCCGTCTAGGCAACAGCACCAGGGTTAGTGTTTGCTTGAGCATAGCGCTGCTCCTTCAGATACATCTACCCTAAAATAACAGAGATTATCTTGAGCGGAATTGGCAAGCTTGCAACTTCCGCTCTGGAGCTGCTCCACAAAGGATTTGCAAGAGCCGCCGTATAAGCTGAATGTCTAGAATATAATCTGTGCAGCTAACGCGTTCTTTATTGCATGCTCGGACTCAGGAGGATTGAGGGGGCCCTGGATTCAATTTTTCAGGTTCGATGGTTAGTAAATCTTGCAATTGGGATTCTGCTGTATTGTGGAATTCATCTAAGCTACTATCCTCATTGAATGAAGCTCTAGGAGCTGTGGAATGTAGGGTTCTTTCAGCGGCTTGACATTATTGCTGGCAATGCGGGCCAAGTCAATTGCGGGAAATAATGGACATCCAGGAGTTTCATAAACACTTGTAAACAAGGAAGCATTCTGTCAAGAAAGTGCCGGTTTGGGCCGGAACAGGATCAAGCCCAGGGTGATTAAGAATCTGGCCAGCCTGCTGACAGAGATTTTAGTGTTCCCAGCGGGAATTTTGCTTTCAGAGTGAAGCAGGCCAGGCGCTGGGAGCATCCAGGAGGCTTGGGGAGGAATGGAGGATTTCAAGTTTGACGGAGTACAGAGCATCGATTCATCAGCGAATACATCAGTCAGAATGCCTAGACTCATCGAGACCTGCATCCTCGTTTGAGCATCATACCCGAGAATAATGCATGCATAATCAATCCCTGAATCTTCATCCGTATATGGTAGAGATCCCCGCCTCTGGCTCCATAACAACTTGCTCACAACTTAACAAGGGATGGTGGCCGGGCGCCGACCATACGGTTTGGGCGGGCCGGCACTTCCAAGGCAAGGGCTTTTCCAAATCACTCGCAAGGGGGCCTTGTCACCCCATCGTGATGGGAAATTTTTTTATTTTTTTTTTGCTGTTGGGATCCGGAGCCCAGCTGTCAACCCCCGACCCTCGTTTCCTTCTAGCCAGAAGCCGGGGGCCATCGATAACGCTGCAATAATATCTGCAGTATGCATTGGGGTACGTGGCTTGTCGGACGTTGGAGGTTCAAACAGAGTCTGCGCTCATCGGCACCGGGGGTGAATGGATGATGATACTTGGTAGAAATGTGGAGCTTGGTAGGGGCTCCCGAAGGATTTAAATAGTTATCTTGAGCCTTGTGAAAATCCAACAAATCGGTAAGTTTTGGGTGAACTCCTTCATACGGAGTCCTTTGGACCTTTGGCAAGGATTTGAAGTCTTGAGGTTTAAAGGTTAGCAAAGGGCGAGCCGCTCCTTCGCTTCCCAATACGGATCCAACCCCCGGTGGGTAACTCCAACCCAGGGGCCAGCAAACGACCCCGGTGCCTGAAATGGGTCCAGCGGGTAGATGCAAAGCCCTCCTCCATACTCGAATACGCTCGCCAACTGAGCCTTTCAACCCATGGACTGCCTGATATGCTGGGGGGCTTCACGCCTCCCAATCAGCTGCCGCAATTTCCAGCATGCCTTCCAGCCTATTTCAACATCCAAGTCATCGGCAGTGTCCAGGTAAACAAGGAAAGTTGCCTTCTGGCTTAAGCCTCCCTAACCTAGCATAATTATACAAGAGCAATTCCCATGGTCAGCCAGGCCACTCCTTACTAGTATGTTAGGGTCCAGCCATACGGTTGAAGCCAAGTTGCTGTCGGCTCATAAAGAGGAACCTCAGGACAAAGGCAGGCTAGAACACCGAATAGTGGAGGATCAGCACTGGTGAAGGAGTGCGCCAATAAATGGGAGTCAGCGTTGTTGACTTGAATTCAATTTCAATAGAGACCAAAGCCAAATCCAGAATTTTCTCCGTAGATCGATCAGAATCCGAATAAACATACTCTTTCCTACCTGGAGGTATTTTCGCCAGGGCGGCTGAAAGCGAAGTGCCACGTCAGGTCCTAGTATCCCTCTCTTGAGCAGCGCTTCGCAAGCCCCTCTCTCCTTTGGATAATTGATGGCCTCATATTCTATGATTGATGCAATGTCCTTCGTCGTGCGCTTGAAATCATAGGCTACCAGAGCCATTGTGGGATAGACACATACCAACAAGCAGAAATAAGACCATCAAACACTGCATGCCGGTTGAGCTCCGGATACTCTGTTCCTCCAAATCGGCGGTCCCATTCCGCCGCACTGAGGTCAATATCATCGTAAGGTTCATGGCCATAGACCATAAAATACAGAAGTGTCCCGAGGGCAAACTGTTCGGTTCTAGCAGAACAGAGTCCATATGTGCCTTTCAATGGACCCGCAAGTATTGGTTTCGCCCGAGGTGGCAATGTATCCTTAGGAACTGTCCAATTGTGGTGGCACGGCCAAAATCAGCTAGTTTCAGGTTGAGATCTTTGTCAAGAAGACAGTTGCCTGCATGTAAATCATTGTGGCAGAAGCCCAATTGCTCCACAAACTCAAGTGCAGAGGAAACTTGCTGTATCCATCGAGCGATTAAGGAAGGATCCTCATATTCCTTGACTCTGATAAGACGCCCATGAAAGCCGTTGGACCCTTTCTCTCGCTCCTGGCGCTCATAGTAGCGGGGGGCAATTGCTTTATGTTCGCAATACGATAAGAAGAGATGGTCGGGGAGTATCAGAAAGCAATCAATAATATTTGCACATCGATTCTTGCACTCGTTAAGGCGCTTGTAAAATGCAATCTCCTTGAGGAAAGGATGATCTGCTGTTTCTTCTTCAGGGGTTCGATCACGGCAGACGGTTTTCACCACAATAGTTGCGGTGACATGGTAGATATAGGCATCAAGACCACCACCAACCCAGCAGTGTTTCTCAAGGGAATCAGCGGAGTGGAAGACCATAAAGAATCGTGACACACGTTGTATTGTGCGGTGGTCTATCGGACGAAGGGTTGGGACCGCAGGGTTGCGAGATAAGCAAGGGGATTTCCGAAGCTTACGTTAAAAGCGATTTTTTTTTGTGCGAGCCTCAAAGTGTGTTGGGGGAAACATGAGATCTGAGTGATTGAAATCCGATCTCCAGCTAGATGATTCGAACATCGAGGAGCTGTTGACAAGCTCTTCTGTAGGTGGTTGAGCACTGAACAAAACTCGCTAGGTAGTTAGCTCTCCTCGGAACAACATCAGACTGATCCGCTCGCTACCTAGTTAATATGCTGATGAATTTTAGATAGACCTTCAATCCTGAGAGATAGATATAATCTAAGCATCTGTGTCAAAAATGGGCCTCTCTTGCTTTTCCCGACGAGTAACCGCAACTGTGTCACAGGGTTCGAGGTGAAATTAAGCGATATTGGAGAGTAGTTATATCTAGGGGCGGCGCAAAAGGAACGCGAACTACACCAATAAAGGACTCCTACTCGTAGAAGACGTGGAAATAGCGTCTACCCTCACCCATAACCATGCCATTTGTTGCCCCAACAGCTTCTCAAAGGTGAGATCAGAAAAATAACGTTACCACCGATGGCTCGAACTCTTGTGCGGGCAATAATATGAAATTGCAAGACATAGAGAAAGCGCGGCATGTGGCATTGGCTCAATTACCCTGCAACATTGTCACACAATAGCCATTGTTGCGTCTCAAAGGCCAAACTGCGTTAACATGCAAGCTTCTTCCTCTCTTTTCAAATGTACCCGTATCCGCTAACATGCCGCCAATGAGCAAGAAACACACTCCTGAAGCCCAGGTATCACGATTGGCAAAAAGCACGCAGTCTTCCCTGTCAGAAAGGGGGAGGTTTCGCCCTAGCATTGGCTAGGCAAAGCATACCAGAATGCAATACCATTGCCGCAGAAAGTCTCTTCCCAGCACCATGTGAAGGAATTCTAAAATCGGGGGTCTTTGTTCCGTGATCTAGTTAGGTGACATTATTATCTCCATGCCGATTGAGTAACACCATCAAGGCCGGGGCCTTGGTTCTTTAGTTGGACCGCTCCCGATATGCACCCTAAAAGATCAATAACTCTTGTCAACAGTAATGGGGGGATTTTGTTTTCAAGGTAATTGAAAATGATGATAGCACCCCACGGACCACCACAAAATCAGGGGTTTTATTGCTAGGGGTTATTCAGAGAGATCCCCCAGCGGATATCTCTCGCGTTATGAAGCCAGTCCCCGCAGCCATGTTGAACGCATTCGTAATAATAATGTCCAAAGCCCAAAGCCAAAAAAATACTTCACGTGGCGCGGTCGGGGTAGCGGCGCTAATCAAATAGGAGCGTGCTTGGGAATCCGCGTTTATGTAGCCCGTCTTTCAAGTTAGCTCCGACTGTACCCCGTATTCGGATTTACTCGACTTCTGAAGCAGCTGAGGGAAGGAGCCCGATTGAGTGGCACGCGGGGTTACAGTTTCAGCACTGCCTTGAGAAAGGAAAAGGGCGGGAGCGGTTCCTCGGTGTCTGCAGCGTAGAAACTTACAGAGGGTGTGCAGAGACATTGAGCAAGATGAAACGGAGTTTGTCGCTTCAAAACTCTGTGCATTGCTTGCCGTAAGAACGAGTTAGCACAACAGCTGCCGAGCCACCGATGTACCGTGGGATGAAGAAAACCAAAGGACGAGGGTTACATCATATTGATCAGTCACTTGGGTTCCTCCAATTCTGTCGAAATAAGGACAGTTTCTAACAATAGCGACGGTCAGCAGAAGCTAGTGGTGTCTGCTGAGTTGATGAAGCCGAGATTAACCTAGCTAGTTAGCTCTAATAAGGTTCAATGGGTGTCGGCACTCATCAGACTCTGGAATAGATCCCCGTTGCCGCGCTTCCGTCGTGTCGTGCAACCGTGGGAAGACGCTCTGAGGGCGCCGAGTGTTCATGTCGTTGCAACTCGTGAATGAGTCGTCGTCGGCCCCGAACGCCGGAGGTCATATGACTCGGACCGGCGGCGTCACGTGCTGCTCCGCTTCAACCCGCCGGAAACGGCTAGCAAGAAGGCGATGAGCATCTTAATCATTCATGAGCATCAACAGGTCACCGCGGAATTCTGCGTATTGACCCATGTTAAGGGCTTGACTGTCAGGTGTCTGGACTTGCCAAGCCTGCATTCTCAAGTGACGTCGTCGAGCTTGCTGGGCTTCAAGTTCAACATCGCTTGATGAGCTACTCAGCATGTCCAAGCTCCCTGGCCTCAGCCACCGAGTTTCACTTTCATCGACAAGAATTGGAGGGAGGGGTTTCCTCGATTTGAGCAGTCGATCGCCTCTGTTGACGTACATGCAGACATCTGGGCGATGCTCGGGCCATTACCTGCATAACCCTGGAGGAACGCTTTGCTGTTTAGATAACGGGATGCTGGCCAACCCTGCGCAATGAATCACACAAACGAAAAGCTTCACGCAACACGTGAGAGCCGTCGAGTGCAGAAGAAAAAATCTTCCTGGCTGATCGATGTTTGTCCCGTCCACAAGCAAGCATAAGAGGCGGTCTGGGAGGAGCAAGGGGCCCGGAATTTAGGTAAGCGTCAGTCCAGCCTGGCCGTCGTGATTGGCAATCCAGCTGGCGGCGGACCGGGATCATCGGGAGCTCCAACTTGAAGGGATTGCTTGCCAACAGAGCAGATTGCATCATCATCTTCACCATCAACATTTGCTAGTCAACCTCACCAAGGAGAGGTTATTGATTAGAATGGAAGAGGCGTTCGAGCAGGACTATAACTGAAACACCGGCAGCATTACCGGAGTTGCACCATGGGGCGAACCATCTGTTTCGTGAAGAGCTGTGCACCTTTGCTTTTCCGACATGTTGGTCATCAAAGTCGTTCGCTGCGTAGGACAGAGCCAGGGAGCATGCACACTGCAGCGCAGCAACCGGCCGAGAGCCATTCGGGGAAATATCGAGTGGGAATGTAACTTTACCCGGGCTGGGAATAATGAAGTCTGTGAGGTCAACTATCCCTGGCATAACGGTTCTTGGGAGCAACAGGGGGAGGTCGAAGGGTTAAAATTGGCTGATGCCATGGGCGAAGGGGGGATTAAAATAGCAAAGCCGCGAGATTCGTATTCTCCCATCCGCTGCTGGCTCGGGAGCAATGGAGCACGAGGCCAAGTTGGGTTCGCTTAACCTCCTCATCAAGCAAGCATCCGCCCAATGACGGACCACGCCACTCCAACCAGGAGCTGCGCGATCGATGACCAGACAGCTTCCCCTCAACCCAACCCCCAGCCGCCGAGCAGCCGTCGGTGCGTTAACTAGTTTGATCGTGGGATCAGAAGTGGGATACGGCAGGACATCATCACCACGGAACTGCTTGTCCTTTTTTCTTAATTGGCATGCGCAGCACGAACAAACAAGGGTGGCAATCAAGCCCTATTAGATGGCCTCTTCCTCCCTAAACTCCCGCCAACAGAATTCTTTTCCTCGCTCATTGTTACCCTTTTAACTCTTTGCTACCATGGAAACTACATTACACAAGTTTACACTTCACCCGTTCGCCATGTACATTGTCGACATGCTCGGCCTCTCTCCCGCCTCATATTCTCGTGGCTCCCCGCGACGGATGGACATACTCTATAGCCTACTCTCTCTCTGGAATCGTGAACCTTCGAAACCTACCCCCCCTCGCCTCGACCTCATGAGTCTCCCGCCGGAAATCATTCTCTGTGTCGGCGACCATCTGAACGAGAAGGACCTAACTTCGCTCATCGGCACAGCCAGGACGTTCGCAGAGCTCCTCTCACCCAAGCTCTACGATTTCATTGTCGGCTGCGGCACCCCCGAGTCGACCTTCAAAGAAGATATTCTGGTACACGCAGGCCGCTGGAATTCCCATTATGCTCTCAACTACTTTCGTACAAAACGGGCCGACGTGCTGTTACGCATGGACCCGGAAGGTGGCCTGCTGCTGAATCGAGTCGCGCGTGCCGGGAATGCCAAACTGGTGTCAATTCTCCTAGAAAGAGGAGCTGACGTCAACGGCCATTCGAATCGAGACCTCCACGCCCTAACGTTGGCGGCGAAATACGGCCATGAGGATATCGTTCGCATCCTCCTAGACGCGGGAGCAGAAGTCGATGTGTTTCACCCGTGCAAGAAGACCTTGCTGCACGCCATCTATCGATATGGCCACCGCAACTCCCCTGTGGTCTCCCAGCTACTGATCGACCGGCTCCAGGAACGTGGCCAAATATCACAGCGAGACTCCCAGAATGCCACACCTCTACACTATGCTGTGCGATACAACAGGGCATACGCGGTCCCCCAGCTGATCAAAGCCGGCGCTGACTTGAAGATCCTCAATAATGACGGGTTGTCTGTTTTGGATATCGCCCTCCGACACGGAAAAATGAAGATTGTCCGTCAGCTACTCGAAACATTCCCTGGACCATGGCCGTCTTATTACGTTCAAAAGGCCATATGGGAAGCGGCTGATAGGCTAGACTTGGACGCACTCGAACGCATTGCACCCTTGATAAAGGCCGGAAACGTTCTTGTGGATATTTCTCTCTCACAGAGAAGTCGAGCTGGCTTAACCGCCCTCCATGTCGCAGCTCGAGGACCCCAAGATTGGCTGCGATCGTCTGACCACGCTTTCTCTCGTGAAAGTTCGGAGGTGGTTTTGAAATGGGAGAAAATGATCGACTTACTCCTAAACATGGGCGCCAATATTTCTACTCAAGACTGCATCGGACGTACACCTTTCTTTTTCGCCGTCGAACACGGAAATCCAGAACGAATCCCCTTCCTGCTCCAGAGACTTGGAGAAACGATATCGATCCGCGATAATCTAGGTCGCACGGCCTTGCACGCTGCGGTACATAACGACAAGAGCGAACTCACTGTTCGCCACCTCCTTCGCGCTGGACTCGACATCAACGCTCAGGACTCTCAAGGACAGACGGCACTCCACTACGCATCAACATGCCCCGTGACCGTACCGACAGTGGAGTACTTGGTCAACGCCGGTGCCGACGCGTCAATCTGCGATAAGCATGGTTACCCAGCGAGTCACTTCGCAGCCAACCAGCGACGGAATCGAGCGCTTAAAGTCTTCATCGACGCGGGCGTCCCGCTACACTCAGACTGCGACGTGTGCTACCGGAACTCACAAGAGTGGCGCACTGAGAACGGGGAATGGATGAAATTCTCGGAACCTCTAGACCTGAGTGGCCTGTTTGATCACGAATAAGTGCTCTGAGCGAGATGGATATCATCTCCGCACGTTTGTTAATGACTTGATGACCTGTTAAATGATCACCTTGGCGATGGGTATGGCGGTTTTTTTTCTCTCTTTTTTTTCGGCTTGGAAATACCCTCTCACTCTTGCGGTTCGTTGCATGGTTATTGAGGCGTCTTTGGTCATTTCTGTTTCTCGGGTTGTTTTTTTCCACCACGATATTCTTTTTTTTTTTTGTCGGCGGATAAGCAACTTCCTAACGGTGCCTTCTTTTTACTTGTAATGAATATAAAGGTAAGACCTAACTCTTTCTTGAAACAATTCTTTCGAGTAAATCCCTAGAGTCAAACGCTCAAGGCCCAGGGTAGTAATCAGCCTAACAGTACACACAGCCTTCTAGCAAACGTTGAGTTGAAAAGCAGACAAGTGAATAAACGCTGACCAAGTCCATTGCTCTAGTTAAGGATATTCTAGTTTCTAATTGAATTTCCATTTCATCGCCGAGTTCATAACCCCTCCAGTCTTTTTGCCATATCAGACCAGTAGAATCGCAATCAAAAAGACAAATATGCACACATTAAAAAGTCGCGAGCTTCATGTAATCAAACACATGAAAACAAAACAAGAAAAAAATATTAAGATGTGAATTGAAGATGAAAGAGAGCTGCCTAGTCATTGAGAGGACCCATAATGTCATCCATTCACCGGTTTATTAAAAAGAGAAAGGCAGAAGAAAAAATCTCGCTTTACATACTAACTTCCACACGGCCCTCTGCACCTGGAGCACCCTTCTGAAGGGTTGGCAGCAGGTACGTAATGTCGTCCCATGGGTGACGATACAAGCCAGTGCGCAATCTCTTTTGATCGAGGTAATGCGCAATCAAACCGATGCTGCGGCCCAGGACGAAAAGACCGTTCAAGACGCCCATGCCCAAATAATCCTCGGCTTCCTCGGGACTGAAGGCACCACAGTTACGCATGAGATCCACAAAGCAGACAGCAACGCAGCCATCAACATTGAGAATGAGATTATCTTTCTTGGAAGTCGTCACGGTTTCAACGGCGATCGCATAGTCGAGTAACTTGTGGCTAGGGAAGTGTTTGACGACGAATTCTTTGACGAGTTCGACACGGAGATCAGGATTGTTGCGCGACTTAACCTTGTGGCCAATACCGGGGACTGTGGTCATTGTCAGTGGGAACAGGTTCAGCATATGAAACATGTGATAACATACTAAGCTTGTTTTCCTTGCGCATGGTATCAACAAAATCACGTGGGCTAAGACCTTTGTCGAAAGCCTTGGTGAATTCCTCGGCAGCTCCATCCAAGGCTCCACCGAAACGAGAGCCAATGGTGAGGAGACCAGAGACCAAAGCGCTGATCAGATCTTTACCGGCTCTGGTGGTGATGATGGTGTTCATCGCACCAGACACAGCTGGGCCGTGATCAGCAGTCAACATCAGGACCATCTCTAAGAATTTGCTGGCGTAAGGAGGGAGACGTCGGCGGAACCAGAGGAGCGACATGACACCCCCGATACCAATATCCTCCCTGAACACGTCCGAGATCGGCATGCCAGCGTACAGAAGCTCTTGGCCACGGTCATCGGAAATTGTAGAGATGAATGCGGCAGGTTTACGGATAAGGCCCAATTCCTGGGCCCAGGCATAGTCGATAGGGATCTTAGGGGGAATTGGTTCGGGTTGTGGTTTAATCGTGCCTTGCTGCACGAGCTTCTGGTAAACGCCTCGAAGAGTTTCGGGGAGCTCTTCAAAGGTGTTGGGGACGTGGATACCAGCCTCTCTCATGGCCTGATTCTTCATCACCGCGGTTTCTAATTGGGAGTTTGCGGACGCACCAGCGTGGCCGAATTGAACCTCAGTCTTGAACATACTGGCGCAGGTACCGATGGCCCATGCAACGACTGGTTTGGTGATGGTGCCGTTCTTAACGGCGTCAATGACACGGTATTCTTCAACACCACCGACTTCACCCAGGAGAAGTAAAATCTTGCAGGCTGGATCAGCCTGGAATCGAAGCATGTGATCTAAGAAAGTGGTTCCTGGGTAGCGATCACCGCCAATGGCGATACCCTCGTAGACTCCATCGGTAGTTTGCGAAACAATATTGTTTAATTCGTTTGACATACCGCCCGACTTGGAGACGTAGCCAACAGATCCCTTGCGGTAGAGCTTCGACGCAACGATGTTGTCCATCATACCTCCAGTGTTACCGATCTTGAACGCACCAGGTTTGATACCACCGACGGTAGCAGGGCCAATGATTGTGACGCCTTTCTCCTTTGCGGTAACCATGATTTCGCGAGCACGCTATCGACAGTTAGTATGAAATGGCATTCGACACACAAGTAAAAGACATACTCGTTCTGGAACACCTTCAGCGATGATAGCAATGGTCTTGATTTGAGGGTATTGCATCAATTCCATGGTGGAACTGTACACACTTCGTGACGACGCAAAGTTGACGACGACGTCGACATCCGAGTGCTTGGCCATCGCCTTACCGGCGCTTTGGTACACTGGAAGCAAAGTTTCGCTTGTACCCCAGTACCTATCGCGGGAATTAGTAAGAACCAAGGGGTTGCCGATAGCTGAAGCACATTGAGCTCACATTTTGCTGACGAACTGGCCGCCGAAAGTATAGATGATTCCCGCAACAGATGGAGTGCTGCGCTTGCAAATGAAGTCAAAGTCCAGCATTCCCTGGACCGCTCTGGGTTGCATGCCACTACGTAGGGAGTTAGAGTCGTGCCCATGGCCTGATTTCACGCGGTGGCCACCAGATACACTCACTATACGAAGCATCGTGTTTTTGTTGGTGGAAGAGGTTGTGTTTCAAGGGAGTCAAGGGTCAGCGGCAGCTTCGAAGCGGCGGATGATGTCATCGGCACGAAGGTTGCCATCGCCAGACGGGGCGAGAGGTGCAACGGAAGGCATTGTGAGCAATACAGACTATTTCTGAAATGTTTAGCTAGGTACGAAAACGGAGAAGGGCGATAGATCAGCAAACAGGCTCGCTGCCGACGGACCTTTGATCAGTAAAAATTGGCAGTCAGGCTTGGGGCGGAACAGGGTAGCTTGATCAAACGCTCTGGAGGGATGAAGCAGAGGATGAAGGAGAACTCAGGATATGGCAAAGAGACGACGTGCAGATGGCGAGGCAAAAGCAAAGAAGGACGACAGTGTTTGGTTGTTGAGGAAGCCAAAGAATGGCGAGCAGCTCAGCTTTCCCAAAGCCGCCTAAATTGTCGTTCGCTGGAGGTCCAGCCATTGGGACCAGCGCTAAGCCCGAAGCAGCTAGAGCGTCCCCAATGGAAGGAAGGCGCGGTGGGTCAACGATCCCAAACTCTCAGTTCCTTCCGAACTCGGTGTGAGCTGTCTGGTGAGCGTCCCAGGGGGGCAGGTACGAGTACGATGCGCGGCTGCCCAATGTATGTATGCAACTATCTTGGAGGGGGGGGACTTGCAGTGATTTCAGTGTTGTCGAGGAGTGTATTACAGAGTACAGTGTCAATGGTAACTACAGAGTATTCTGTAGCCAACTATGTATTCAATATTGTGTGAACGTTTTTCGTGTTTATCCCAACGAAACCGCAGCCCCGAACTAGGAAGGCATGCCCCACCAACAGCAAGGCAGCGCCTTCCACCCCTGGCCCATGAACCCTGGCTCGTCGGGTGACTAAGCGGGTCGGCGGGCTAGAATGGCGGTGCAGCAGCAAATAATCCTCGCAGACTGACAGCTTCTTTCTCAACAACGCCCGTCAGCTTCTTTCTCAACCATCTCCCAATTGACCGATCCACTCCTCACACCCTCTCCCTTCTGCCTCGCACTCTCATCCCATCCTCCAGCTTCGCTTGTCTCTCTCACCCTCCTCATTGCAACTCATCAAGACCCGAAATCTATCAGGCAAAACACCGTGACAGCTCAGAATTCTTATTGCTAGCAACCATGTCGGCCAAGTCAATCTACGAAGCTGATGGCAAAGCCATTCTCAACTACCACCTCACTCGTGCACCAGTCATCAAGCCCTCTCCCCTCCCCGCTCCAACCACGCACAACCCGCCGCCAAAGCTCGCTTCTCTTCACTTCGACGAAGACTGCTCCATCGAGGCTGTCCTCGACCAAGCCGAATCCACCCATCCCTGGCTGCTCGCCAAAGGAGCCAAGTTCGTCGCAAAGCCAGATCAGTTGATCAAGAGGAGAGGCAAGAGCGGTCTGTTGGCGTTGAATAAGACATGGGAGGAAGCTAGAGAATGGATTGCAGCCCGCGCCGGAAAGGAACAGCAAGTCGAGACGGTCGTAGGAGCTCTACGGCATTTCCTGGTTGAACCTTTTGTTCCCCACCCACAGGAAACGGAATATTATATCAACATCAATTCAGTCCGTGAGGTAAGCAGGGAACCACCACTAGGCTCCTGGGTAACGTAGACCTATTCTAACTATCGGTAGGGTGACTGGATTCTGTTCACACACGAGGGAGGCGTCGATGTCGGAGATGTTGACGCCAAAGCCGAAAAGCTCTTAGTTCCGGTCAACCTCAAGCACTACCCATCGAACCAGGAAATCGCTTCCAAATTACTCAGCAAAATTCCTCAAGGCCTGCACAATGTCTTGGTCGACTTCATCACCCGCCTCTATGCTGTTTACGTCGACTGCCAATTCACATATTTGGAGATTAACCCGCTCGTTGTGATCCCCAACGCCGACAAGACATCTGCCGACGTCCATTTCTTAGATCTGGCAGCCAAACTTGACCAAACCGCTGAATTCGAATGTGGTACAAAATGGGCCGTTGCTCGAAGCCCAGCAGCTCTAGGAATTCGCGCTGCAGCCAGGGCTGACGACAAGGTCACTGTTGATGCCGGCCCACCAATGGACTTCCCGGCTCCATTTGGTCGTGAATTGAGCAAAGAAGAGAAATTTATCGCCGATATGGACGCCAAAACCGGAGCTTCTCTCAAACTTACTGTCCTCAACGCTTCTGGTCGCATTTGGACCCTTGTTGCTGGTGGCGGTGCTTCCGTCGTCTATGCGGATGCTATTGCTTCTGCTGGTTTCGTCAGCGAACTCGCAAACTATGGTGAATACTCTGGCGCTCCAACTGAGACCCAAACCTACAACTACGCCCGTACGGTTCTTGACCTGATGCTTCGCGCCCCCATGCACCCTGATGGAAAGGTGCTTTTCATTGGTGGCGGTATTGCCAACTTCACCAATGTCGCTACCACCTTCAAGGGTGTTATCCGCGCATTAAGAGAAGTTGCACCAGTCCTCAATGAGCACAAGACGCAGATTTGGGTCCGCCGTGCAGGCCCTAATTATCAAGAGGGTCTGAAGAATATCAAGGCTGTCGGCGAGGAACTTCACCTCAACATGCACGTTTACGGTCCCGAAATGCATGTCAGCGGCATTGTTCCCCTAGCACTGAGCGGTAAGACCACGGATATCAAGGAATTTGGCGAAGCATGATGATAATGAGTATTTGATGCATTTTATATGTTCACTTTTCTTTTCTCAGCTTTGCTTTTGCCCTTTTTTTTTAGAATATGGTTCTTGTATTAAAGTTAATTACCCCAAATAATGAATCCCATAGATGTGTCAGCGCTTCGGTTTCTTGTTTGCTCGATATCCTCACTTGACTTTCCGGCCTTGTGATGTCTCTTCCCTAGATACCAAGAGGTGAAAATCTGAAAAACTTCATTGATAGACAAAAGAAAGCCAACATGGATGGATTAAAATATTCATTTCATTATTCAATACTTTCTCTAGGGCCACCATCCATATCCAATACATTCCGCCGTTTCGCTGGATTAATTTACAGTTCGAACCAATGAGCTGCCTTGTATTCATTGAGCACATTCAAAACCTCGTCATCAATCGTGCTCTCACGGAGACTAAATCTCTCGTCTGGAAAACCCGCCGGGTAGCCACAATCCAGAAGCATCCTCATCATCTCAATATTTCTCTGCAAGATAGAAATAACCAGCGGGTCCTCGAACCCATCCCTGGGCCTGAAAATGATGAGTGCGCCGTAAGAAATCAGGAGCCGCATCATGGGAATGTGGTTGATGAGTGCGGCATATTCCACGACATGGCATGGTCTCCCTTCGTAAAAGAATTTGGCATTCATGTTTGTACCAGCGCGTAAGAGTGGTCCCATAATCGGAACATCGCAATTCAGGGCTGCGGCTGTCAACACAGAAGGATAACCGGCCATCTCCCTCGAACATTCGCCAGCCATAGCCCCATACGTAATGAGCAAATTAACGCCCGTTATATTTCTTTTGCACGTCGCGATATATAGCACGCTGTTTCGATCGGGATCTTGAGCTGTTGGGCTAGCTCTATGAAATAATAACGTCGCTATTACCTTATTGAGAGAACGATAAGTTGCAATCACAAGGAGATTATTCACATCAGACGAATAATCGTCCGTCACTCCTGGGCGCCGCTGATACGCAAGACAAAAGCCCAAAACGATTCTAAAAACTTTATGAGGTGGTGCGATGCTTGCGGCGAGAAATGCCCTGTCTCTTTTTTTGAAGTGATAAAGAGAGCGGCGCCTCCAATCTCCTAATCCAGATCAATTAGTATATAAAATAAAAAATATTGCCAATAGGGCCCTGAAAAGGTGGAGAATGATTGGAGAAAGGAGTAACATACGGCAGACTAAAAGGCATGGGAACAACTGTCTCCATATTTCTCGAGTAGTAGTGTGGTCATAATTCCCGGTAGCTAATCCAGTGTTTTGAAAAACATAAAACAAAATACTGTCCTGAACAGCCAAAGGAAGCCGGTACCAAGACCTAGGGCTTTGCGATGGGAATGTGGTATCGGTCGGCTGAGACATATTTCAAGAGTATCTAAGTAAAAAGCATGGAATGGCGTTTGATAGAGATGAGAAGAAACCTAATAGGATGTGGTCCTCAACCACTCCCCTAGGGAGAAGATCTTTATGATAGCGCGCGGCGTGATCGCGTTGTGATGCAGTAACGATCACCAAGCAGTCAAATGGAGCAGGAAAATTAGGCTCATTCTGAAATAGAGACAGCGAGGTCCTGCTTAGAGGAAGGTAGGCTGCAAACATTATTCTTTCTGGGAATGAAGCTGGGTAAAGTGCCAGTCATTGTCTGGTGTGCTAGGCTCAACCTGCCGCGGTTATAGAGTCGCTTGGCCTTCAGAAGGAGAAGCAATGACAGCCATGGGCTTCGCAGGGCAGGTGCCTGGTCATATAGGGAAGTAATACATACTTTTTTGAAAATGATATCGGTTTGACGTCCGAGATTTGCTAGTGAGATCTTCTATTCTCGAGAATAATGTCTCCGGGCTTTCCTGGTGCAATGCTTTGCCTGTGATTATCAGATGCTTTTGCTCCACAAGTGATGACCGCCTTTGATTAGAAAGGGTCCCATAGGCGGGCATAAAACTAGCAAGTCTGGTAAGAATTCCCAATTGAGATGTCGTCCATTGTGGTTATGGAATAGCTCCACCGAATCTATCATTGTGAATCATCCTCCTCCTCCAATATATCTGCAGTCATCGAATCCTTGCGCTGCATCCACCAGCGAGGATATCTCGATCTTATGCCGGTTTTTCTCAACAATCCTTGTGGTCGGTTGTTACTCATACGGCCTGTGTCAGATTCATCACTTTCACTCTCTTTCAGCTTTGTAGTTGAAAGATGACCAGGCTTCCCAAGGCGTAGTTGCGTATGAGAGGTGGGAGCCACGCCCAACGCCTCGTACGTCGAACATAAGGTACAGTGCAGCAAATATCCCGCAACCGCTCCGAAAAAGATTGCGGTTCCGAAGAAAGTGTATGCCGGCTAAACGCAGCTGGTTAACAACGCAAATACGAAGCCAAGGGCAGAAGAAAACGCGGATGACGCAAAGAGCTTTCACGTATCACCAGCTCAATCCATAATCCGTCGTTTCAGGGGATCAGAACGGGTGTGTCATAGTCGGAAGTCAGGGTTGTAGCTATGGGATATCCAGGCCGCTCACCTCTAGTTTTAGAACCATCCGGATCAGAAATCCCTGGAACTGGTAGACTTGACGGAGGGGATGGAGCAACGGGCGTAGAAGGAACTCCAGCAACGAGTATATAAACGAGGCGAGAAACGATGCGGGATAAACAATGCCCATGGAAAGGAGAGAGGTGAGTGCTGCGAGCATGTCCATCTTGGGCGATTGAGGGCGAAATGCTGAGCAAGTCTCAGTCAGAGAAACCGATGGGCGACCATTGGCCCAGTCAACTGGAAGTGATGTGTGAGATCCCAGCAGAGTCGAATATTATTATGCTCCTATCCATTCGTGCTCCGTCTTGCCACCGGATGTTGTGCGGTCTCCCTTTGAGTCTTGACGTTTGGTCTTTTCAAGCTTTTCAACACTTCAGGATAACTAGTTAACCAGTCCGTGCAACCAACGGTAACTTAGCTAGTTACCCACTAAGGTATAGACAACCGTAACTACTGAAACCGCCATGCCCAAA